TGATACTACAAGTTGATCCTGGATCGACCATAAATTCAATTTCCAGTCCACTATTTTTATTTGTGTCTCCGATGGCGAAATGATACAGATTGAGATAGATCCTTGCTTTTGGATTCCTTCTTCACTTGGCTTCGGAGACTTTAATAGTTTAAAGGAAACATATCTGTCAGTGCGTTACAGTAGTTAGTTTCTTCTTCTACCCAATGGGTATTTTCAACTTGATTTTGATTCATTCTGAATCCTGGTGATCTTGATCTATCAGAATCACGACTATTTGTTCGGTTATATCCGTTTGATTATATTGTCGACCTCTAGGATCACTGCTGGATTGCCTATTCTCTTGGTCATAATGCTGTTTTGCAGCTTGTTCATTAACTCTGAAAGTATTTTGTTTTGGGTATTTTTCGTCATATGACTCGTTTTGCCTGGGATTGGAATTGTATGATGGCTGTTGATTATTTCTTGGATAACCGTTTTTGCTATAGTTACAATGATAACGAATACCATAGTTACTTTGATTCTGGAAATTTGGAGTATTTCCATAATTTCCTGATTGACCGCTTTGATTTGTAAAGTTGTTGTTTCTGGACTGATCGTTTTGATTGTAAGTTCTTTGATTTGAGAAATTTCGGTTACGTTTATAGTCGGTCTCAAATGACACTTTTCAATCATTTTTTATTGTTAGTTCTTTGCGAAGTTTGTTTACTTTGTCCTGGACTTGTTTCTTAGAGCATCTAGAGATAGAATGACCGTTCATCCTACAATAATCACAGAAGCGTGTATTATTTTGTCTGCCTTTTACATCCGGATCTCGGCGCCGAAAGGAATGTTGTTCGTTTATGGCACTAACCTCTTGATTTTTAATCAATTTGGTTAGTTATTTTATTTGCGTCTCTAGTGATGTCATTTTATCTGTCCAGGTTTTGTTTGCAGGATCAGTGGCGACGATAAAAGTTAAATCTTTTGTAATTATATGATTTGTAAACGTTTCCCATCCTGCGTTGGGGTTTTCTGTCATATATTCATGAGCTTTCTGCTTCAGAGCTAAGGGTTTTAGACCTTTAACTGAGAAATCTATATAGTTTTGAGTTCTTTGTCTCGTTTGTATATTTTTTTCCAATGCCTGTGCATCGGCATCAACATGGACAGTAGTATCAATGCTTTCAGGCCAACCCTTGTCGGCTGATGTTTTAATCCTATGGAAGTAATTTTTTATTAGTTCGCCCTCTTGTCGAGTGGCATTTTCAGCATCAATTCGATGCTTGAATCGATCTCTACCATCAGTGAATCTTTTAAGAAAAAGATTTTTTAGTTCAGCCCAAGTAGTAGCATTAGTTACTTCATCAGTATACCATTCAAGAGCTGTTTCTGTTAATAGAGATCCAAACAAACTTTTTTGTCTGTGATCATAGTTAGGCTGAGCGCCAGCGTCTGTGGGTCGTTGCCCTAGTGAAAATACAATTTTATTCTCAACTGAAGTCCAAAAGGCTTTTGCGTTTAGGTCTGAATCATTTCCTGAGAATGATACAAAAGACAAGTTAGGATGGGTGATTGGGTGATCGGCCATCTTACTTTTTTTAAGTTAAGATATCCAATTTAAAGTTTTGAAATTTTTGAAATATTGATAATTTCAACTTTTGAAATTTTCAGCTTTTTGAAATTTTGATAATTTAAATTTTTGAACTTTTCAACTTTTTGAAATTTTGATAATTTCAATTTTTGAATTTTTGATAATTTCAACTTTTGAAATTTTCAACTTTTTGAAATTTTGATAATCTCAGTTTTTTGAGATTTTGAAAATTGAGTGAATGTTTGAAACTTGTGTGCCTCACTGGTCGCACCAATTATTCCAAACTAACTTGACTTAACTTATGCGATCGACCAAATCGCAGTTAGTTAGAACAAGGGGTCTTTCTGAATGTTGCTAAGACTTTCCTATTCTTATTCAACAGACAAAGTTTCTTTCACTCGTAAATAGGTATATTATTTCAAATATAGAGGACACACATCAATTTTATATCAAGAGACATTGGGGTATGGATTGATAGTTATCGAGATAGAGATTTGAGATTTTGGTTATTAGGATGGTTGGGGGTCTCAGTATGAGAGTGGTTGTGAGAGTTGAGATTTTGAGAAAGTGATGAAGTGATGTTTGGTATATTTTCGCTTGGCTTATATACCGTAGATTTTGATATTTTCAACATTCCATCTGTTGGTTAAACCAATCAGAAAGAAACAACACATGCTGTAATGTTTGCTTTTGGTGATATTTTATCAACCGAGCAAACACGTAATTTCAAGTCAAAAGTTTAAGAATTATGTTTCTGATTTCAAGTCAGAACACGTCACCAAAAAAGGATATCTCAAAATAGTACAAAGGGGGACTCTTTGGGTCGGCAAAGGGTCGAATCCTTGGGAGGGGAGGCGTCCGCAACCCCCGCCCCCTCCCCCTAAATCCACCCCTGGTCCAGATAGAGACAACGGAGCAGAGAATTGTGTTAAATTCAGGTGGCTATGGAAGTGTGTGATAACAATTTTCAGGTGTTTTTGTTTTAAAATCTTTTTGGGTCTTAATGGATTGACGCAGGAATAATTAACCAATAGATTTTCTGTTTGCTTTCCTGCCCAATAATCAATTTGAATACATGAAAAGAAAACTATAGAGTTCAAAGTTCCAAGAGGTTTTATTCATAAATTTTAATTTCGCTGTTATTTTACACTTTTTTTAAACTATTTTACCAAAGTTTTTTTTAATTTTAAGAACGTGTTTTCGTTTTCAAAACCAATTGATTTTAATTGAAAAACTTCAAACGGAAAAACCAAACGAAACAATTCTTTCTTCAAACTTATTTGAAGCGTTTCATTTACGTTTTAGAAAATTATTAGCTTTGATTATAAATGTTTTTTTTGCTCTAATTACGATATCAGAGAAAAAAAATTAATAATAATCTTTCCGTCGTGATCTGATGAAAGCTAAAAAAAAACCTAGTAAAAAGTCTTTATTTTTTGCAAATGATAAAACAATTGAAGATTTTGCTTCTTAGAGCGATGAGTCATTGGTTATTTTTAGTGCTGCTAGTGCAATAAAAACGCATTGAACGTTTAAAAAAATTTTTGTGATTTCTTGTAAATTTAAGTTGTCGTTTTTGTTTTAAAAGTTTTTGACAAAATTAATGTGGTCCAAAACTTGTTTATTTGCTTTGATTTTGTATACTTCGAATTTTCTTCTGAATTGCATAAAATCAGCAAAACAACGTGCTTAAAAAAATACCTTTAGTAAGTCAAATCACAGAAAAAAGAACAAAAAGTAATAATTTGACGAAAACATTCAAGAATTGCATCAAAACAGTTCTTTTAGGGCAGTTTGAAGGCTTAAAAAACCAATTTCAGGTAAAAAAGAATTGATTCGAATTGAAAATTGAAATGCGTCTTACGTTAACTGTATGAAAAAGCTTATGCTTCACTCTTATTTAAAACTAAAGCTAAATTTTAATTGATTTTCGCGCGCTTTCATTTTGCTATCGGAGAACAGAAGCTGATCTCTGCCAGAAAAACGATTCTAAATCTGACTTTAGAATGCAAAAGACCTATAGAAAGACCCAAAACTAATTTGTACGTCGCAACTCCAGCATAGCGACAAGTTGTCGCAGTTGGAACATGCAACAATTGCAATTAAAATCAGAAGTCGCTATGCAATTTGGCTACAAGTATTTTCAAACCATTTGTTCACTCATTTTTGGTTCTTTTTTTTGCTTTTTGTGCGTGGTCTGAGATAAACTCAACTTTTTCTGGAATTATTCCAAAAACTTTTACTGGTTATATTTACTTTTTCACAACTTACACAGAAGCGCAACTGAACTTTTGCGATATGACACAAACGAAGCGTTGCAAGCGTCTAAAAACTGAGACTAAAGCCACAAAGTAAAAAAGAATCGTACAAAATTTCATATGTTTTTCTCAATTGATGCTCAATTCGAGGAAAATATGTACCTTCACAGAGAGGCAACTAAGCCGACAATAATTGAATAAATAGACTCCCATTGAACCAGAACATTGAACCAAAGTTTTACGCCTCAGCCCTCCTCAAACCTTCTAAATCACCAGCGGATTTGAGGGGGGGGGGGCGGACGCTCCTTCTCCCTCACTCCCTCAGGAATTCGACCCCCTGCCGACCCAAAGGCTTCCCCCTTTGTACTATTTTGAAATATTCATGTTTGGCGACGGACCCTAAAAATTTTTTAAAAGCGCCTTTGGCGCCATTATATATTGATTTTGAGAGGGGAGCGAGCGCCGAAAAAAAACGCGATTTTTTGGTCAAATTTTTTCTAAAAATTGCTTAAAAACGCCTTTTTTGGTCTGTTTTTTCAAAATTTTCTAAAGAAAGCTCGACAAAATTTTTGAAATTTTTTGAAAATCTGCCCCCTTTGAAACAATCTTAGATCCTGCTCTAAATCATCAAAAAAAACTAAATTTGCCCTCAAAAACGGAGCAATTTAAGTTGACTAAGCCGATATGAAATACGCAGAAAAAAAGCTCTAGTAAACTACTGGAGCTTTTTATATGTTGAGCGATAAAACTAATACCGTGATTTCATCAAAATATTTCGACCAATTTTTATAAACACCGAGAAAAAAAAACAAAATTTGAATTATTTCACTGCTGCGCGAAACAAGACTACTGTGCGTAACACGAGATATGGTATTCTGCGACTTTGTTTGACGCATCTCAAAACCAAAGTGAATGCTCTCTTTAAGTGATCGGAAACAAAACAATCAAGTAGTGGCATTGTGGCGCTCCGGTAGTGGACGTGCCCAGCAATCTAATGATTGCTGGTTCAAATCGCACGTGCGCTGCAATTTGTAAGGTGAGCTCTTGCAAGTAAGTCATAGCTTAAAGGGTGCTGAATATTTGCGCTCATGTCAACCTAAAATAATTAACCCCCGAGATAGGCCTCCGGGCTGGTTGACAAAAAAAAAAGTAGATGAGTGATGTGTACTGACCGAGTCCCATAGTGATGTTTTCAAGGAGGAAGTCTAGTTTCTCGAAGACCGCCTTCTGGTTCTGACAGCTGGAGCGACAGAAGAAGGAGAGGAATCGACAGCACACAGACACTATCTCGCTGTTCCATTCGTTCCCACCAGCAGCTAAATAAAAGCAGCTCAAAAGTGTTTAAAAATTAGGGAGGATTAAATTAAACGGTAAAAAATCAAAAGTGAAGGCATTTTATTGGTTAAAAAACATAAAAACTCGACACGAACATTTCACCTTGAAAGGTAGGAATCAACATTTTTAGAACTAGAACTTCATTCAAACGTACCCTCCAACCCGGAGGCAGTTGAGTTCCTCCTCTCTGGCCTCCCGCCGCTGGTCCCGGGGATGAGCGAAGATCTCCTCCTTCTACCCCCCTCGTCCCCTCCCTTCTCGGTAGACGGGGGTGCCCCGGAGGAAGATGAGTCCATGGAGCTGCTCATGATGTTGACCATGACGGTCATGACTGACTCGTGGGCATTCAGTTTGCGTATGAGTTCAGGGTGTTGGTAGAATACAGTATTGAACGTCATTTCGCTGAAAAAATAACAAAAATAACTATAAGCAAAACTCTAAAAATACGATCAATACGAGGAGCCAATTTTGATACTTATTCACAAAGAGAGTAAAAAGTAAACAAGTTTTTCTCTCCATCTTTTATGCAGTCACTATGACACCGGAATAAAAAAGTATCCCTTTGAAAAACGCTCAAATAAGTTCAACTACCCGATGTTCTCACTTTATATACTGATCTCCAATTAGAGAAGGTTCATAATTTCGATGAAATCGGTGAAAACATATTTGAGCTACATCGAGCAAAGTCGATCATTTATCGCTCAGTCGAAAAATAGAATCATGATTTTACATGGAAAGGTCGAAATGGTCGTGGTTGAACGGATTCACGTTCACTTAATTAGGTACTGAACTTGAGACGAATACAATCTTTATTCCTTTCTTATAGTATATTTTAGCCGATTAAGAGCCTCTTATTTGATCGACTGTTTTATTGTCTTGTGGTTACACAGGGGCGGATTTAGGCGCCACTATATACTAATTTTGAAAGTAAGCGCGCGACAAAAAAAACGCAATTTTTGAACGGCTTTCTAAACAATTGGCCTGCGGCGCAAAATTTGTGGTAAAAATAAGGTCTTAAGGGTGATCTGGGAGCGCTCGAAAAATCAATTTCGGCCGAGCTTGAAAATCAGCACCCCCTTCCCTCCGCGGGAAAAACCTAGATGCGCCCCTGTGCGTACCTGATGGAATCGATCATGGTCTTCTCTTCGTCTGAGCCCATGGACACATTGAGCAGCTGTCTCACTGTGCAGAGACACGTCAGCAGCTTCCTCACATTCGACTCACACTCCCCACCCACCACGTACGTCTTCTCCAGCCCCCCGATTAGCTGCAAACAAAACAAAATATACATCATCACACATTCATTGATCAGTTTTGACAATCTACACTTTTTAACGCCACAATTGGGTGTTTTATGGAGTTCATTACTCCTGAAAACACCCAATGATGCTTTTTTGACAATCTTTTAAGCATGCTAGGGTTCCTAGCCAGAAAAATGATGTGCTAATAAGTCTAAGAATCTAGTGCTAGCGATATCAGAATCAGTTCGCCAAAAAATTCTTAAGACACTTTTCTTCAAGATTTTGCGAAAGAAACAGTATCTGCCGTATATTGAACAAGATCTCAGCCTCCCATTATCTGTTTTTTTATTTTTTTGTTGATTAAGTTTATGACCATCAATTTAAGACCTGGTTGATTTCGTCGTACTGCCTGAAGAGAAGCAGAAACAGACTCTGGATGAGTGAGTCATCCTGCATCTCGGAGTTTTTGGCCCACTCGACCAGAATGGACACGACTGTGTCTCTAAATGCAGTGCCCTTACACGACATCACAATCTCGACCTCTTCCTCCTCCTTCCGCCCAAGCCAGGAAAGCAAGGACTTTATCATCCGGGAGGTCCGCGACTCCTCGATGAGCTCAATCTCCATCTCGGGTTTGGGCGTGTCTTCAGACAATGTGGACTTGTTTTCTTCAGGTTCGGTTTGGTTCACGCCTATTTGCTCCAGCAGGCTACCTACATTGAAGATAAATTGTAGCTCACCCGGAAATAACGGCAGAAAAACGGTAAGTTCATCGGCCTTCCGACAGTGGTCAGCTCAGCAGCAAGCACAGCAAGCTGTTTGTTGCCTGCATTTAAGGATAAAAAAAGATTTTCTGATTTAACGATGCTCACATCAATTGAAAACTGTACCGAGCTGAACATGTCTTTGATAGGAACTGAAAAAATCTGGTTGTCATTATATTCACAGCTTAAAAAAATCCCGAAAAATTAAAACGTGCTTATGACTGCCAGATTTTTGATAATAATTTCATACAGACACTCAGAAAAGTCATCATAAAAAGTCAAAATGATGCTAAAAATTGAATTTTTACTAACTGTGGAATTTGTGCAGTAACTCTTGAAGGTCTTTTCTGCAGGGGCTGAAGGGCTGCTCAACCTCTCGATAGCTGATCATCGACTTCATCTGCTCAAGGGGTTTGCACCTATAACCAGATGCAATTTTTAACATTTCATGCAAGTGAACTCCCAAAAATGCTCAAAACTGCTGAATACTTTTTAATCAAATGAAATGCAATTACTTTAGGTCACTTAACTAATTCTTCTGTAAAGTTACAAATTCTGAGAAAAAATGCAGGACCAACTCGCCTGAACTCTTTAGTCTTCATGGCCAATACTGATGCTTGTTCTTCGACAGTATTAGTGGTGATCTCAATGTAACGTCTTCTCTGATCGAACTGCCCCTCTCCCACGAAGTTGTTGGCGAATTGGACCAACTGACCAATTATCTGTCTCAATTCACTACTCTTCAAATAGGTCATCAATTTAATCAGTTCTACTTTCGCCATGTCTTCTAACTCGAGGTGAATTAGACCCGCATTCATTAGCGAATGAGTCAGCGAATTGGCGCGCGTTTTTCGTCTCGACATATTAGGAACTCCAGATTCTTTTTTCTTCAGCAAATGCGGATCTAGAATGGCTACCAGTTTTTGCATCTCAGAGACGGATAGCAAGCCGTTCAATAATAGACAATTTATTAGTTTGAGACACGGAACGAGGAAATAACTGTGCGATCCACCGGGCGGGTCTTGCCTCTGGAAACTTTTTTCACCGGCCGGAGGCAAAGACTGTTCCATCGCTTTTATTACCACATGTTTAAGCTCGTCAGTGTTGACTTTAGGTGGGCCTAATTTTGAGTAGTTGAAGTTTTTGGGCGCGTCGGCCATTGGTAAGACGGGTTCTATTTCGGGTTGGATTAGGTTCGGAAACTCCATGATCGAAAGATCGACTTCGATTTCAGTTGTGTCTAATTTTGGTAGCGATTCAATTCCCTCGCTTGGAAGTGTGAATATAAATTCATTTGATGTCGAAAGCAGAGCATCTGTTCTGTACTGGAAATGCATAGCGATTAGCAAATTGAAGAATTCTAAACGCAGGGGTCCCGGAAGTCTGTTGCACTGAATCAAAAACAGAAACTGTTTCTCGTCAATTAGGTCAGTTAAAATGTGGGCTGCTTTGTGGTTGCCGTGCTCGCACATTGCTGAATAAAGTTGAAGTGTTTTGCAGTGGTATTCTAGCCAGTCGGTTCGTTCTGTCAGCTCAACGATGTCGTAAGATGTCCCGGTGGCGGAGTCGAGAAGAGAGCAAAACTTGTGAGGGATATCAGTGAGAACCCTCCAACCTAAAAAAGAATTTCTTCTACGTCTTCAATTTTTGTCTTTATATTTTACAGCTTCCAAAAAACAGCATGAAATTATCAGAATCTTTGGGAAATTGTTAGATTATATATGTTTGATTTTTTTTACGGAAAAAGTACAAAACGAACGTTTACATTACTAAAATATGATGAAAATAGAACAAATCAAGGAATTTTATTGAGCTTTTCAGCTCTTTGAGAGAAAATCCTGAAAAATCTTGAAAGAAATTGTCTGAAACTGGACTTTAAAAAGATACCACGAGAACAGTGGTGTTCCAGCCAACGTGAAAATGTTTCGGATATATTTAACTATTTCTCACTTTTACAAAAAGGGGAAATAGTTAAAGATATCCGAAACATTTTCAGGTTGGCTGGAACACCACTGTTCTCGTGGTATCTCATTAAAGTCCAGTTTCAGACAATTTCTTTCAAGATTTTTCAGGGTTTTCTCTCAAAGAGCTGAAAAGCTCAATAAAATTCCTTGATTTGTTCTATTTTCATCATAGTTTAGTAATGTAAACGTTCGTTTTGTACTTTTTCCGTAAAAAAATCAAACATATATAATCTAACCAGTTTCCAAAGATTCTGATAATTTCATGCCGTTTTTTTGGAAGCTGTAAAATATAAAGACAAAAATTGAAGTAGTAGAAGAAGACGAAGAACGCAAGTTTTTGTCAACACTTTTCAAAAAGAGGTCAGTTTGTCCAGTTTTATTTCTGCTCCCTCCCAAAAGGAATGAATAAAAAAAAGGACTTTAAAGCTTTCATTCATAATTTTGAAAACTTATAATGAAAATCTCCCCACATTCACATGAACGTACCTCAAATAATACTTATCAAATTTGCTTCTATTTTGTTCAAAATTTTTAAAATATTAGTTATCAAATTTGCTTCTATTTTGTTCACAATTTTTGAAATATTAGTTATCAAATTTGCTTCTATTTTGTTCAAAATTTTAATAATAGTTATCAAATTTGCTTTTATTTTGTTCACAATTTTTTTAAAATGGTTATCAAATTTGCTTCTATTTTGTTCACGATTTTTAAAATAATAGTTATCAAATTTCCTTCTATTTTGTTCACAATTTTTAAAATAATAGTTATCAAATTTGCTTCTATTTTGTTCACAATTTTTAAAATATTAGTAATCAAATTTGCTTCTATTTTGTTCACAATTTTAAAAATAATAGTCATCAAATTTGCTTCTATTTTGTTCACAATTTTTAAAATAATAGTTATCAAATTTGCTTCTATTTTGTTCAAAATTTTAATAATAGTTATCAAATTTGCTTTTATTTTGTTCACAATTTTTTTAAAATGGTTATCAAATTTGCTTCTATTTTGTTCACGATTTTTAAAATAATAGTTATCAAATTTCCTTCTATTTTGTTCACAATTTTTAAAATAATAGTCATCAAATTTGCTTCTATTTTGTTCACAATTTTTAAAATAATAGTTATCAAATTTGCTTCTATTTTGTTCAAAATTTTAATAATAGTTACCAAATTTGCTTCTATTTTGTTCACAATTTTTTTTAAAATGGTTATCAAATTTGCTTCAATTTTGTTCACAATTTTTAAAATAATAGTTCTCAAAATTGCTTCTATTTTGTTCACAATTTTTAAAATATTAGTTATCAAATTTGCTTCTATTTTGTTCACAATTTTTAAAATAATAGTTATCAAATTTGCTTCTATTTTGTTCACAATTTTTAAAATAATAGTTATCAAATTTGCTTCTATTTTTTTCAAAATTTTAATAATAGTTATCAAATTTGCTTCTATTTTTTTCACAATTTTTTTTTAAAATAGTTATCAAATTTGCTTCAATTTTGTTCACAATTTTTAAAATAATAGTTATCAGTTTTTCTTCTTTTTTGTTCACAAATTTTATTGTTATTTAGAAGTTATACCATTAGAATGCATTTGCTTGCCTTTGTCTGCGGCATTGATGAAGGTGGCCTGGAAAGAGTGTTCAGGTAGTGCCAGCCAGGAGGCGGAGTCATTCACCTGAACTGACAGGCAGGGGGGACATTCCGGGTAGAAGTTGGTCAATAGATCAGGTCCCATCCACTCACAAGACAGTGGCAGGGCAAACAGCGACCGCGTCAGCTCAAATTGCAACGTGTCTTTACAAGTGGGCTTCACGTATACACACGGAAACAACATCTGTCCTGTTTCGACCTGAAATTAACCGTGCTTCTTTAATTCACCGCCAGTAATCAACCGAATAAAAATGCAGATACATCCATTTTTTGAGAGGGTAATGGGGTCAAATTTTTAGGCCGAACGTGAATTAAACCATAGAGAATTACTTCTAATTCTTTCCTGCTTCAATAACATTTTTGCTCAACATCAGATTTTGCTAAATTAAAACCGGAGTAGAACAAGAGAACTGTGAATGGGGAAAAACGAAAGACGACTAGCTTGAAACTTAGTTGAGCAGATCTGTTTGTTGATGACGAAAGAGATCACGCCAGAGGTCACGTCAATCATCACATCTATCTGCAGTCCAGTCAGGGCGTTGTTTATGCCTCCCCCGGGAGCCCCCTGGCCACTGCTGCTCCCTGGGGTGGGCGGGAACGCCTCCGCACACAAGCCAGCCACACTGGCCATGTATAGGTTGCGTCTTTGGTATCTAAAATGAGTTATATAGAGAGTTGCAAAAACTTCGCATACATACAATTAAAATAAAGAGCAATTTCCTTATTTTCGAAAAGTTTTGCAGGCGAAAGCAACTTTTCAGGCTGATTTTATGTCTCAAGTGTCACGAAATTTTAAATATTCATCCAAAATTTGTTCAGAATTGGAAGAAATATGGCTCTTTTTGATTAATTCTGTCTATCCGAAATTTTTTCTTTTGTTATTCTTCAAAAGCGTGATATAGGTTCCGTTAATCTCGGCTCATATCGCGGTTAAAATTAATAATAAACTCATTCGTAAATTCGGCGAGTTTTTTGAAGTCGAAAGTTTGTAATAAAAAAACATTAGATATTTTTTAAAATTTGATATAATGGGGACAATTAAAAAACAGAAGAAACTACTGGAATTGCTAAATTCAACAATACTTAAACAGTTCAAACGTAATCATTGATGCAGCCGATAACCAAAATATAAATCTACACTTTTAATCTCCACCACTTTCTCCACCGAATTTGTACCTGTGCTTGGGGGAAAAAGGGCAGCATGAGTTTCACAGAAGAAGACCACACTTGGATCTCTCTACAATACGGTACGCTAGAGTTATCGATGCCCTAGAAACTGAGTTCAAGAATGAACGCAACGAAACCTATGAAACATTCCAGTTATTGGCCAGGAAACAACAAATTGGAGAATCCTTGGAGCAGTTTCATTCGGTTTTAAGTGAATTAGCAGCACGGTGCAACTTTGGAGCGTTGGAGACAAGAATCTTAAGGGACGTGTTCATTGTGAACATGAATAATAGAGAGGAACAGAACGAACTATGTCGATCAACAAAAACACCAGAGGAGATGTATCGGGTCGCGCTCGCATACGAACGTGGATACAAGTACGCTAAGACATATGGATCGACGACCGTGGGAGCATCAACTAGCGGCACCACCGGTGGAGCTGGAGCGTTCCAAATCAAAACAGAACCGGCGGGGACGATCCGAGGGAGATATCGGAACAGCAGACAGCGCGGCCGTTGATCGTTCAGGAGACGAGCGGATATGAGAGGGGGAGCATCTAAAAGGTGCTATAACTGATCAGCCCAACTTTACTCTGGAACTTCTGACAAGATGCCCGGCTAGAAGCGCCACGTGTAATTTTTGCCGGAAGACAGGACACTACGAGAAAACCTGTCGGGGAAGGCGTACTAACCGAGGGAGACCGGCGGTGGGATTGATTCAGAACCAGGAGGATGTGGACGTTAGCGAAATAGGCGACGCTGATGATGTCTACTCGCAGCACGAAAACTCAGTTGGATCGGTCAACACGCCGGAGAAAAGGCAACGATCGTGGGATTGGGACAGCTCAGGAGATTACGTTGTAATGGCCATAAAATCTCGGAAGGAGACAGAGTTGAAAGTGGCCGGCGCTAGACTACCAATTAAAATTGATGGTAGGAAAACCAATGTTTGGATAGATAGCGGATCGCCGATCTCAATATTCAGAGTTGAAGAATTGAAACGAATTTTGGGCACCGCCGGCGTAAATCTAAACAAGCTAATACCGGAGGATGACGAATTCAGGGACTAAAGGAACAAGCCTTTACGGCTGTTAGGAACGATGAACGTGTTACTTGAGACAAACGGATGGGCAACGGAAGCTAGAATGAAGGTGATAGGAGGAAACAGACCGTCGATCATTGGAAGGGACCTGATGCCAAATCTGGGATTACAATTAGTGCAACAAACACCGGAGCAGAAGGTGATGTCAGTTCAAAGAAAACAACCGGGGGCTGAAACGTCGAGCAAGGAGGACTCATTAGACCCGTGGCAGACTTATTTCAGTGAGCAATTTGATAACCTTTTTCACAGAGTCGGTACAATTGAGAATTACATGGTACAAGTAGAATTTTTCGAAACATTAACACCAATTCAACAAAAAGGACGGAGAGTACCGATAGCACTACAGGTCAAAGTCGATAAAAAAATTAGTAAACTTTTGCAACAAGGGCATATCGAAAAACTGGAAGAATGTTCTGACAAATATTTTGTCTCGCCAATTGTAATCACAGTGAAGAAAGATGGGTCTGTAAAATTAGCATTAGGGTCTAGGGAGTTAAATAAACATATCCACAAGAACAAATATCAAATGCCCAATATCGAAGAGCTCATGGATACCGTCGGACAAACGATAAGCGAACGGAAACCAGGGGATGTTTAGTTTTCTACGATGGATCTTACATACGCGTACGGTCAGCTACCACTTAGTCCAAAGACGAGCGTTCAATGTAATTTTTCGTTAGTGGTGGGAAAATCAACGGACTCGTATCGTTTTTGAATGGGACTCTACGGCCTCACAACCATGCCGGCGGAATTCCAAAGAGTAATGGATACAATCCTGTCGGAATTTCCACAGGCACACGCATTCATAGATGACATCCTGGTTGTCACGAAAGGCACCGAAATTGAGCATATCTCGGCGGTCGAGAAGATTTTACGGAAAATAGATCGGGAAAACATGTCGCTAAAACTTACTAAATACCAATTCGCGCGAAAAGAATGCGAATGGTTGGGGCATAAAATAACTTGCACCGGAATTACACCGCTAATCCGAAAAACGGAACCAATCGAGTCCCTAAAAGCTCCTAAAACAGTTTCGCAATTAAAATCGTTCATAGGCTCCATTCATAGCCTACACACGTACCTCCCAGCACTCGCGGAATCATCGGCCTCGCTACGCTCCCTATTAAGCAGGAAAAATGAATATATCTGGACTAGTGAGTGTCAAATACCATTCGAGAATCTAAAAAAGCAGGTAGCGAACATAGTGGAACTCCGGCATTTCGATATACACCGTGACACAAGAATTGTCTGTGATGCAAGCCATAACGGGCTCGGCGCGGTCCTTGAACAACTCAATTCCGACGGATGGAGGCCGATATCTTTCGCATCCCGGTACTTAAACGAGGCGGAGAAAAAGTATTCAACGAACGAACTGGATATGCTTGCAGTTGTGGGGGCGGAATATTTCCGAAATTATGTGCTGAGGAGAAAAATTTTAATCATCACGGACACAAAGCCCTGGTATCGTTGCTAAATGGGAACAACAAAAAAAAAGACTAAGTTTAGTAGATTAACCCGGTGGCTAGATCGCCTTATACCGTTTGATTTTCAAGTGGAACACAAGCCCGGAGCTAAAATTGGTTTCGCGGGTTACCTATCGAGGCACCCGAGTTCGGACTCTAAACCGGTCGGCACATATGATAGTATGTTCACGGTTGCGAAAATTATTCAAATTAGATCCGCGCTCGGATTTAAAAAGAAAGATTTCTCAAAAGGTAAACTCGAGTCTCCAAAGGCCAATAATAATAAATGCGTTGGTAATATATCAAATAGAAAACAGCCGGTAGAGGGCGAAAGAACATGCGGCGGAAATTGGACCAATCGCAGAGCGACGAATTGCATTTCCGGCAGTTCACTTAAGTACAGTGAGAACTTAATTGGGACAATTATTGAAACAGATTTAGGTTATTCACAAACGCGTATAAATTTCAAAAACTCAAAATCTAACCTAAATATGGAACGCAAAATCATGAAATTACTGGAACAGCACCCTAGCATTAGCAGTAGCGACGAGAGAGAGGAGATAAATCAAGATATACAGGCAGTCACAACAGAAGTCCGGAGCACTAAAAGTAACACCATTATTTCAATTCCTTCGGTTTACCCTGGCAAAAGTTATCCGCCCGGTTTACCCGGATCTACATATAAAAATCGCAGCAATGAGTAAATATTATGCACAATACACTCAGGATTTTCATGTGAAGGACGGATGCCTATGGATGGATGAGAAACTCGTAATTCCAAACACTTTGCAAACGGCGGTAAACGACAGACTGCACTATTACCACCATGGGAAATCGAACATATACGAGGCGGCAAAAGACATCTGCTACCCGTACATGTTCCGCAGCTTAGCGACAATCGCAGGAAATTGCCAAGAATGCACATTAGCCGTAAGAATTTGAAAAACATGTGCCCAAAAGGGAATGTAGGGAAAATACCTGAACCCAAGGAAATGTATGTATTCGTGCAGTTAGACTTTTGGGGGCCAATTAACTACTTAGAGGAATCTAAAAATGTTGATCTGGTGGCAGTAGATCGTCTTTCTCGATGGCCATCGGCCGTGGTGTGTAACTCAAATCGGTCGGACAAAATCGTAAAACTCTTAAAATCATATATAATCGCAAACGGAGTTCCGCGACAAATCTGAGTTACCAGGGAACGAATTTTATGTCCAAGGAGGTAAGAACATTCTGTCACGAAGAAGGAATTGAAATACTCACCTCGCCAGTTAACGATCATCGAGCAACAGGGTGCGTCGAACGGACCATCGGCAGTCTCAAGAACTCAGTACTAACGTATGCGCGAGAGGAGAAATTCGGAACCCTTGGAGCGGATGCTTGAAAGGGCCCTCGCTGCTTTGAGATTCGCTAAAAACGCCACCCTGAATCTAACACCGTTTGAAGCGCACCATGGTCGGGAAGCTAACACAGTCCTCAGAAACTTAACCAAAAAGCCATCATTAAGAAATCTAAATTGGGAAAACGTAATAAGCTCAAAATCTGCCTGTTTAGATGAACGAGACCCGTACGATCAAGCGATGCCAAAACCAAAAGACACAAACTGGGGAGTCCGCTCGGATACTGAGTACAACGTTAAGAACAGGCGCCACCCAATGAGATTAGCCGACGACCGGATCGCTAGCCAGGACAACAAACCAGGGATTGTTCGGACCACGGATGCGCCAGCGACAGCAATGCCACCAGCGGTGGTAATGCAGCGAACGGGAGAGCGCAACTTAAACAGGTATAAACCATTGAAATCCAGTATCATAAGTCAGAGTGAACATACTATTAAAATGAGTAACAGTGCTGTGCTTAGAAAATCGGGAGTGGCACTGAAACGGACCAACACTCCGAAGAAAAGGGTGCCTGGACAGATTACCGCACCGCCAACACTGTGAGATCTGAAACAGAAACTACTCGCAAACCGACCATCTAGCTCAAAAGGCACCACAGGCACCTTCCAAAGCACCCCAGGCATACAAAAGAAACGCCAAATCAGGGATAACGAGGAGGATTCGGAATCGGACGAAGACGACTATTTACTACTGTCGACGAAAATGCACGCGACCGAACTGCAGGGGAGTAACCCGGGGACGAACATTGAAAGGGAAAGACAAGGAACATCTAGTGGGGGACAACAAACGGAGACGATAACAATTCGACCAAGCACTTACAAGACGGCGACGGAGTACACTCTTGCACGAGAGGCGGAAATTGAAACAAACCGGAGGAAAAACGACACGACGGAAGAAAATCGAAAGGGGACGGAGCGCGACGAGGCTGAAACGCAGGACAGATCGGAGATTCCACAGACCGGAAGCAAAAAGCGGAGAAGGAAGCATTGGCTTGTTTCGTATTCTAGTCAAGATGCAGAGAATTCGTTAGACGAGACCAGCTCAAGACGTTCGGGAAGGAAACGTACGGCAGTAAACAGAATGGGGGCAGTCATGATTGACAATATCCAAAAAGCGGAAAAACCAGGGACGAAATAGAAAGGAGAAAAAGCATGAAAACAAAAACATTCTAAGTCCAGGGAGAGGGCATGCCGTGAAGCGGCAAAAACTCAATTGTTTAGTTTAACCTTGCCTATATCAGTAAACCAAAACTCTAGCTAAAACTCGTTGTTAACTTTCATTCATTTACATAACCACATTTCATTGAGTATTTAAATTAAGTCTTCTTTTCTCACAAGAAGGGGAATGTCATAGTGACTAAATTAGTTCACACTTTATGTTCAGTTTCATCCTACTTGTTGCTACCTAGTTTATCTATCTGTCTGGCGCTAACTGGTATTTAACCTTCGGAGTTGTCTGTCACCTTTGGATGACCGCCATTTCATTGTCTCCGACTAACTTTCTACATTACGGTTCTTAAACTTAACGGGTTAATTTACTTATCGAAACCGTCTTTTCACAACAAAATTGCGTAACAGTTACAAAAGTTATGCAAATTCTGTCAAATGATGTAGCTTTTCGGCTGGCTTATATACTCCGCGCATTTTCGGTTGGTTTATACTTCGGTTGGTTTATTTACTCTCGTCATGTACGTACACTCTAGCGCCTCCGTTGTTGTCGAACACTTTGATGAATGCGTTGCGAGTGGTGGAATCCATCAGACTTCTGCCCCCACCGTTTCCACTGTCAAATCCAGACTGATTGGCTTCCATGCTACCAGCAGATGACAGAATACCCTTTCCAGAGAAACTGGACGACGCCCATCCTATAGCAAGACATTGGTTAGCTCGGTACTATTGTGGCCATCGATATTTTCGAAGATCAATAAATGGTTGCTTTTTTCTAAAATCAAGCATGTTTACGGCATCTGTATGTAGAAAAACAACAAATTTTAAGTTGGCGGGGATAAATTAAATGGCAAGGTTCGAAAAGATCTTTAATGACCTATGAGCATAGATGAGGTGTCTTGACCCTGGTAGACTCGCACACTAAACTGGTAGCGGGATCCGTTTTGCTCGAAGTTGAATAGCTCCTCAAACTTCTTCTGGTTCTTCTGGCCGGTCATTGACCCCGGAGTGAACAGATTAGGAAGTCCGACAACCGAGGGTCTGTAGGGACGAGTATCACTGTTCACATTACGCAACGTTGTCTTCATGATCTTCTTCAGTGATTCGTCTGCGAATCCAATCACGAACGAAGGCTCTTCTTCCGAATCTTCGTCGTCTAAAACAATTTATTAAAATTTTGAAACTGAAAATTTATTTGGATCTAAAAAAAATATCTGCCATTTTTTTTCAGAATGCAACCGCACGAAAACTTTAAGTCGAGAAGCAACAAAACTTAATAGAAAGCAACAAAAACATAACTACAGAACAAGTGACTTTGCCAAAAGTAATCTGCTATAAAAATTGATGAAAAAAAAACCTTCGCAAAATTTTTGCCAAACTAATGCATTTAAATGTGGGACAATTTTGAGATTCTTTGATAATAGTTATCACACAAAAATCTTGCAAAGATCTTCCAAATTAGACTTAAGTCGTCTAGCCCCTTGCATGATGAACATAATCCTGCAAGATCCTTGCAATTAAAGTTAACATAATTTGCAGAAACTGTGGAAGATCTTGCAAGATAATGGCTATCAGGTAGAGCAGTCATGGAGATCTGCTAGATTTATTTTTTTGAATCATCAAGTCGGATATTATCTCGCAAATTCTGTCATAGGTTTTTTCAGGGTCATGCCTCGATAAGCTGCATAGCTTTTTGCATGATCCTTGGTGGGTTTGATTTGTACATGCGGTTTATTGTTTACCTGTCTGTATAATATTACTATCCTAAATAAACAATCCAAATCCAAGGCCATAGTTCTACTTACCAGAGTGTGCGACAACTTCCACTGGCTGTTCACGGTGCTTGGTCTGCAGTAGTTTCAGGTTGGCCGCAGTGTTCACCTTAGGGCGTCCCTTTGAACTCGGCTCTGGAAAGAAACATCGCCTGTTCAGCCAATCATGCACCAGTAGCAAGTAAATATGATCTATATTATATTACGCCTTTTTTAAATGCCGCAGACGAGATATGGGATGCTCATTTATACTGTTTCGTCAGTTTTAAACTTTTCATCTTCGCATTTTCGAAGATCGACACAAAAAAAACGAGAAAATCGAGTTGCTTAATTGCTAGACAGTTGAAATAAAGGAACCATTTGAATGCTATAATTCTTCTTAAATGACTTGTCTTTCAGATGAAAATGATATGATAATTTTAAATAGAAAAAAGTCTCACGGAAGAGAGCAAGCAGAGACGTTGGATCCTGCTTCTTCCTTATCTTGCTGTACTCGATTGGGGGTCGGTTCAAGTCGGGGTCCTCCTCTGATTCCTCCATGATCGTATTCTCCCCCACCGGCCCCGAGTACTGACCCCCTCCCCCACCACCAGCATAACCAAATGTGGATGCTTTGCTCGCACTTATGGCCGCGTTGGCGATTTCCATCTCGGTAAGAAAGCCAGGTCGCACCGGCATCTTTCCCGTCACTTGTACTGGCAAGTTGAGACGTAGAAAGTGACCGCTAGTCTTGGCGCAGCTGCGCTCAGATAACTGCCCCTCCCATGTCATTTTGAGAGCGGGGAACAAAATTCCGTCATTGTTTGTACTGAAAAAATTACTAATTGTAATTTACAAAAACTTAAAACAGACATCGAGACGTAGTAATAAATAAAGGAGACATCGATTTCGTGTAGTGAAACGAGCATATACTTTAAAAAAAGACTTTTTTCCGAGTTTGAGTGTTTTAAAAATATATACTTTAATGGGCAATTAGCGAACAAGTATGCTGCCAAATTTTGCAAGCTTAACGTTAAATTTGAAACGTACCTTTTTCTATTGGAAAAAATTCTTGGGATCAAAAAATTAAAAAAACCAAATTATTTTAAGTAAATTAAAAAAAACTAATTAAAGTCATAAAAAAACTCTAGAATACTTGAAAATGATTGCAAAAATTGACGCATAAAGTTCACGTTCAATGTAAATTAACCTCATGGTCTTTGTTGATTTGAAATTGGCCTTGCCCCCCTCAGCCGTGACGTCATCCACATTCCGGAAGTGGGGAGTGCGCAGACTAGCCCACAGAGGCAGGGGTCTCTTCGTCTCGAAGCAGAGGGGCACGAACCCCTGGTGGTAGGCATTGGCGAAGTAGAAACGAAGACTGTTCGGGTCATTGCCGAAGTTGACCTTTCCTCTCTCGCCCCTGGCCAGACAGAAAACTGGCACTAATCCTGTGACAAAACATCAAATCGATGCTTTTTTTTAAACAAATTGATTTTTTATTTTTATTTTACAATTTTCCATAAAATTACAAAAATAATCGAAAACATTTATTGAAAATGGATTATAAAATTACTATTTTTATCTCAAAAAAAACATTTCAATCGAATATAATCAATCTAATGGATTATAGCCGTTTTTTACAAAGTCTGAATAATCTGAAATTTTCAAACACACTGCATAGTAAATTCAAAATTTGAACATTGCTTCCGCAAAACACATGTTCCTTGCTTGAGCGAAAGTAATATTGGTTAGAAATTTAGAGTGCTTTTACTTTAATTTCTATTTTTTGTTTTCGTCAAATCCGCATTTTCTGATGCATTTTTTGTTTTTTTTTCTGAATTTTCGCTGCCTTTGATCTAAAAGGTTCGACCTGACAAAAGCGTTCTTTGGTCAGATCTTCCCATAAAGTGCGTAAAAACTTCCTTTCTACATGTTTTTCCAAAGGCCAAAATAAACGTGAAAGGAGAGGGGCTTAAGATTAAACGGACGTTATGAAATTACTTCGGTTTGGCATGGGAGCCATCCCTGAGTAATGTAAAAGTTATTGCAAGTTTGAAAAATTCATGGAGATTATAATCCATTATCAGCAAACATAATGAATTTTAGATAATGGATTATAATCGATTATCGTGGACTTCATTAGATTGTGTTTTACATTAGAAAATTGAAATTGAGTGACAGTGTTATAGATTTAAAGTCTGAAATTGCAAAAAATGATTTCTAGTAACAAACTTTCAGACAACATGTTTTCATTAGAATCTGGTTTTATTTATGGAGCTCCTGTGCGGAAAAACGTGTGTAATTTGACAATCTTATAATATTGTTCGCAAAAGAAAATACGATAAAATCAGAGTTTTTTGTGATTTACATGACAAATGATAGGCAAAAAAGTAACTAAAACATGAAATTGGCGGAGAATCTTCTCATGCGCAGAACTGATAATCGACATTTTTAAACCTAGATTAGTCATCACTACACTGCCAAAATTCGATTTAGATGCAAAATTGAAATTTATTGACAATTTTAGCTGGGCTTGGCTCGATTTTGAATCAAGCTTAATTGATCTTCTTTCGAAGCACACGAACTTCATTTAAATTGATTCTAGATTGATATAAATCCGTTTTTTTACTGTGAAAAGCTTTGTGTTCAAAGTTTTCGAATCAATTTGAATCCATTTAAATCAATTTACATCATTTTCCAAATTGTTTTTTTGTGCTGATAAGTTTATTCAGTGTGTACATGTTTCCGTCACTCTTGTAGGCTCTACTTTTAAGTTATATGAAAAATGGTAAGAAACTTTAAAATATGGTGTTCAGTTGATTTTGTGCGCTGATGTTGGAACTGAGAAAAATGCTTAAAGGCGAACTTCTTGATGCGAAATTAATGTTCCGTTAAATTTCTCAATTTTTAATAAATTCGCTTTCCCGGGAAAACTTTCACATTGCTAAGTCTTAAACGGATGCCCTTCAAACTATCGACTTGCGGTATACAACTCTCAGCAAGGCATTTTAGCTTTTAGCAAAACGTTTCGAGTAAAATTGATAATTAAATGAACTTGAAAATTGTACAAAGCTGCAAAACTGAATTATTTAGATCCCCAAAAAATTAATTTAAGTCAATTTTCTCGAGATTATGATTAATTTTAATAACTGTTAGGCACTGAAATCGATTAAAATTTTTCTTAAGATATCAATTTAAATTGAATTAATATGCATTGAAACAAGAAAAAGCGTTATTTTTAATCGAATCAGATTGACTTAAAATGGATTTAAATCGACACAAAATATTTTTATCAGTGCAGGCTACTCGCGTGGCTTAAGGGCAAAAAGCCATTTCCCTGTGCGTTTAAAAGATCGTATGATAGTCCTATACCCTATCTGAAAAATGAATAGCATATATTTTATTAGAAGTTATTGGTATCTAACACGCACAGTAATTAATTGGGTCGAGCTATTTTGATTTTTTTATTACCAAACTGCATATATGGGCCTATGGTGTTGTCATCAACCATCAATAAGGGGAGTGTGGTCTGTATTTAGACAACTGCATATTCGGATACTGTATTAACCAATGGGAATCGAGACAAGGAAGAAATGATTTTCATATCTTCCTTGTCTCGATTCTGATTGGTTAATACAGTGTCTGAATACGTGGTTGTCTAAATACTGCTACGTAACCGATAAAGGTCTCTGCAGCCCTGAGTACCTCCAGCTATGTTGAAGTGGTCGAATGCACTCTCCCTCCCCGTCACATCCATCATCATCTGGCCATTGAGGGAGAAGGCGATGGATCTCTGGCCGATGTCTACGAAGCAGCCCACCACGTCGCCCTTACTCCACACTTTTCCAAACTTCTCACATAACTCGTTCTGCTTCTCACCCTGTCGGCCAAAACTATAGATCATCTTAGAGACTTTAGAGACTAATTTAGATAGTGTACAATTTCTTGAGTGTTTTAATAAATGATTACCGGTAGAAGGTCCATTGCATTGGATTTAATAAGTTAACTAATTTTTTGTTCTCCGCTTAATGAGACACCTGAAAACCGGCCGTGCTGGCTAAATGGTGTTCTCCCAAACTATTCCAATTTGTAATTGTAAATTTTTGTAAATAACTCTGTAACTAGATATCGTTTGGAAACAATTTATTAATATTATTATGTTCTTAAATTGGGGCAACGTTAGTAAATGGGTATAGCCAAAACTTGATGAATTAAGCAAAAAAAGTGTCGCAAATGACATGACGTTTTCAATAAAAAACAAAATGGTTTGTTTAAAAAATCAAATGGATCAATTGAAGAGCTGATCTTTCTCTTGTATCTACTAAGTAGATTCAAATGTGTACACAAATTAGATTAGACCAAATGGTTCTATTTAGAGTTTTGCTTCAATAGCTGAGAACTATTTTTGGTCAACTTTTTGAGAACATAAACTGATGATCGCCTCAGAGTTCTTCAATACAAACTTTGAAGCCGTTGAAGAGAAAGGCGGTTGAGTCACACGCAGGTAGTTTGGAGGCAGACACTCCCTTCTGAGCCCAGCCAATGAGCATGAAGCCTTGAGTTAGTGGCTCGAACTCGTAGTACAGTTTACCCGAAGTCACGCTTCTCGTGTAGTCAGCTCGGTACACTCGGTAGTCGGGAACCACCGAAGGCTCTTGAAATAAAAGGCATCATCAGAACTTAGTTGTAGCTTTTGTGACAGCAGATTGCTCATTACGACTCGCCGAACAACAGCGCTAACTATCCGGGTTAAACATATTTTTTGGACGTTTTATTTGGTAATATTTTCATAAAAAGCTCCAAGTGATGTTTTTCTATGAATAAAGTAATAACTTAAAAATTTCATGTAGTTTTGATTTTATAAAGAAATTTTGTCGTAGAAAAACGGATCTTTAGAAACCACGTGACACTTTTTTAGGTCTTCTCGCCAATGTAATGTTGTCGTGTTTCGTCAAACTTTTATTTGCACGAAAACTCACTGCGACTGAGCATATTGTCGGATACATCTACAATCGGTGCCTCGATCCTATATCCCAGAACGACAATCAACTTGATAGCTTCCACAGCCGAGTTTCGAACTCCTTTCCTGGCTACCGGGTCCAGGTTCTTGTACTCTGTCAGCAAGGGAGTCCGCTTCATACTTGCACTCTAAACAGATTAAATTATCAGTCTATTCGATAAATATGTTTTCACAACCATAATCAACTGAAAAAGGCATGGTAGCTCCCCTTCCAACTAGATAATTAGCTGTAGGAAACTCACTCACCGTTGGAAATGGAAACAAAAATCAAAACCTAAAATTTTTTTTAGTTTTACCTGTTCATTAACCCTGCGTCAACTTGAAAACGAACTTCTGAAAGTTGATTCAATCGTCAATTGCGCAAACCAGGGACTGCGCAAACCAGGGATTGCTTAATTGATCCAAAAAAGGAAACAAGAAACTGGTTTTCAAGTTGACGCAGTTCGTTTTCAAGTTGACGCAGGGTTAATGAACAAGCTCTGGAAAGAAACCCTGTAAAGAATAGTCTCAAACCAGTTTCTTGTTTCCTTTTTTGGATCAATTAAGCAATCTCTCCCACCCCGTAATGACTATTTAAGCTATCCTCCCAAGCATAAACGTTATAGTGGTATAACCAGGGGCGGATCTAGGATTTTCTCGAGGGGGGCGGATTGTCAAAAAGTTTTTTGAAAATTTTGTCGATTTTTTTAAAGTCTACCAATTTGATTTTCCGAGCTGTCCCAAAGTACTAAGAAGTCCCTGGTTTGCACAAATTTTGTGCTCCGCAGACAAAAATTTGAAAAAAAACAAGCAAAGCGTTTTTAGGTACTTTTTTGAAACTTTTGACCAAAAAATTGCGTTTTTAGGCGCACGCGCCCCCCCCCCCTCAAAATTAGTATATATTGGCGCCAAAGGCGCCATTAGAAAAACTTTGAGATCCGTCAGCCAAAAATAGATATACCCCCCTCACGCCCCCCCCCCCCCCCCTAAATCCGCCCCAGGGTATAACGCTACAAAAGACTTACACAAATTCAAGCAGATGGTTGATGTGTTCATAGCACGCAATCAATTGACCTAGTGAAAAGTATTCTATATGTGACGAGAAAAATTGTTCGTAAAAAAAATCTTTTCAGCAAATTTTTGTTTGGGCGACTATTGCTGTCATACCTCAACTTATGATCTTCTAATTCTGGAATCTGAATGGATCGATAAGCTGATACTATAATCCGCAGCGAGGTAAAATAACTGATTTTAACCAACGTTTATTTTGGTCTGACCGTTCGTTTGGCCACCGTTCTAGAGAAGATCTCTCAAGTTCAACCAACCGGCCAAATGTATAGTTATAACATAAATCATAAGCTACGCGTAGCATAAATAACATATGTATAACTAGATTTGTCGATCGATGCCGGATGACATTCCCCCTGGACAAAGTTTTTGAAAATGTCTATGATTATAGTTTGAGTCTTATGGTCCCCGTGGGACCTTTCAAGTTTTTTGAGTTCTTGAGTCTCCGTAGGACTTTGAGTTTTCTTCTTCAATTTTTTCCGTCTTTTGGTATTTCGTCCTCTAGTTTGTTGTGTTCCTCGTCTTCTTGCATTATCTGTGGTTCGATGTTCTTGACGAACAGAATGTCGTTGTTGTTCTCTATATTTTCGTCTTCCGTTGGGGAGACGTCAGGTCCACCACGTCTGCTTGTTTGACACTGTGTTTTGGGTTGATGGCCTCAATAAATTTGACACATGTTTGATACTGTGGATCTTCTCCGTGAAGCCCATCTCTTGGATTAATGACTTCAGACTTGGATACTCGGATTTTGGCTTATCTGGCGGCGAATCTATTTCAAATTGAAACGCTTTTTGTTCCTCGTTGTTTTCGTTATTCTTTTCGTTTACAGTGTTTATTGGCACGGCATTTCCGAATGCATTGGTGAGCGCCGACTGGCGGTTTCTTGCCGATTTTCTTTGTGGTGCTACTGCTGTTGGTGGTGTGCGTTTCTGGTTCTGTCTTTTTGGAGATAGAGCTACATCTTCTGAGGATGTTGTGGACCGGTTATCATCTGAGTGGCTCGATGCTGTCTTCTCTGGCCCGGTGTTCGCTGTCGTTTTCTCGGATATTTCGTCTGTCCGTAAGCTCATTCCTCTTGTTTTTTGGAATTTCTGTGCTGGGCGTCTCCCTGTTCTTTTGCCCGTTAATTTTACCTTCCTCTTTGTTGGGTTGTTTGTCTGTGTTGCCAGTTTTCGTTTCTTCGTTAGTTTCACCGGTAGGCCCGTGTTCTCGTCCTCCTTGAACAATGGGTGTTTTGGCGCGTTGGAATTCTCTATGTCTAAAAAACGTAGGCATGGTCCAGATATCCGTGCGTATTTATACGCGACATAGTCACCAAGTCGGGATGGTCTACATGGCCCGTAAATTAGAGGATTAGGTACAAATGCAAAAACTTTTCCGTCAATCGTTTTATATTTTTGTTCAAATGTTTTTGGATTTTTGACTATCGTTGCTATTCTAATTGTTTTCTCGCCACCTGCTCTATGCGTTTTTTCGTCTGTGTGTCTATTGTTCTCTGTACCCCTTTATATCTTATTTTAAGCGTATCCTTGGCTAGTTCTATAACTTTAGGACTTGCACCTGTTTCCTGTTGCGTTGTAGAGTTTGACTTTTGTAGTTTCTTTGGCATTTGTGGGCTCGTTTTTCCTTTTTCCTTGATTGAGACTTCGTCCTCTGACCATCTTTGTAAATCATGCATGATCTCTGCGGACAATGGCGGCTTGGTGGGGTTCTTTCTATCCAAACATGCATGTTTTACGTTTTCCCAGCTTAAGTTATTGGGTGAACTGCTTGCTGCTACATTCGACAGAGGGGTGTTCGGTTTTCGGCCCATGTGTGCCTCGAACGGTGAAAATTTTGTGACGCCGTGTGGTGTGATTCTTAATGTTTTTATATTTTCTGCTACGTCGGAGGCTAGACGGTACGGTGTGTTTGTTTTATCTATCCTCATCATCGCCAGCCTGCGTTTAAGTGTTTTTATCATCCTTTCAACTACCCCTATTGCCCTATGGTCGTCTACCGGTGCAAAAAATAATTTTATGTTATTATTGTTGCAAAAAAATGAAATTCCTTTGCTCTTAATGTTTTTGCCTGATCACATCTTAGTCTTCGCGGAACCCCATTGTTAGAAATATACCTCTGCATAAATTTAATGGCGACGTCTGCTGTTGTGTTAGCAACAACTTTTGCGGCAGGAAATTTTGACCATTTATCTATCGCAATCAAAATGTATGCATCCCTATTTAATTCATCTGATCTTCTTGTCTGTCCTATAAGTAGTTTACGTGCGTAGACCGTCAAACTTTTGCGAAATGACCCCTCTTGGCACATTTTGAGCAGATCTTATCTTTGACGGCCAAGACTGTAAATGGTTTTGACCATACTGACTTCCGCATTTATAACACTGTTTTTGAGTGTTTATGTTAGTATTTCTTTTTTGTCCTCTTGTGTTCTGTGTTCCGCGTGGGAAAGGTCGCCCAGGAGCGCCTCGACCTATTTGTGTGTTTGGGTTGTTGGAGTAGTTATCCTCCGAATAGATTTGTTTAAATTGTACGACTATGTTCAGTTCCGTTTTCTTGACGTATTGCGTATTCGTACGCATCTTGCGCGCTCTTTGTCTGTGCTAATAGTTCTTCTGCGATCTTTTCATATGCGCTGTGAACATGTCTCTGATCCGTTCGTCTTCTCGGTTGCGCAGTCTGCTCGTGAAGCTAATTCGACTAAACCCGCGAGGAATTGTTCTAAACTTTCTGTTTTCCTTTGTTTCCCACAGATGAAATTGTATCTCTCGAAGGCTATTATCCTAGTTGTCACGAAAATATCCTCAAGTGTTGTCATCAGTTCTTGTGTGGTGACGTTATGTAGTTCCAAATTAGGTCTTTTCTGTTGTATTTGTCTTTGTCCTTCCGCTCCTAAACATAAGAACAGGTAGCTGCGCACTATCGCGTCGGCTTCGTCCATATGAATGAGTTGCATAGTACTCCTTTCTCCCGAGCTTTTTTGACGTGATTCTCCCAACCAACTAGTTTCTCTTGGTTTCTAACCTCACTGTTTTTTTGTACCTCTGTTTCTCCCGTTAATTCGACTTCTATATTGGCTCTGGCAGTTCGACTAACGGTGGTCTGGCTCTCAGCAAATTTCGCATGCCGGATGACAATTGCCTCGAGGAAAACAATTTACCACGGTAAGTATTCTAATTTGGTATCGGTATTCCGAAAAATGTTCTCTGCAGCACCTTAATAATTTGCCCAATAGCAATTTTTCCTTTCAGACAAAACTTCGGCTTTGAATGCATCAGTTTGAGTCACTATTTTCACTCTGAACGTATTTTTGTGCTTTGTTAATGTGAACTTTGAAGAACCTAGCTCATGATTTCATAACATTCAAACGACTTACAAGTGGTTATAAACATTCCTTTTTTCAAATCGGCTAGCAGACGTTTTGTCTAGATATTTTTTTTCCTGCGTAGTCTCCTAAGCTGCTCACGAAAAAATTATAGCCCCTTCCCAAATTATTAGCATAAAAATCTTACATCCTGAGCGCCGTGAGTCCAACTCCTGGCAATTTTTGCCTCAGCCCAGATATTGTGGGTGTTTTCGGCCAATAGTTCCACCAATTTGCTCATCACAGGACCCAACTGCACGATAGAAATGTCGAAGGGAGCAGGCTTGTATCCATTTGACAGAACGTAGCTGAAGACGAAAGATTGAATTAGAAGACCTTTTCAGAATACGCATACACAAGGCGGACGTTTCAGTTATTGTTTTTTTTCTGAGCCTACCAAACACAGTTCTGAAAAGTTATCTCCTCTTTTGGGAGTACCATAACTTGATGTGAGGATGGATTACATAATGAGAATAAGCCCATTTTTTTGTCAAACGATGTAGCGCAAAATAATCTGAGCTGATGCAAAGAAAAAATCTGGAAACAATCAAATCGATTCAATTCTTTTGATTAGAAAATAGTCTCACTTATTAGGCAGGTTGATCCGCTTGGGAAGAGGTCGGCTCTTTGCGTCCAGTGGTTTGATCGTGTATCCCAGTGCCAACACAGTCCTGATAATCTCGTCTGCTGTCATGATCTCAACGTACTGCTGGTCCTCGTTCAGCCTCCCAAACGGCTTCAGACAGTCGTGGTATCTAACAACAATTTTAATTCATAATCATAAAGCAAAGAACCAAAAACGAGCAGTTACCGTTTTGAAAACAGCAAAGTTAAAATTTATGAAAGAAAATTGACCAGGCCTCGTGAACAATGAAAAACTTGATGTGGCAGGTCACGTTTCATTTTATTCATCATTACAAGATATCTGGATAACCTGATTGCTTATCCATTTCAAACTAATGATTGTTATGTTAGAACCATTCTGCTTAGCTACAACAATGTCCACTGTCTTAAAGGGGTAACTTGCGTGGCAAACGGGGTTTACCTGCGATGTTCGTCTATGCCCTGTTCGCCATAGATCCAACCTCCCTCGATCTTGGATATGGACCACTGTTCATGGAACCACTCGGCCATCATCTTGCGCAACTGGAGCGACGACTGCGCCAGATTCACCTGTAACAAAACAGCCATGATGCCGTACAATTAAAACACCGCCCGTTTCACCATGTTTTAAGCAGGTTAAGTTGAAACGTAGAGAATAATCGCACATGGTAAAAATGGATACCTCTGATTGAGATAGGATAAAAGTGATAGCTAGGATTCGAAGATATAATCAGAGAACAATGACGGCGATTGATTGTCTTACCTTTTGCAAGTCCACTGGTTGTGGATGGAAGGCGGTGACGGTTGGCAGCAGACAGGGTCCATGTAACACCACCGAGTGCTGATTGGGGGGCTCACTGCTGTCCTGGGTACTCATCTCAACACAGTGACCCATCAGTGGGTGTGACTTGGACTCACTCTTGTCTGAGGTCACGACCGATACTGTGGGGTCAGGAGAGGTCACTAGTTCACACACTGGTGCATAGCCTTCAGGTGGTTTGAAGGCAAATGATCCATGCTTGCCTCCCAACACAAATCGGATTCTAAACAAAACACAAACTTATTTTAATAAATGACAAAGTCTATTACAATGTTTTCTTTTATGCTTCAAAATTAAATAATGTGTAAATGAATGATTTTTTTTTCTATGTCTAGCACAAACTCGGTAACAAAATTGCATATAATCAAATTTTGAACTAAGCAGTCATGTATACAAGAAGGTCGAATGCAAGAAAAATGGTTAAAAGTGGACTACAAGAATCGTCTGTTTGATGAGTCAAAATCCTAAAAAAAAAAAAAAATCTCACTGTATGAGGCTGGACATGCTGGCTACCGGATGGAAGAGTCCGGCGTCGAACACGGGAAAGGTCTCCACCACCCCCAGCACGGGGATCCCGTTGAGCGTGAAAGAGATTCGGGGCACTGTGAAGTCCACACAGCAGCCGATGACGTCATCATACTGGAACAGTCCCCGAGTACCCTGCACTGGGTATGCACACCCGTCTAAATATATAAAAAAAACTAGCATAAAACGCACCTCCGGTACTCATGATAAACCGCATATATTGGAAAAAAGATCTGCATTCTTTGAGTGTGCTTTTACATTACCCAATTACAGGGTTCGTAATTACAAATTTCACAAAAATTTTATTCAAGTGTTTTATACAAATTTTGAAGAACCATAAAATTTTGTGAAGTTTTATAGAATTTCTTCGAAAAATTTATAATGAACTAAGAAACGTCACATCTGGTAAGCTAAAAGCAATTGAGCAGTCACATTTGGACGCAAGACTTACAACTCCTGAGAGTACTCTTACAGTACCCAGCTACAACGTTGGGAAATTCAAATTTTGAGAAACTTTACCTTAAGTTTTCTGAAAAGAGTTATTTGTTTTGAAAACCAGAAAAAATTTCACATCTCGAAAACTACCAAGATTTGAGCAGTCTTATTAGATGGCAATAATCGCAATCTTTGAAAGAACTCTGACAGCACACAACTACAGGGTTGGGAATTTCACTTTAAGAACTATTTTAAATTTGAGTTTTCTGAAAATTACCAAAAAAAATCACAAAAATCATCGTATCTCTTAAACTAAAAAGATTTGAGCATTCTTATTTAGAGGCCAAATTTGCAACTCCTGAGAAAACTCTGACAGCCCCCAACTACAGGTTAGGAAATTCAAACTTTAAAAAAAAAAATTAATTCAATTTTCACAAATTAAAAAAAATCACAAAAAAGTCATACCCGGAAAGCTGCAAAGTTTTGAGCAGTCATAATTGGAGGCGAAATTCACAACTCCTGAGAGTACCCTGAGAGAGCCTCACTACAGAGATGGTAATTTCAAGTTTTATAAAAATATTTATACCCAAGTTCTCTGAAAAATTTTGAGAAAGTCCTAAAAACCGTCATATCTCGAAAACTACAAGGTTTTGAGCAGACAATTGCAGAGGCAAGATTTGCAACCCCATGAGAGTACCCTCACAGATTCCAATAACAGGATTCAGATTTTTGGAATTTTTCAACATCTAATTTTTTTTGAAAATTTCGGAGAAAATCATAAAAAACGTCATATCTCGAAAACTACAAGGATTTGGTAATTCATATATGGAGGCTAGAATTGCAAAACCTGGGAAAACTCTGACAACATCCAAGTTTTGGGTTGCTAATTAGAAACTTGATGAAATAAAAACTGAATTTAAACGGGAAAATCGAAAAAAACCTGAACCATTGCAATATACGATATAGCTTAAACATGAAAAAAATTCTTTTGTTAGAGATGCAAAAAATACGTTGAAAAAGCTGAAACATGGCGAGATTGTGAAGCCCGCATTTAAATATATAATAGATATGACAGAAGAAAAATAAAAAAAATTAGGAGACGGGTAGACAGACATATTCAAATTAATTTAAAAAAAGCAGGTATACAGACAGACAGACAGACTTAATTTGGCCTCAAAAAAAATTACTGAAAGATTAACGACCTTGCCGAAAACCAAATGAAAAATTTTCTTAAGCATTGCAATATATGATATAGCTTAAACATGAAAAAATTCTTTCGTTAAACAAGCAAAGTTATTATGCTTAAACATGGGAGATAGCTGTCACTAGCATTTAAATATTATATAGATTATTGAAAATTGTTTTTGGCCCAAAAGTGTCTTTCGAAGTATCTTTCAAAAAGCTATCCAAAAAGTTGCTTCTAAGGTCTGATTGAAGCTACTTTTTAAATGTTTTTGCTGATGATGTCACTTTGGAACGATTTAATCCGTAATGTAAAAAAATAACTGGTGATTTTCTTAATTTTGAGCCCGGGACAGCAATAAATTTTCCGATGGTACAGAAGATATTTTATCACAAACAGGTTGTTCAAAACTCGAAAATATCAGAATATAAAATCACCCCAAGCGTAATTATTCCGTACTTTTTTCGAAAGACGAAACAAAAATTTTTCTCGACGTGAAAACGTTCAAAACTTTCTAGTGTAGTGCGAATAACGACTGACGAAGCTTCAAAATGATAGATCACCCAACCCATTCCGATGATTTTTTGTGGTACCTAATTTTGCGCAAAAAAAACTGAAATATACGCGGAAACAAAACTTCCTCCCTTCTTTCAATAGTTGGAATAAAATAAACTGATATCATTCAGATTCTAAGATTAAATTGCAAAAAAACACGATTTGGTGTAGAGGCTAAGTGTATCACGACGAACTAGTTATAATTGTTCCGACTTTCGATACGGGGGGGGGTTTCTTTTTTTTCTTCAGACAACTTTCGACTTTTTAACTAGCCACTTTTGACAAAATTTTTTTGTATCATTCAAAAGGTTTTGTTGTGCTAAGGTTAAATTTGAAAAGATATTTCACCTGCGATCATTTTTTGCAAAGTTATGGGGGTCTAAAGGTTGCCGTTTTGGCCATTTTTAGGACAATTAACGCGCGATATATTTCGCGCTATTAATGCGTAAGCGGAGATTTAATCCGTCTTAGAAATCGTTCCAAATTGGTTGAAAGAAACTTATTTGCCATAATTGACTTGTTACAAGGAGCGAAAACTATTGTTTTGTATTTTATATGGCATGTGGGGGGGGGTGATTTTCAGAGAAAAAATTTCAAATTTTAGAAAAAAAAATTCATTTTTTATTACATTTTTTGTTAATGATATCTATGTTATTACTGCTCCATAAACCTTAAAAGGCAGTCGGAACATTCAGGGCTTGGCCCTGATACAAGCAGTTTTGTTTAATTTGCAATAATATTTTTAAGCAACGTGGTATTTGAAAAGGAGTCCTTATATTTTCATCAGCAGCAACTTGGGTTTCAATGCGGGGATCTCATCATGCTTTAACTCCCTTTAGGCTGACCGATGAACGGATTCGGCCGCACACTGCATCAGAGAAATTAAAAATAAATAAAATTTTAACACAATTCAACGGATCATCCCTTTTATAGTGTCTTGTAAAGGTTTGAAAAATCAATTATATCGACATACGAAAGTGTGCCGAACTTATTATTTTTTTAATTTATCAATTTTTGCAGGAAGAGTCTCCGGGCTTAGGTTCTTCCTGAATGAGAGTTTAATTACATAGTGACTTGAACAGCTTAGTAATTTTTGTTCACCTGTCCAAAGATTTTTTCCGTCGAAGCCCCAGGAGAACATGTCGTCTCCCACTCCATTTCCGCCCCACCCTGCGGAGCCCCTGTTGCTGTATGGCGTGAACCCAGGAGTGGACGCCACGCCTACTCTGAGGTGTGTGTGGGGGTATCTCAGGATGTTTTCGACGTGTACCTCAAAGTACCATTTGTAGTACATGGCAGATCCTTCCGCCATTCCGATGAATGCATTTGGCCGTACACTGCATCAGAGAAATTAAAAATAAATTACAAAATTTTAACTTAAGAGTCGCTGTTGGCACCCAAAAAACCCAATGTTTTTGGCGGATGGAGTTTTTTATTATCTACATTTTGAGCTCAGAAATTCGCAATTTGATTTTTTTCTGTTTTTAACTAACTTTTCCTTGGAACTCTTTTTGCCCTGGACTTCAAATAGATATCCGTCTCAAAGTGTAAACGGATTATCTACCTTGTACTATCTAATTGCAATTTTTTTGCAATTTTGCAACTTTTTGTGTTGGGCCATTTTGTTTTTTTTATTAGAACAAAAAAATTGTGAAAAATATTTCGCAGCCATGAAACAATACTTTTTGAAGCACGATAACCTTCTGTGAGTTAGCTTAAGAGGTAAAGTGTGTGCTAACTTGACGATCTGTTCTGTGATTTTGGTATGGAAGGTAAGGTTGCTCTGTTTCCTGCTGGCAGTGAAGTGTTGCAGGAACGAGTTCTGATTGGCCCTGACTGCCTCGTTCTGACTCACACACAGAGTCCGCATCACCTCCAGAACCTGCAGCAGACCGTCTCATTGGAAATATGAACTATCTTTGGAATCCATCATCTTTGACATTTGAGCTGACAAGAAATTTTGACTAATCTGTAAATCTAATCTGATATGTCAATTATTTTTATCATTTCATTTCTTGGATAAATACAATTTAGCAAAACAATCTTTCAGAATAGCAAAATATGAATTTGATAAATTATCCATTCAATAAACTTATTCAAATTATTCAAAAGTTATTCAAACCATTCAAATTATCCGTTTTCTAGATAAATGACCTTGCTGTGCATATTTCTGCAGAAGCGTAATGAGTATTTTTTGCATTCAAAAAAAATTTACTTTTTCACTCGTACAACAAATTAGTAAACAAATTATAAAGAAAAAAAAACGAGTTTGACCTTGTGGTCTTTTCCAAACTTGTCGATCATGTTGAGCAGAATCTTAATGTGTGTCTCTGTGAAGATGTTGACAGCTTCTGGACTGCTCTGGAGCAGACAGTAGAGCACATCCAGTGCATCCTGCTTCTGAGCGAAGTGCAGTCGGCTCATCAGCCAATCCAGACTAGCTGGCTCCGAAAACTTGCTGCAGTTCACTCGGTTGCCTCGGATCAGAGAGGCTAAAAAAGTATGCCATTAAAAAATATCTTAATTTTTTTTGGAAACTTGGTTTTTTAATGCTCGATTCAATAAACGCTATCAAAATAAATCACTTCATTTTAGCATAACTGGCTATAAAACAATTTTCCAAGGGGCGAAATTGAAAAGACTGATTGCATTACCGGGAGTTCAGGAAGATAGCTAATCTTGGCTGGCAGATGGGAGACAGATTTGGCAGTGTAGGTTTTTATTAGACTCTTGATTTTTTGAAAGAGAATTGGTTCGCATAACTTACCCAAAAGCTCAAATAGTAGACTGGAGATCTCATCGAACTGTTCCAATTCTTCGCTGCCTATCTGAGCCGGCTGAGCCGACCCCCCAATCTCGTCCCCTGGAGAGTTTCCGCCCCCTGGTCCTGCCCCCAGTCCCACTGCGGCCGAGAAATGTTCCTTGTACTCCTTCAGACAGTCGACCATCTCTCGAATCACCAGAATGAATCCCTACACAAATAATCATAGTAAAAACGATTTCATTCAAGAGTTTACAGAAGTAGCACAAATTATTTGAATAGTAATTGCAGTTAATTAATAATAAAGATTGCAGCTAAATTGATCATAATAATGAGTTTTCAAGAAACAGTCTGTACAAAAAGAAAGGTTATACAAAAGATTTTACATTTGTATAATCAAACATTTTCTTGAAAGTGTTGAAAAGCTGTGAGGGAAAGAATTTTTAATATGTTGCGGGACGTTTGCCTGATTTCAATATATCGAGAATTCTTTTGTACGAAGAAAAAGGGTTTTCAAAAAAATCCTAATAACTATTCCCCGTCCTTGAAAATTGTTGCCGGGTACACTTTTCACAAAGGCTTAACCGTTGAATTAGTTCTTCAGAGACCTTCATTAAAATCTCCTTCATGAAGTATTCCTCCATTTACATGTACCATATGGCGATAAATTTTTTTTAAAATAGCAAAAACATTTCATTCGATGTATTTGTTACCTCTGATTGGAACAGATCCTGCCGTAGCTTCAAGTTCTTCGCGCTCGTGTGTTTTTCCTCATGATCTGAAACTCAAAAGTTTCCCAAAATTTGCCCATCAATTTATCAATTTTTAATGATCAGAGCCCAATGATCTCGCAGTGTACAATATTCTAATGATTTTTATTGCGACACAAATTCAGGATAATAGTATACCCCAAAATTCAGCCGGGATAATTTGAAATTAAACTACCTGAAGATTGGCAACCAAAAATATAGATAAAAGTTTGATTATGGAATCAAATTAGAGAAATGAACAAAAAATTTCGATGAAATTTTGCTTTTTTCGCATTCATAAAAAATTAGCTATGGTAAAGAGTCGGAGGGAATTAATCAATTCTAGGGCAACTAGTTTTTCTTCTTATTCTTGAACTCCAAAATGAAACTGTTGCTTAAATGCACACATAAATGTAATGGGATCTACTTAACAATCCCCACCCCTTTCAAGAAAGGGGGGAGATTGTTAAGAAGATCAAAATGGTCGACTTTTCGACCAATCAGAATGCAGCTAAATTAGAATTCTCAATAGAAAGCTCAGTGCTAATTTATTGTATTGATTTATAGGGGTGGAGATTCTTAAGTAGGTACCATAGGGGGGGGGGATTGCTAAGTGGATCCATATAATGTGTTCCAAAAATGGGCAATGACTAACCGGCTTCTTCGTCTGGTGGGGCGAAATACGCGATGAGGTCTTCGATGAGAGTGATGACTACGTCCACCGAACAGATGCTCCAGATCTCGGCGTCAGAATCTACAGGCGTTAGAGACTTCAGGGCACTAAACAACACGAAGACATGACTGCACAGATTTCGTCAACACAGAAATAATAGTTGGAGATTTCTATTTATTTGATTGAAATCGCATTCGTTATACAAAATACAATTTGAATACACCTCCAGAAATAAATCTAAAATTGAAAATGTTCTGATTAGTGTCCCACAAGAATGATCTTTAAATCTCTTTAAAAAGCAGATCACCAAGATTTCTTGGACAAACTATTTTTTAGTTAGCAAGCAAAAATAACGCTAAACAATGAAAACCTGAAGCAAAGATTTTGGTTTAAAATCAATTGTCGAATTACCTTCTGATATAAAAATTGATAGCAAAAGTTTAGATAACCTGTAAGCTTTAAAATATGTTTGACGAATTTTAGATGAGAAACTAAATTTGAAAACTCGATTACTTATTCAGGGAAAAAACAAGTAAGAACGGTGGGTTATTCCATAGACTTATGAAACTTTTGTTCAGCCAACTCTACAACTTGGAGTCCTCGTAAAGATATCGATTGATACAACCGAACTGGAAGACAATATAAAGTCTATGTGAATATTAATTCTGTGAAACGTGATAAGGATTGAAAACCAATCAGAAGCATTACAAAAAGGATTACTAAAAAAATGCGACAGAAATTGTCAATCAAAAGAAGTATAGCAAAAGCTGTTCCTGAAAAAAAAATTAGCATCGAAACACTTTATTATTGTTAAAATTCTCCCCTCAATAGTTTACAATTTTGCTCCCAAATTAAAAAAATTGGTAGCAATCTTTAAAAACTAAGAACTAATTAGTTTCAACCGGTAATTTTTAGCTTTTATTTTTTCTGGGCAATCTGGGTTTTTTCCCAAGTTTCTCATTATTTCTTATTTTGTCTAATTTATTTCTAATGTAATGGAAACACCCGAAAACATTTTAGTATGATTTTTATATCGATGAATTTTTCAGAAAGCAATTAGAAAACATAGTTTCAATAACCTGTCCAAACTTGGTTACACAGGGCAAATTTATACGATTACCCACACTTTATAAAAAAAATTACTACCATAATTAGGCATATGTAAGCCCTCTTATTATCAGCTATTTAGTTTGGTAATACTGAATCAAATTTAAGCTTGATCTAATTTGGGTAGCCATAATTTAATGTTATCTACACACAATTGCGTGTCGATGCGTGTCAATTGCATGAGTTGCAGAAGACTTCGATTTTTGTTTTTAGTCACACTAGCTGTGTTGTTTTTTGTGCACTTATTGCAATCTATTGGACCATTCTTACACAATGAAGCGGTTGAAGAACTTGAGGGCCTTCATAATGAATCTGGAGGCCATGCCCTCCTGGTACTGACTCACTCGGACTACGAAGGCGTCGTCTGTGTGCCCATCCGGCAGCAGCACCACCCGTTTGCCACTCATCTTCCCTGGCACCTAAAATTAACACCCATACTCATATAAATAGCCATAAAACTCAAGGGAATTTGTGCAATTAATACGCAGTTGCCAAAAATTACTCGGAACACGTCGGAGAATTTTTCATTTCCAAAAAAATGTCTTGAAATCTAGCTTATCATCTTAGTAATTAATTTTTTTTCTACAATTTTTTAAAGCAAAATTTTCCCCAAGTTTTAGCAGATTTTCTCCGTGCAAAAATGTTGACAAAGTAATGGTTCTCTTGCCAGTAGTCATAGTTCCGCCCGATGAGGTTCATCGCAAATTTCTATCGTCATTAAATGGACGAAGATTGCAGACAACATTACAAGAAAAGTCATATCAAACATAATAATATTAAATTGTTACAAGTAAATTATTGCTTCTTCTTAGTATAATATCTACAATTCACTTGCTCCAGCGATGAAAAAAGTTCACCAGGATGTTGTGAAGGTGGGGGGGGGGGCAATTTGAGTATTGCTGACATGGTCTTTGAAATGTCAAACCATTACCTTGCTGTCGATGACCGAATATGAGAGCCATGATTGTGAGTTGACGTGTTTGATGAAGATTGGGTGCTCGTTGTACTTGATACATGGCTGACCCTGATTCGGTTCCTGCGTCAGATCCCAATTTACTTCCTCGTCCTCCTGAAGAACAAAACACGGGTTATTTCGACGCAAATTCGGGGAAGAGGGGGGTTGAGGCTTTTATTTACTTTAGAAGGATGAGGGACCTTTTAAAGGCATCTTGTCGTGAATGTATCCATAATGTTGTCTGAAGTTACACACCTTGACTTTTGAATTTTGATCTTTGATCTATTACCTTTGACCTCTAGTCTGACCTTGGTGCTGTAGAGAGCGAATAGAGTGGAAGAGCAGGATGCATTTGTGGCTTCGCAGAGAGCGAGAGAGTTGTTCTCCCTCACGTGCAAGTACCTGCCAGACACCACGTGGCGAACTCTGATTGGCTGTCCCCACTGCAGACAAGTCGCATTCCACCTGCAACAAACCAAAATTTGACTTGACTTGGTAAGTTTCCGTGACCTCTACAAGCTTGACAACTCTTTTGCAGGAGTCACTGATTCTAATCTTATGAATCAGTTATTAGAGTTGGTTCTCCTCCGTCCTCTATTCCTCCTTACTTTTAACTCTGGTAAACAACTGTGCTTGTAAACATCTGTGACGGTCGATAAGCAAATTCGTGTACTAACATTAGTTCTAGATTCAATTAATAGATCAACTTTTTGCACAACTAAGAGTGCAAGATACTCAGAGTGCAAGTTCCTGAGATAATTTATTCGACATTCAAGAACTTGGTCCTCACCAAACTCTTACATTTAGTCAAAACCCATGAAAATTCACCTACGAAAAGTATGCGGCTCAGATTACAACGACATTAATTCTATAATAGTTTTTTTCAAACAAATTCTGGAAAATTCAATTCTGATATTCAGCATTTGAATAATGAAAAAACTATGAAAAAATAAGAATCAAAAGAACATCCATTTGCGATTTTCAGAATTTGGTGGTAATCGATAAATCATAAATCTCGAAAAATACTGATAGTCCTTATTCAGGACAAAAATGATCCCAAAAATTTTAGTTGTGTACATGCATTTATGAGAGTTTAGTTTGCAATTTTTGGATGTTCTCATTCTTTTAATTCTATAAGAAAGTACTAAACTTTTCTTTTCTTTCAAAAACACGTAAATTAGAAGGACGAATATAATTCAGTAACAAGACTGCTCGTATAGCAGGGCAAAGTCCTGAATGTTCCGACTGTCCCTTAAGTCATATCGAACAATTTTTGGGAAAAGAAAATACTGAAAACCTACACGCTTTGAACATTATCAAAGTGTAAAATTTTGAGTCGTCCGAACTTATTACAACCAATAAACTAGCCTCCATCAACTTTGGAACGATTTTGTTGTCCGGGACAATTCGCAACGCATAAATAATTCGCGTTACGCTCTCAGCATTATGAATAAACTCTTCAAAGCGCGCATAATTTAGTCCAGAACATGACTTGGCAATTTTTAAACCCCCAGAACTTTGAAAAAAATAATCGGAGGTGAAATATCTTTTTACAATTGAACTCGCGAAGTCGATAACTTCAATGGGGTATAAAAAATATTTATTGAAAATTATTATTTCGATCGGTGAAAAGGACTGAATAAAAAAAAATACAGCGAGCATTAGTATTCCACTTTCCCGGAAAGTCGGAAAAATTATGTTGCAGCAACATTTGCTATCCGATTTCTTGATTTCATGTTTCAAGATTTTTGTTCAAATCTAAATAACAATGCAACAAGCGATTGATAAATTGCTGATCGATGATGCAAAACTTAAACTACAGCAAAAAAACGTACTGTAAGTCAACAAGACTGCCCGTATTAGGGCGAGGCCCTGAATGTTCCAACTGCCTTTTAAAGTTTAAGGAGCAGTAATAACATCAAAAATTTAAATGTAATAAAATATGAGATTTTTTGTAAAAACATTCCCCCACACGTCATATTAAGTACTAAATGATACACCTTGCTCCTATTAACATATCAATTGTGGCATACAAGCTTCCTTGAACCAATTTGAAACGATTTCTAAGACTGATTAATTCTCCGCTAACGCGTTAGTAGTGCGAAATATATCGCGCGTTAATTGTCCCAAATTGGCTAAAATGGCAATCTTTAAACCTCCATAATTTTTTGAAAAATGATCACAGGCGAGAAATTTTTTCAAATTTAAGCTCGAGAGAACAATTGTTTCCATCAAAAATTGCAAGATAAAAAGACGAAACTTGTTTGAAGAAAAAAAACACACCCCGAGCACAAATATTCCGTTACTTTTGTTACGAAAGTCGAAACAAAAACCATACAACTAGCAAGCATTCTTTATGCCATTCTCTTCAAAAGAACCGGTCGTAAACACAAACACAAACCACAATGACAAATGAAAAAAATTCAAAAATTATTGCTTTATTTGTTTGGAGCTTGCTTGAGTGATAATCCGCATTTGCTTAAATTAGACCAGATCAAAAAATCAGTAGTTCCATTCGCATTTTCATACCAGTAGTTCAATACATCATAGCATGCCCACTGGAACTATCCACTTCAAACATCTGTATTGATCGTTCTTTCGAGAAAATCTGCGCAATAATTGAAGCAGAGGATAATTGCATATTGGAATAGATGTCAATTTTCAAGCTCCTCAACATTAAGCTTTAAAAAAATGCTCATAATAAACTTGCGCTTTTCAAAGAATGGATGGCGCTTGAAAGTGATCATGCTGTGGTGAAACGATACATTTTACTTGCTTGTTCAAATAAATTGAACTAATTGTGCTGCAAAAAACATCAAATTTAAGGATGCGTTAACACTTTTAGACGAAACTTTTTTTGGATATTTCTTCAAAAAAAAAATTTCATTTCTGGTTATTTCTTATTTTTGGATGCCTAAAAATTAAAAAAAGCTTGGAAGAAAAACAAAAAATATATAAATTCTTACTAAACAAAAATGTTTACTATTATAAGTACACAGAAAATGCAGAGCAGGAAAACTGGCTTATTTCGAAACATTTTAATTTTCATGGCAAATAATACAAAAAAATTTACTCGATTTTCAATGAGTTTACTCGAATCAAATCGAAATTAAGCAATTATCTAAATGTGGACAATTTTGTAATTCTTTCTGCGCTGAGGCAATTTTAGGCCATCGAAGTTCTTGCATAGCTTTTCAATATGAGCACGTCAAAAAATTAAAAATTATGATGGCATTCAATAAATTAACAAAAAAAAATCAAAGAAAGTAAAGCCATTCTGAAAATTTTCCAGATTATGTTTGGCGAGGATTTTGTTTTCAATAGTTCGTAATTAAGTGAGAAACCTATGTGAAACCTAGTATATGTGATCTTTTGACCTATGGCACAGCTACTGATCCTAAATCAGATCCTAAAAATTAAAATTGACTGGGTTGATAACTTTGCTTAAAATTTTCCATGGAAAGGGGCCGAATCAGCTCAGTTTTTAGTACGATTGGTCCGTCTCCTTTTTATCGCGGAAAAATGGGCTCAATCATTCCTTTTCATGACAAATCAATGACCAAAAGTTGCGCTCATTGAGCTTTTTTGTACAAAAACAATTTTTGTTCTCGAGGGACTCGAACAGATTCCTTGAATACCCAAGAACCACCTCTGTTCTACCCATCTATAGCGTTACTGTTTGTTTTGATCCATTTAAACTAAAATTTGGAAACTGAAACATTTAGCTCATTTTGCTAAAAATTGTGCTCAATCAGCTCCTTTTACTAAGAACTGAGCTCATTCAGCCCTTTTTGATAAATTGAGCAGATTCAGTCTCGATCTGGAAAAACAAATACCAAAAAAATTGGTCCCATCTTTCGGGAAATTGGGCTCGTTCAGCTCCTTTTGCTGAATATTGAGCTCACTAAGCTCGTTATTTGAAAAAAAAGACTCATTCAGCATCCTCCATGGAAAAAAAAGAGATCAAAAATGGGACATATTTTGACCACGGAGTAAGCAAATCACTAAAGAGCAAATCAGAGTAGCCTGTTTATCAGCTGTTCAAGCTCAAATCAGCCCTTGATATCTGCACAAAAAAAATATGAAAAATCTTATATAAAAAAATCAAATCAATGCTAACAAACTGAGTCAGACTATTTTGAAACTTTTTTCAATGATCTTGAGGACGCTCAAGGTGAACATTTTACTTTTAAAATTATTATGATTAGTTTACTCACTTGGATCTGACAAACTCAATCCTCCACAGGGATCTTCCCTCCCATCTGCCATCGTCAAATTCATACGTCAGGGGTCTGGAACAGCATATAATTATTGGAAGTTTTGTTCAATCAAAGAGACAATTGAGTTGAGATGCTGGTAATTTTTTGTGACTTTTTCGCATACCGGACACCCCAAAAAGTGTAACCCAGTGTAATTTATTCTTAAGTCAATCATTTCTGGTGGTGCTATAGTGGGTGGAGTTGTAATGAGTGATATGGGTGAGTCAAAGCAAACAACTTAATATGACCAGAGTCTATTTTTGTGGAAAACAATCGGCACAAAATATTTTTGCATCTGTGGATGCAAGGAGACTAACGAGGAGTTGGCAGTGTTGCTTCTCTGTTTGATCCCGACTACGGACAGACACTCGTCGAATCCCTTCTGCAGTCGGATAGTGTCTCCCCCTTTGATGAATCCCATTGTAGTCCCTTCCACATCCCCTCTCTTCACTATCCCCATGGCCCAGCAGGAGGGCTGGAAGGAAGCCAGTGGACAGAAGATGGAGATTGCCGCGTGCATGTACCGCTCGGAAGATACGCTGATGAGGATGACCTCGTCTCCGATCTTCACCTTGTCCCCCTCTGACCTCTGTTTGTTGGAGGGTTCTATGATCCACCACGCGCGCTCAACTAAAAAACATTAAAAAAAACAACTTATTAGTACAATGCAAGAGACTTTTCTAGCCTTTCGCAAGGAGTAGACAAGCTATTGCTGAACTTTCTTTTATCGTGACTAGTCACACATTTTGGTTCCTTTCATAGGTCTCCGAGGACCTACGAAGTCATTTTGCAGAGTCATTCCTCAGTTGAGTCATTCCTCGGATTGAGTTATCATTTAGACATATGAGACGAAACTGAAATTTATGAGCTTATGAAGCAAAAATTTTACTTAGATCCTTGAAATACTGTAGTATATACACAAAATCTATCAGTATTAATTATTATCAATCTAACAGAAAAATTTGCGAACAAGAATGACTCAAAGAACGTTGTTTTTTGTGCAAGAATGACTCTCAAAAGTCTTGTCCATTTTCTAACCCTATCACAAAATACATTAAATGAACTGTATTAAGGTTCTCACTCGTGTTTTCGACCAGTCCGATCTCGAATGCCAACTTGTCGGAGGAGGGCGACGAAGCCATGCATGCCAAGTACTTCTCGCTCTGCACATGTTTGAAGCACACCGCGTGCCCATAAAGCAAAGTTTTGTACCCGCTCTGTATAACAAAGATCCTTTAAATCAATGATTATCATTAAGCAACTTTTTTAAATAGTATTTTTTCATAGATTTTTATAAAATTTTTTGGGCTAACGCGTTTCGTTGACAGTCCTTATAGTATCTAGTAAGAAAAATTAGAAGGAAAAATTTTGCAGTAGAGTGATTGTAAGAAACCTGTGCTCTTTTAAACCATGAAAACTAATTTGAACTGAAGGCCCTGTCAGACTTGACAATTAATTGTCTGATTAATCGGTATAGTATTCGGCCAAACGATTAAAGTTGCACTATAACTAAGCGAATCTGCGAAACACGATTAACTCGCAAGAAAAAACACTGCAAAAAACTAGTAATATTCTAGCGTTTTGTGCCGACGCTGAATTCTGGTATCCCTGCCAAAGCTCGATGTTACAATATGTGAATATCGAGTTCCAACTCGGAAAAACCGTGAATACGAAGAATTAGTGTGTGTGATACAGCCTTAAATTTGAATTTGTCGAGTATTTTTGCCGGAAGCAGAAAAATAGAAGAACAGTTGCGTAATGGTATATAAAAAAGTTAGCCATCTTCATGATTGAAATGGAAATATCAATCAAAATCTTCATGATTGAAATAGTACTGACCCCAGTGGTGTTGGCGAGTGTCTTTGCAGAAGAGTCCATTATTAGCTGTTCCTGAAGAGACTTCTTGGACAGTGCATTCTCACACAGGAAAGTACTCGAAACAATATCGCCCGGAACATCCTGAAAAAACCGCAGAGTTGATCGATTTTTGGGCAGAAATATGAATGAAATTTCATTCGATAAGAAAAAAAGCAAGCATAAACAATTGGTTTTCTGAAAACTATGAAAAATCTAGAACTAAACACGGTATAAAACAAGCAGTGAGATTTCATATTTAAACTCTTACACCCGCATTTCTCAATAAAGTTGTTTTAAGTGTCAAAAATTTTAAATTCTAATGTTAACATCTAGAACAAATTTTTTCGCTCCAAAATAAAAAGCACAAAAAAACACAAATAACTTTGTACTAACATGGTTGGACAGGTTTTCAAGGTGACTGAGATTAGTTCCAAATCCATCGGCTGCCAAACTGACCCGGATTAACTCCAGCACCGGCTCACCCAAAAGACCCCCGTGCATGGCCCCGCTGGCCACAGACAGTCTACCCCCATGCTTACCCACCCCTCCCCCTCCTAGAGCAGCCGCTGCCGCGCTCACACCTGCTAGGGGGACTTTCACTTGGGCAATCAGGGTGAGATGATCGCCCTGTAAAATGAAACAAACCCACGTTTTTCTCAAATCGGTCTCTGTTTATAACTAGGAACTTAATCTACATTCAAACTATTGAATTGAAAGTTACTAAATTATTATTTTAGAAGCGCATAAGTTAGAAAAATTTTCGTGCTAAATGTCTGATGGTGATTGATATGTCTAAATTTACTCATGACAATACTTGGACTGAACTTCGAGTGATCTATTTCACTCGGCTTTGCAACAAAAAAAAACAATGTTTTAATTGGCACCCTTGTGAAATATAATTGAAAACTTACCGTTCTGAGATATTGAATGTCGTCTAGAATTTGCTCCATTTGTAGCCCACAAAATTAATTACATGAACTCATTTTTTTCAAGATGATATTTCAATGTTTTTCTATAAAAAAAGCAACATGCAATTGATTTGAATGATCTAACGCTGGATTTTTCCAGGCATTCAAAGTTACAAGAAAATAGCATGCATTAGTGCAACATATTGAAAAAGGGAAAACCGCCAAGGACAGTTAAAATGGAAAGGAGATTTGGGAACACTGAATTTGTTCACTCCTTTACCCTCGAAATATTACCCACAGTAAAACGTTTCAAGCTCAGAGCGCTGATTTTATTCAGCGACCCAATGCATATTAGGTAGTTGAGGTTTTGGGCAAAACGCACTTATTCTGGATTTAACACTGCAATGGTACAAATATAGTCTTAACGCTATGCCAAAAAACATGACAAATTGCGCTTACAATAAACATTTTTGTCAAACCGCAAATCCAATTCATACCTTTCGGTATTAAATTTGAACTGTCTTTTCATGTAGACACGAAAAAGTAAATGGCAATATTTCAATAAACAGAATAATTTTAAGCGCCGATTTAGTAAAAGTTTCAATTGAACTTAGAACTGACTATTTTTTTACTATGACCTATTGGCTTGTGAGTTTGCTCAGAGTTTTTGTAAAAATGCCGTGCAAAAAACGGTTTTGTTTTTTGGAGGGAAGGGGTATGGGAGATTAATGATAGTATTTTTGTGTGTGAGGGGTTTAAAACTGTAATATTTTCGAAATTTAAGGAAGTTTTGTAGGCTCACACCATTCGAAACTCGATATGTCAACCGCGAAAGTTATTAACTCATAGATCGGGCGATAGTGATAGGAACCTTATCCTCATACACGCTACTTAGCTTCTGCTGAAATAAATGTCTGCCAATTTAATACTGAATTCCTGCCCTTTATTCCTGCCAGTTTTGAAAGCGTAGGAATCCTAAATGTTATAGAACTTTCGAGGAAACTTTAGTTCCGTTCTTGCTGTTAAGTAAAGTTCTGTTTCTAATCCACAGAAATCTCATTGCAATGGTTTCTGGTTTTAAGAACTTCCAGACTGGTACCAGAATTTATTTATGACCATGCTATCTGTAAACGTTACGCAAAGCTTCCATTTAAGTTATAATTGCGACTTTCGAAGAAAAGACGGAAAACTTGTTCTCATTTTGCTTTTTTCTCCAGACAAATATGGTTTTTTTTAGCTCAGCATCTTTGATGAAAAACTTTTACATTTGGAACAATTTTGATGCCTTGTGCTTAAAAAAACCTGTGATCACTTTGATAAAAATATGGGTTTCAAAAATGCAATTTAGGTCAATTAGAAAAATCAGTGCAAGCTAAAATTTAGTTAGCGACGTAGAAATGACAAAATTTTCGAAATATTTGAAAAAATTGTAAAAACTTTGATTTTTTTAAAATCTTCCAACGCACGGTATTTTATATAAATTTTAAACATTAAGCATTTATATACACAATCATAAGAAAAATTGCCGCTCATGAGTTAATTATCCAAAATCGGACGAAGAAATAAAATATCTTCTGAAATTTGAGCTCAAACCATCAATTGCTTTCAGATGATAAAAAAACTATTGCCAAAAATGGCTAGTTGAAAAACGTAATTTTGACTGGAGTAACGAAAACACCACGAGCACAAATAATCTATTATTTGTTTCGGAATTCAGAACAACAGTGATAATTCGTCAAAAATTAGCTTAAAAACATTAAATTGAAGTCGCAACAACCAAATATTAGCTCTGATTCAATTGTTTTTAAATGGAAACATATTTGCTCGTATCAGAGCGACGCCTTGAAAGTTCCGACTGACTTGTGAGGTCTAAGGAGCTGTAACCACTTGAAAAAAATTAGATGTAATAAAAATAAATTAAAACTTATTTTGTAATCTGAGGTTTTTTTGTGAAAATTATCACCCCACACGTCATATCAAATACGAAGTGATAAATTTTGATCCTAATAACAAATCAGTTATGGCAAATAAGCCTCGTTTAACCAATTTGGAAAACTCTCTAAGACGGATTTAAATTTTTTTACGCGTTATAAGCCTGAAATATATCGCGCATTACTTGTCCCAAATTGGCCACAGTGGCAATCTTTAAACATTCTTAACTTCACGAAAAAGATTCACAGTTGAAAAATCTTTTTAAAATGAAACTCAGGACAATAATGCTATTTGAATGATAAAAAAGATCGGTCAAAACAATCGGGTTAAAAAGTCGAATTTTATCTGAAGAAAAAACAACACGCGCACAAACTTTCTGTTGCTGTCGTTACGAAAGTCGGAATAATAATGAAATTATGAAGAATCATTTTAAAAAATTGCTCCTCTTTGGATCAAACTTGAAAAGATAACAGCAAAAATGTGAAAGTAGAGATGATCAATAAACTATTTACTGACTTTTTCTGCTACTCGCAGAGCAAAAGTACGGTTTCCAGTGACAAAAGAAAAAGTTTGATTCCTCAATCGAGTGTGAACTCAGGCTAAAACAAATTTTAAAAAAAAACTTACAAAATTTCGTTAAAAAAACCTGAGTAAAAGGAAAAATCACATTTACGTTTGCTCAATCTATGAGTTTTTTTGTATATGCTGTCAAACTTAACTTCAGTTTTTGATCTTATATGTTACAATTTTTGATCTTTTACACTACTTTTATGGACTACTACTTTTTTGTAATTGCTATCAATTTGGCTTCATTTCTTGATCCTATACACTACTTAATGATAGTATTTCTGTGTGTACGGGGCCTTAAACTGTAATTTTTTCCGAAGCTTACGGAAGTTTTTCGGGCTCACACCACTCGACATGTCAACCGCGGAAGTCTTTAAGTCATAGATCGGACGATAGTGATACGATCCCTATTCTCATACACGCTACTTAGCTTCTGCTGGAATAAAGGCCGGCCAATTTAAAACTGAACTCCTGTCCCTTATTCTTGCCAGTTTTGAAAGCGTAGGAATCCCAAATGTTTCGAAAATACCGAAGAAACTTTTGTTCATTTCTTGCTATTAAGTAAAAGGCTCTTTCAAATCCACTGAAATTTTATTGCAAAAGTATCTGGCTTAAGAACTTCCAGACTGATACCAGAGTTTATTTGTGAGCATGCCAACTGTAAAGGTTACGCAAAAATTCCATCTAAGTTATAATTCCGACTTTCGGAAAAAAGACGGAAAATTTAATCTCATTTTGCATTTCTACTCGAGACAAATTTGGTTTGTTAGCTCACCATCTTTGATGAAAAACTTTTACATTCGGAATTATTTAGATGCCTTGTGTTTAAAAAAAAACCGCCGAAAACTTTGATAAAGTTATAGGTTTTTAAAAATGCAATTTTGGCCACTTTACGAAATTCAAAGCAAGCAAAAATTTAGTTAGCATAGTAGAAACGATGAAATTTTCGAAATAATTGAAAAATGTAGAAGGAAATTTTCGCCGCACGGTTATTTATATGAAAGCTATATAATTAGCATATATTTACAAAATCCTAAGAAAATTTCGCGTGCCTAAATTCAATTTAGAACAACTTCTGAGCCAGATTAAACTGCCGGTTATGCATTAATTATCCAAAATTGGATTAAGAAAAAAATAACGCCTGAAGTTTGAGCTCAAACCATTAATAGCTTTCAGATGATAAAAAACTCTTGCTAAAAATGGCTAGTTGAAAAACGTAATTTTGACAGGAGTATGAAAACACCACAAGCACAAATAATCCGTTATTGGTTTCGGAAGTCAGAACAACAGTTTAATTTGTCAAAAACTAGCTGGGAAACGTTACATTGTAGTCATTACAACCTAGGATTAGCTCAGATACAAACAATCTTATATGCAAATAAGACTGCTTGTATCAAAGCAAAGCCCTGAATGTTCTGACTGCCTTTTAATCAAATGTAATACTAACAAAATGGATTTTTTATCTGATATTTTTGTGAAAATCATCCCCCCACACGTCATATAAGGTACAAAGTGATAAGTTTCGCTCCCAGTAACAAATCAAAAATGGCCAATCAGCTTCCTTTAACCAATTTGGAAAACTTTCTAAGACGGATTATATCTCCACTTACGCGTTAATAGCGCAATTTATATCGCGTACTAATTGTCCCAAACTGCCAAAATGGCAATATATAGACCCCTATAATTTTACGAAAAATGATCACAGTTGAAATATCTTTTCAAATTCAAGCTCAAGACAAGAATACTTTTTCAATGATATAAAAAGTTCCGTAAAAATTAGCTAGTTAAAAAGTCGAACTTTGTATGAAGAAAAAAACCACCACGAGCACAAATATTCCGTTACTTTTGTTACAAAAGTCGGAACATTAATGATATTATGAAAACTCATCAGCCAATCCAGACTAGCTGGCTCCGAAAACTTGCTGCAGTTCACTCGGTTGCCTCGGATCAGAGAGGCTAAAAAAGTATGCCATTAAAAAATATCTTAATTTTTTTTGGAAACTTGGTTTTTTAATGCTCGATTCAATAAACGCTATCAAAATAAATCACTTCATTTTAGCATAACTGGCTATAAAACAATTTTCCAAGGGGCGAAATTGAAAAGACTGATTGCATTACCGGGAGTTCAGGAAGATAGCTAATCTTGGCTGGCAGATGGGAGACAGATTTGGCAGTGTAGGTTTTTATTAGACTCTTGATTTTTTGAAAGAGAATTGGTTCGCATAACTTACCCAAAAGCTCAAATAGTAGACTGGAGATCTCATCGAACTGTTCCAATTCTTCGCTGCCTATCTGAGCCGGCTGAGCCGACCCCCCAATCTCGTCCCCTGGAGAGTTTCCGCCCCCTGGTCCTGCCCCCAGTCCCACTGCGGCCGAGAAATGTTCCTTGTACTCCTTCAGACAGTCGACCATCTCTCGAATCACCAGAATGAATCCCTACACAAATAATCATAGTAAAAACGATTTCATTCAAGAGTTTACAGAAGTAGCACAAATTATTTGAATAGTAATTGCAGTTAATTAATAATAAAGATTGCAGCTAAATTGATCATAATAATGAGTTTTCAAGAAACAGTCTGTACAAAAAGAAAGGTTATACAAAAGATTTTACATTTGTATAATCAAACATTTTCTTGAAAGTGTTGAAAAGCTGTGAGGGAAAGAATTTTTAATATGTTGCGGGACGTTTGCCTGATTTCAATATATCGAGAATTCTTTTGTACGAAGAAAAAGGGTTTTCAAAAAAATCCTAATAACTATTCCCCGTCCTTGAAAATTGTTGCCGGGTACAATTTTCACAAAGGCTTAACCGTTGAATTAGTTCTTCAGAGACCTTCATTAAAATCTCCTTCATGAAGTATTCCTCCATTTACATGTACCATATGGCGATAAATTTTTTTTAAAATAGCAAAAACATTTCATTCGATGTATTTGTTACCTCTGATTGGAACAGATCCTGCCGTAGCTTCAAGTTCTTCGCGCTCGTGTGTTTTTCCTCATGATCTGAAACTCAAAAGTTTCCCAAAATTTGCCCATCAATTTATCAATTTTTAATGATCAGAGCCCAATGATCTCGCAGTGTACAATATTCTAATGATTTTTATTGCGACACAAATTCAGGATAATAGTATACCCCAAAATTCAGCCGGGATAATTTGAAATTAAACTACCTGAAGATTGGCAACCAAAAATATAGATAAAAGTTTGATTATGGAATCAAATTAGAGAAATGAACAAAAAATTTCGATGAAATTTTGCTTTTTTCGCATTCATAAAAAATTAGCTATGGTAAAGAGTCGGAGGGAATTAATCAATTCTAGGGCAACTAGTTTTTCTTCTTATTCTTGAACTCCAAAATGAAACTGTTGCTTAAATGCACACATAAATGTAATGGGATCTACTTAACAATCCCCACCCCTTTCAAGAAAGGGGGGAGATTGTTAAGAAGATCAAAATGGTCGACTTTTCGACCAATCAGAATGCAGCTAAATTAGAATTCTCAATAGAAAGCTCAGTGCTAATTTATTGTATTGATTTATAGGGGTGGAGATTCTTAAGTAGGTACCATAGGGGGGGGGGATTGCTAAGTGGATCCATATAATGTGTTCCAAAAATGGGCAATGACTAACCGGCTTCTTCGTCTGGTGGGGCGAAATACGCGATGAGGTCTTCGATGAGAGTGATGACTACGTCCACCGAACAGATGCTCCAGATCTCGGCGTCAGAATCTACAGGCGTTAGAGACTTCAGGGCACTAAACAACACGAAGACATGACTGCACAGATTTCGTCAACACAGAAATAATAGTTGGAGATTTCTATTTATTTGATTGAAATCGCATTCGTTATACAAAATACAATTTGAATACACCTCCAGAAATAAATCTAAAATTGAAAATGTTCTGATTAGTGTCCCACAAGAATGATCTTTAAATCTCTTTAAAAAGCAGATCACCAAGATTTCTTGGACAAACTATTTTTTAGTTAGCAAGCAAAAATAACGCTAAACAATGAAAACCTGAAGCAAAGATTTTGGTTTAAAATCAATTGTCGAATTACCTTCTGATATAAAAATTGATAGCAAAAGTTTAGATAACCTGTAAGCTTTAAAATATGTTTGACGAATTTTAGATGAGAAACTAAATTTGAAAACTCGATTACTTATTCAGGGAAAAAACAAGTAAGAACGGTGGGTTATTCCATAGACTTATGAAACTTTTGTTCAGCCAACTCTACAACTTGGAGTCCTCGTAAAGATATCGATTGATACAACCGAACTGGAAGACAATATAAAGTCTATGTGAATATTAATTCTGTGAAACGTGATAAGGATTGAAAACCAATCAGAAGCATTACAAAAAGGATTACTAAAAAAATGCGACAGAAATTGTCAATCAAAAGAAGTATAGCAAAAGCTGTTCCTGAAAAAAAAATTAGCATCGAAACACTTTATTATTGTTAAAATTCTCCCCTCAATAGTTTACAATTTTGCTCCCAAATTTAAAAAATTGGTAGCAATCTTTAAAAACTAAGAACTAATTAGTTTCAACCGGTAATTTTTAGCTTTTATTTTTTCTGGGCAATCTGGGTTTTTTCCCAAGTTTCTCATTATTTCTTATTTTGTCTAATTTATTTCTAATGTAATGGAAACACCCGAAAACATTTTAGTATGATTTTTATATCGATGAATTTTTCAGAAAGCAATTAGAAAACATAGTTTCAATAACCTGTCCAAACTTGGTTACACAGGGCAAATTTATACGATTACCCACACTTTATAAAAAAAATTACTACCATAATTAGGCATATGTAAGCCCTCTTATTATCAGCTATTTAGTTTGGTAATACTGAATCAAATTTAAGCTTGATCTAATTTGGGTAGCCATAATTTAATGTTATCTACACACAATTGCGTGTCGATGCGTGTCAATTGCATGAGTTGCAGAAGACTTCGATTTTTGTTTTTAGTCACACTAGCTGTGTTGTTTTTTGTGCACTTATTGCAATCTATTGGACCATTCTTACACAATGAAGCGGTTGAAGAACTTGAGGGCCTTCATAATGAATCTGGAGGCCATGCCCTCCTGGTACTGACTCACTCGGACTACGAAGGCGTCGTCTGTGTGCCCATCCGGCAGCAGCACCACCCGTTTGCCACTCATCTTCCCTGGCACCTAAAATTAACACCCATACTCATATAAATAGCCATAAAACTCAAGGGAATTTGTGCAATTAATACGCAGTTGCCAAAAATTACTCGGAACACGTCGGAGAATTTTTCATTTCCAAAAAAATGTCTTGAAATCTAGCTTATCATCTTAGTAATTAATTTTTTTTCTACAATTTTTTAAAGCAAAATTTTCCCCAAGTTTTAGCAGATTTTCTCCGTGCAAAAATGTTGACAAAGTAATGGTTCTCTTGCCAGTAGTCATAGTTCCGCCCGATGAGGTTCATCGCAAATTTCTATCGTCATTAAATGGACGAAGATTGCAGACAACATTACAAGAAAAGTCATATCAAACATAATAATATTAAATTGTTACAAGTAAATTATTGCTTCTTCTTAGTATAATATCTACAATTCACTTGCTCCAGCGATGAAAAAAGTTCACCAGGATGTTGTGAAGGTGGGGGGGGGGGGGGCAATTTGAGTATTGCTGACATGGTCTTTGAAATGTCAAACCATTACCTTGCTGTCGATGACCGAATATGAGAGCCATGATTGTGAGTTGACGTGTTTGATGAAGATTGGGTGCTCGTTGTACTTGATACATGGCTGACCCTGATTCGGTTCCTGCGTCAGATCCCAATTTACTTCCTCGTCCTCCTGAAGAACAAAACACGGGTTATTTCGACGCAAATTCGGGGAAGAGGGGGGTTGAGGCTTTTATTTACTTTAGAAGGATGAGGGACCTTTTAAAGGCATCTTGTCGTGAATGTATCCATAATGTTGTCTGAAGTTACACACCTTGACTTTTGAATTTTGATCTTTGATCTATTACCTTTGACCTCTAGTCTGACCTTGGTGCTGTAGAGAGCGAATAGAGTGGAAGAGCAGGATGCATTTGTGGCTTCGCAGAGAGCGAGAGAGTTGTTCTCCCTCACGTGCAAGTACCTGCCAGACACCACGTGGCGAACTCTGATTGGCTGTCCCCACTGCAGACAAGTCGCATTCCACCTGCAACAAACCAAAATTTGACTTGACTTGGTAAGTTTCCGTGACCTCTACAAGCTTGACAACTCTTTTGCAGGAGTCACTGATTCTAATCTTATGAATCAGTTATTAGAGTTGGTTCTCCTCCGTCCTCTATTCCTCCTTACTTTTAACTCTGGTAAACAACTGTGCTTGTAAACATCTGTGACGGTCGATAAGCAAATTCGTGTACTAACATTAGTTCTAGATTCAATTAATAGATCAACTTTTTGCACAACTAAGAGTGCAAGATACTCAGAGTGCAAGTTCTTGAGATAATTTATTCGACATTCAAGAACTTGGTCCTCACCAAACTCTTACATTTAGTCAAAACCCATGAAAATTCACCTACGAAAAGTATGCGGCTCAGATTACAACGACATTAATTCTATAATAGTTTTTTTCAAACAAATTCTGGAAAATTCAATTCTGATATTCAGCATTTGAATAATGAAAAAACTATGAAAAAATAAGAATCAAAAGAACATCCATTTGCGATTTTCAGAATTTGGTGGTAATCGATAAATCATAAATCTCGAAAAATACTGATAGTCCTTATTCAGGACAAAAATGATCCCAAAAATTTTAGTTGTGTACATGCATTTATGAGAGTTTAGTTTGCAATTTTTGGATGTTCTCATTCTTTTAATTCTATAAGAAAGTACTAAACTTTTCTTTTCTTTCAAAAACACGTAAATTAGAAGGACGAATATAATTCAGTAACAAGACTGCTCGTATAGCAGGGCAAAGCCCTGAATGTTCCGACTGTCCCTTAAGTCATATCGAACAATTTTTGGGAAAAGAAAATACTGAAAACCTACACGCTTTGAACATTATCAAAGTGTAAAATTTTGAGTCGTCCGAACTTATTACAACCAATAAACTAGCCTCCATCAACTTTGGAACGATTTTGTTGTCCGGGACAATTCGCAACGCATAAATAATTCGCGTTACGCTCTCAGCATTATGAATAAACTCTTCAAAGCGCGCATAATTTAGTCCAGAACATGACTTGGCAATTTTTAAACCCCCAGAACTTTGAAAAAAATAATCGGAGGTGAAATATCTTTTTACAATTGAACTCGCGAAGTCGATAACTTCAATGGGGTATAAAAAATATTTATTGAAAATTATGATTTCGATCGGTGAAAAGGACTGAATAAAAAAAAATACAGCGAGCATTAGTATTCCACTTTCCCGGAAAGTCGGAAAAATTATGTTGCAGCAACATTTGCTATCCGATTTCTTGATTTCATGTTTCAAGATTTTTGTTCAAATCTAAATAACAATGCAACAAGCGATTGATAAATTGCTGATCGATGATGCAAAACTTAAACTACAGCAAAAAAACGTACTGTAAGTCAACAAGACTGCCCGTATTAGGGCGAGGCCCTGAATGTTCCAACTGCCTTTTAAAGTTTAAGGAGCAGTAATAACATCAAAAATTTAAATGTAATAAAATATGAGATTTTTTGTAAAAACATTCCCCCACACGTCATATTAAGTACTAAATGATACACCTTGCTCCTATTAACATATCAATTGTGGCATACAAGCTTCCTTGAACCAATTTGAAACGATTTCTAAGACTGATTAATTCTCCGCTAACGCGTTAGTAGTGCGAAATATATCGCGCGTTAATTGTCCCAAATTGGCTAAAATGGCAATCTTTAAACCTCCATAATTTTTTGAAAAATGATCACAGGCGAGAAATTTTTTCAAATTTAAGCTCGAGAGAACAATTGTTTCCATCAAAAATTGCAAGATAAAAAGACGAAACTTGTTTGAAGAAAAAAAACACACCCCGAGCACAAATATTCCGTTACTTTTGTTACGAAAGTCGAAACAAAAACCATACAACTAGCAAGCATTCTTTATGCCATTCTCTTCAAAAGAACCGGTCGTAAACACAAACACAAACCACAATGACAAATGAAAAAAATTCAAAAATTATTGCTTTATTTGTTTGGAGCTTGCTTGAGTGATAATCCGCATTTGCTTAAATTAGACCAGATCAAAAAATCAGTAGTTCCATTCGCATTTTCATACCAGTAGTTCAATACAGCATAGCATGCCCACTGGAACTATCCACTTCAAACATCTGTATTGATCGTTCTTTCGAGAAAATCTGCGCAATAATTGAAGCAGAGGATAATTGCATATTGGAATAGATGTCAATTTTCAAGCTCCTCAACATTAAGCTTTAAAAAAATGCTCATAATAAACTTGCGCTTTTCAAAGAATGGATGGCGCTTGAAAGTGATCATGCTGTGGTGAAACGATACATTTTACTTGCTTGTTCAAATAAATTGAACTAATTGTGCTGCAAAAAACATCAAATTTAAGGATGCGTTAACACTTTTAGACGAAACTTTTTTTGGATATTTCTTCAAAAAAAAATTTTCATTTCTGGTTATTTCTTATTTTTGGATGCCTAAAAATTAAAAAAAGCTTGGAAGAAAAACAAAAAATATATAAATTCTTACTAAACAAAAATGTTTACTATTATAAGTACACAGAAAATGCAGAGCAGGAAAACTGGCTTATTTCAAAACATTTTAATTTTCATGACAAATAATACAAAAAAATTTACTCGATTTTCAATGAGTTTACTCGAATCAAATCGAAATTAAGCAATTATCTAAATGTGGACAATTTTGTAATTCTTTCTGCGCTGAGGCAATTTTAGGCCATCGAAGTTCTTGCATAGCTTTTCAATATGAGCACGTCAAAAAATTAAAAATTATGATGGCATTCAATAAATTAACAAAAAAAAATCAAAGAAAGTAAAGCCATTCTGAAAATTTTCCAGATTATGTTTGGCGAGGATTTTGTTTTCAATAGTTCGTAATTAAGTGAGAAACCTATGTGAAACCTAGTATATGTGATCTTTTGACCTATGGCACAGCTACTGATCCTAAATCAGATCCTAAAAATTAAAATTGACTGGGTTGATAACTTTGCTTAAAATTTTCCATGGAAAGGGGCCGAATCAGCTCAGTTTTTAGTACGATTGGTCCGTCTCCTTTTTATCGCGGAAAAATGGGCTCAATCATTCCTTTTCATGACAAATCAATGACCAAAAGTTGCGCTCATTGAGCTTTTTTGTACAAAAACAATTTTTGTTCTCGAGGGACTCGAACAGATTCCTTGAATACCCAAGAACCACCTCTGTTCTACCCATCTATAGCGTTACTGTTTGTTTTGATCCATTTAAACTAAAATTTGGAAACTGAAACATTTAGCTCATTTTGCTAAAAATTGTGCTCAATCAGCTCCTTTTACTAAGAACTGAGCTCATTCAGCCCTTTTTGATAAATTGAGCAGATTCAGTCTCGATCTGGAAAAACAAATACCAAAAAAATTGGTCCCATCTTTCGGGAAATTGGGCTCGTTCAGCTCCTTTTGCTGAATATTGAGCTCACTAAGCTCGTTATTTGAAAAAAAAGACTCATTCAGCATCCTCCATGGAAAAAAAAGAGATCAAAAATGGGACATATTTTGACCACGGAGTAAGCAAATCACTAAAGAGCAAATCAGAGTAGCCTGTTTATCAGCTGTTCAAGCTCAAATCAGCCCTTGATATCTGCACAAAAAAAATATGAAAAATCTTATATAAAAAAATCAAATCAATGCTAACAAACTGAGTCAGACTATTTTGAAACTTTTTTCAATGATCTTGAGGACGCTCAAGGTGAACATTTTACTTTTAAAATTATTATGATTAGTTTACTCACTTGGATCTGACAAACTCAATCCTCCACAGGGATCTTCCCTCCCATCTGCCATCGTCAAATTCATACGTCAGGGGTCTGGAACAGCATATAATTATTGGAAGTTTTGTTCAATCAAAGAGACAATTGAGTTGAGATGCTGGTAATTTTTTGTGACTTTTTCGCATACCGGACACCCCAAAAAGTGTAACCCAGTGTAATTTATTCTTAAGTCAATCATTTCTGGTGGTGCTATAGTGGGTGGAGTTGTAATGGGTGATATGGGTGAGTCAAAGCAAACAACTTAATATGACCAGAGTCTATTTTTGTGGAAAACAATCGGCACAAAATATTTTTGCATCTGTGGATGCAAGGAGACTAACGAGGAGTTGGCAGTGTTGCTTCTCTGTTTGATCCCGACTACGGACAGACACTCGTCGAATCCCTTCTGCAGTCGGATAGTGTCTCCCCCTTTGATGAATCCCATTGTAGTCCCTTCCACATCCCCTCTCTTCACTATCCCCATGGCCCAGCAGGAGGGCTGGAAGGAAGCCAGTGGACAGAAGATGGAGATTGCCGCGTGCATGTACCGCTCGGAAGATACGCTGATGAGGATGACCTCGTCTCCGATCTTCACCTTGTCCCCCTCTGACCTCTGTTTGTTGGAGGGTTCTATGATCCACCACGCGCGCTCAACTAAAAAACATTAAAAAAAAACAACTTATTAGTACAATGCAAGAGACTTTTCTAGCCTTTCGCAAGGAGTAGACAAGCTATTGCTGAACTTTCTTTTATCGTGACTAGTCACACATTTTGGTTCCTTTCATAGGTCTCCGAGGACCTACGAAGTCATTTTGCAGAGTCATTCCTCAGTTGAGTCATTCCTCGGATTGAGTTATCATTTAGACATATGAGACGAAACTGAAATTTATGAGCTTATGAAGCAAAAATTTTACTTAGATCCTTGAAATACTGTAGTATATACACAAAATCTATCAGTATTAATTATTATCAATCTAACAGAAAAATTTGCGAACAAGAATGACTCAAAGAACGTTGTTTTTTGTGCAAGAATGACTCTCAAAAGTCTTGTCCATTTTCTAACCCTATCACAAAATACATTAAATGAACTGTATTAAGGTTCTCACTCGTGTTTTCGACCAGTCCGATCTCGAATGCCAACTTGTCGGAGGAGGGCGACGAAGCCATGCATGCCAAGTACTTCTCGCTCTGCACATGTTTGAAGCACACCGCGTGCCCATAAAGCAAAGTTTTGTACCCGCTCTGTATAACAAAGATCCTTTAAATCAATGATTATCATTAAGCAACTTTTTTAAATAGTATTTTTTCATAGATTTTTATAAAATTTTTTGGGCTAACGCGTTTCGTTGACAGTCCTTATAGTATCTAGTAAGAAAAATTAGAAGGAAAAATTTTGCAGTAGAGTGATTGTAAGAAACCTGTGCTCTTTTAAACCATGAAAACTAATTTGAACTGAAGGCCCTGTCAGACTTGACAATTAATTGTCTGATTAATCGGTATAGTATTCGGCCAAACGATTAAAGTTGCACTATAACTAAGCGAATCTGCGAAACACGATTAACTCGCAAGAAAAAACACTGCAAAAAACTAGTAATATTCTAGCGTTTTGTGCCGACGCTGAATTCTGGTATCCCTGCCAAAGCTCGATGTTACAATATGTGAATATCGAGTTCCAACTCGGAAAAACCGTGAATACGAAGAATTAGTGTGTGTGATACAGCCTTAAATTTGAATTTGTCGAATATTTTTGCCGGAAGCAGAAAAATAGAAGAACATTTGCGTAATGGTATATAAAAAAGTTAGCCATCTTCATGATTGAAATGGAAATATCAATCAAAATCTTCATGATTGAAATAGTACTGACCCCAGTGGTGTTGGCGAGTGTCTTTGCAGAAGAGTCCATTATTAGCTGTTCCTGAAGAGCCTTCTTGGACAGTGCATTCTCACACAGGAAAGTACTCGAAACAATATCGCCCGGAACATCCTGAAAATCCGCAAAATTGATCTACTATTGGGCCGAAATATGAATTAAATTTCATTCGATAAGAAAAAAAAGAAAGAATAAACGATTGGTTTTCTGAAAAGTATGAAAAATCTAGAACTAAACACGGTATAAAACAAGCAGTGAGATTTCATATTTAAACTCTTACACCCGCATTTCTCAATAAATTTGTCTTAAGTGTCAAAAATTTTAAATTCTAATGTTAACATCTAGAACAAATTTTTTCGCTCCAAAATAAAAAGCACAAAAAAACACAAATAACTTTGTACTAACATGGTTGGACAAGTTTTCAAGGTGACTGAGATTAGTTCCAAATCCATCGGCTGCCAAACTGACCCGGATCAACTCCAGCACCGGCTCACCCAAAAGACCCCCGTGCATGGCCCCGCTGGCCACAGACAGTCTACCCCCATGCTTACCCACCCCTCCCCCTCCAAGAGCAGCCGCTGCCGCACTCACACCTGCTAGGGGGACTTTCACTTGGGCAATCAGCGTGAGATGGTCGCCCTGTAAAATGAAACAAACCCACGTTTTTCTCAAATCGGTCTCTGTTTATAACTACGAACTTAATCTACATTCAAACTATTGAATTGAAAGTTACTAAATTATTATTTTAGAAGCGCATAAGTTAGAAAAATTTTCGTGCTAAATGTCTGATGGTGATTGATATGTCTAAATTTACTCATGACAATATTTGGACTGAAATTCGAGTGATCTATTTCACTCGGCTTTGCAACAAAAAAAAACAATGTTTTAATTGGCACCCTTGTGAAATATAATTGAAAACTTACCGTTCTGAGATATTGAATGTCGTCTAGAATTTGCTCCATTTGTAGCCCACAAAATTAATTACATGATTTCATTTTTTTCAAGATGATATTTCAATGTTTTTCTATAAAAAAAGCAACATGCAATTGATTTGAATGATCTAACGCTGGATTTTTCCAGGCATTCAAAGTTACAAGAAAATAGCATGCATTAGTGCAACATGTTGAAAAAGGGAAAACTGCCCAGGACAGTTAAAATGGAAAGGAGATTTGGGAACACTGAATTTGTTCACTCCTTTACCCTCGAAATATTACCCGCAGTAAAACGTTTCAAGCTCAGAGCGCTGATTTTATTCAGCGACCCAATGCATATTAGGTAGTTGAGGTTTTGGGCAAAACCCATACTTTCTGGTTCTAACACTACAATGGTGGTAGATATTTACGCTTTACGCTATGCAAATTTTGAATAATCCGCAGCCAAAAAACATGACAAATTGTTCTGAGTTACGCACTTACAATAAACATTTTTGTCAAACCGCAAACCCAATTCATACCTTTCGGTATTAAATTTGAACTGTCTTTTCATGTAGACACGAAAAAGTAAATGGCAATATTTCAATAAACAGAATAATTTTAAACGCCGATTTAGTAAAAGTTTCAATTGAACTTAGAACTGACTATTTTTTTACTATGACCTATTGGCTTGTGAGTTTGCTCAGAGTTTTTGTAAAAATGCCGTGCAAAAAAACGGTTTTGTTTTTTGGAGGGAAGGGGTATGGGAGATTAATGATAGTATTTTTGTGTGTGAGGGGTTTAAAACTGTAATATTTTCGAAATTTAAGGAAGTTTTGTAGGCTCACACCATTCGAAACTCGATATGTCAACCGCGAAAGTTATTAACTCATAGATCGGGCGATAGTGATAGGAACCTTATCCTCATACACGCTACTTAGCTTCTGCTGAAATAAATGTCTGCCAATTTAATACTGAATTCCTGCCCTTTATTCCTGCCAGTTTTGAAAGCGTAGGAATCCTAAATGTTATAGAACTTTCGAGGAAACTTTAGTTCCGTTCTTGCTGTTAAGTAAAGTTCTGTTTCTAATCCACAGAAATCTCATTGCAATGGTTTCTGGTTTTAAGAACTTCCAGACTGGTACCAGAATTTATTTATGACCATGCTATCTGTAAACGTTACGCAAAGCTTCCATTTAAGTTATAATTGCGACTTTCGAAGAAAAGACGGAAAACTTGTTCTCATTTTGCTTTTTTCTCCAGACAAATATGGTTTTTTTTAGCTCAGCATCTTTGATGAAAAACTTTTACATTTGGAACAATTTTGATGCCTTGTGCTTAAAAAAACCTGTGATCACTTTGATAAAAATATGGGTTTCAAAAATGCAATTTAGGTCAATTAGAAAAATCAGTGCAAGCTAAAATTTAGTTAGCGACGTAGAAATGACAAAATTTTCGAAATATTTGAAAAAATTGTAAAAACTTTGATTTTTTTAAAATCTTCCAACGCACGGTATTTTATATAAATTTTAAACATTAAGCATTTATATACACAATCATAAGAAAAATTGCCGCTCATGAGTTAATTATCCAAAATCGGACGAAGAAATAAAATATCTTCTGAAATTTGAGCTCAAACCATCAATTGCTTTCAGATGATAAAAAAACTATTGCCAAAAATGGCTAGTTGAAAAACGTAATTTTGACTGGAGTAACGAAAACACCACGAGCACAAATAATCTATTATTTGTTTCGGAATTCAGAACAACAGTGATAATTCGTCAAAAACTAGCTTAAAAACATTAAATTGAAGTCGCAACAACCAAATATTAGCTCTGATTCAATTGTTTTTAAATGGAAACATATTTGCTCGTATCAGAGCGACGCCTTGAAAGTTCCGACTGACTTGTGAGGTCTAAGGAGCTGTAACCACTTGAAAAAAATTAGATGTAATAAAAATAAATTAAAACTTATTTTGTAATCTGAGGTTTTTTTGTGAAAATTATCACCCCACACGTCATATCAAATACGAAGTGATAAATTTTGATCCTAATAACAAATCAGTTATGGCAAATAAGCCTCGTTTAACCAATTTGGAAAACTCTCTAAGACGGATTTAAATTTTTTTACGCGTTATAAGCCTGAAATATATCGCTCATTACTTGTCCCAAATTGGCCACAGTGGCAATCTTTAAACATTCTTAACTTCACGAAAAAGATTCACAGTTGAAAAATCTTTTTAAAATGAAACTCAGGACAATAATGCTATTTGAATGATAAAAAAGATCGGTCAAAACAATCGGGTTAAAAAGTCGAATTTTATCTGAAGAAAAAACAACACGCGCACAAATTTTCCGTTGCTGTCGTTACGAAAGTCGGAATAATAATGAAATTATGAAGAATCATTTTAAAAAATTGCTCCTCTTTGGATCAAACTTGAAAAGATAACAGCAAAAATGTGAAAGTAGAGATGATCAATAAACTATTTACTGACTTTTTCTGCTACTCGCAGAGCAAAAGTACGGTTTCCAGTGACAAAAGAAAAAGTTTGATTCCTCAATCGAGTGTGAACTCAGGCTAAAACAAATTTTAAAAAAAAACTTACAAAATTTCGTTAAAAAAACCTGAGTAAAAGGAAAAATCACATTTACTTTTGCTCAATCTATGAGTTTTTTTTTATATGCTGTCAAACTTAGCTTCAGTTTTTGATCTTATATGGTACAATTTTTGATCTTTTACACTACTTTTATGGACTACTACTTTTTTGTAATTGCTATCAATTTGGCTTCATTTCTTGATCCTATACACTACTTAATGATAGTATTTCTGTGTGTACGGGGCCTTAAACTGTAATTTTTTCCGAAGCTTACGGAAGTTTTTCGGGCTCACACCACTCGACATGTCAACCGCGGAAGTCTTTAAGTCATAGATCGGACGATAGTGATACGATCCCTATTCTCATACACGCTACTTAGCTTCTGCTGGAATAAAGGCCGGCCAATTTAAAACTGAACTCCTGTCCCTTATTCTTGCCAGTTTTGAAAGCGTAGGAATCCCAAATGTTTCGAAAATACCGAAGAAACTTTTGTTCATTTCTTGCTATTAAGTAAAAGGCTCTTTCAAATCCACTGAAATTTTATTGCAAAAGTATCTGGCTTAAGAACTTCCAGACTGATACCAGAGTTTATTTGTGAGCATGCCAACTGTAAAGGTTACGCAAAAATTCCATCTAAGTTATAATTCCGACTTTCGGAAAAAAGACGGAAAATTTAATCTCATTTTGCATTTCTACTCGAGACAAATTTGGTTTGTTAGCTCACCATCTTTGATGAAAAACTTTTACATTCGGAATTATTTAGATGCCTTGTGTTTAAAAAAAAACCGCCGAAAACTTTGATAAAGTTATAGGTTTTTAAAAATGCAATTTTGGCCACTTTACGAAATTCAAAGCAAGCAAAAATTTAGTTAGCATAGTAGAAACGATGAAATTTTCAAAATAATTGAAAAATGTAGAAGGAAATTTTCGCCGCACGGTTATTTATATGAAAGCTATATAATTAGCATATATTTACAAAATTTCGCGTGCCTAAATTCAATTTAGAACAACTTCTGAGCCAGATTAAACTGCCGGTTATGCATTAATTATCCAAAATTGGATTAAGAAAAAAATAACGCCTGAAGTTTGAGCTCAAACCATTAATAGCTTTCAGGTGATAAAAAACTCTTGCTAAAAATGGCTAGTTGAAAAACGTAATTTTGACAGGAGTATGAAAACACCACAAGCACAAATAATCCGTTATTGGTTTCGGAAGTCAGAACAACAGTTTAATTTGTCAAGAACTAGCTGGGAAACGTTACATTGTAGTCATTACAACCTAGGATTAGCTCAGATACAAACAATCTCATATGCAAATAAGACTGCTTGTATCAAAGCAAAGCCCTGAATGTTCTGACTGCCTTTTAATCAAATGTAATACTAACAAAATGGATTTTTTATCTGATATTTTTGTGAAAATCATCCCCCCACACGTCATATAAGGTACAAAGTGATAAGTTTCGTTCCCAGTAACAAATCAAAAATGGCCAATCAGCTTCCTTTAACCAATTTGGAAAACTTTCTAAGACGGATTAAATCTCCACTTACGCGTTAATAGCGCAATTTATATCGCGTACTAATTGTCCCAAACTGCCAAAATGGCAATATATAGACCCCTATAATTTTACGAAAAATGATCACAGTTGAAATATCTTTTCAAATTCAAGCTCAAGACAAGAATACTTTTTCAATGATATAAAAAGTTCCGTAAAAATTAGCTAGTTAAAAAGTCGAACTTTGTATGAAGAAAAAAACCACCACGAGCACAAATATTCCGTTACTTTTCTTACAAAAGTCGGAACATTAATGATATTATGAAAACTCAAAAAAAGTGCTCCTCCTTCAAAGAAAACTGTAAAAATTTACAGCAAAATTGTGAATAAATTGATGGATAAACTAATTACTGATTTTTTCTGCTCTTTTCAAAACCGCTTTGCAAAGACAAAAGAAAAATTTTGATTTTTCAATCGAGTGTGAACTTAGGCTAAAACAAATAAAGAAAAAAAAATTTTGTTAATGTAATCTCCATTAGCAAACTAATGGAGATAACATTAACTCCATTAGTTTGCTATAACTGAAAAAATTTGAGTAAGAGGACAAATCACATTTACTTTTGCTCAACCTATGAGTTGCTTTAATTTTTGATCTTTTACACTACTTTCGGACAACAAAACGGGAAGTAATAGGTGTTTTTCTTCAATAATTCCAATTAAGGAATTTTGTGATGTTTTACCATTCCGCTGTTTTCTTCAAGACAGTCTGGTGTGCAATTTATGAAACGCAGTGGTCTCATTTCATTGTTTCAACAATTTTCTTCAGTTTTGCCTCAAATTGAGATATACTAAGACAAAAAAGTGACCAAATAAATTTATTGGATTATTTACCTCAAGTAAAGTGCTGCAATATGTTACGCTATTTTTGGACATAATTTTCGGCCTGAAAATCGATCAATTTTGGCTTAATTTATTTGGTAGAACAATACGCAAAAACTACAATTTCAGCTGTGGGGAAAACGAACTTTTCTAAAATTAGGGTCATACTTAGCACAACAAAAATTGACAAGGATATAATCAAAAAGTACAATTTGATTTTTGTAATATGTATTTAAAAGGAAAATTATTTATTCATTTTTTTCACTTAAAACGATTATTATGTCTTTCAGACAACAAAATGGTTTTTTATACCATTTTTAAGAATATATATCCTGTCAAGATTTGTTGATTTAAGAAAGACCATAATTTTTATATAAATTGACCCAAAAAAGCAGCTGTTTTGCTGGCGTATTTTGTTCCTCTAGCCAGTAAGTTTTCTGGTTTCAAAATTAAAGAGCAAAATTTGACAGACAATTCATAAAATCAATGAAACAAACTCAATGAATTGTTTTGTAAATTTTGACCAAATACTAATTTGGATATCAGTTAAACCATCTCCCGAAGAAAGAGTTATTGTTAAGTAAGTTTCCACTCGAGCTTGCTTTTTTCTTCTCGTTTTCTGTAATTTCCTTTGCTGCATATTCCTCATAATTGCCTCTTCTGACCTCAAAGTCAATGTCGGTCAAGGTGTGAACTCTTTTCAATTTACTCGGTAGCGTTCTTGTGTAGTCCTCTTGAGCTCGGCCTTCCAGCTTTTGGAAGGCGGCGATTGATTCTTCAAATGAGGGGAGAGGTCTTTCCACTTGTCCGCCGCCCACTTCTTCAAACAAACTGGAGTTTCCGTCGCTGTCTTCGCCTGCGTATGCTTCGTTCACTTTGCCCTAACAAAAATTCAAAAACATTCAAAAAGAAAATCAGATTTTATTTTTTTTTGGAATTTTAACCATGTTGCAACTAAAAAAATGATAGAAGCAATCTGTTTTTTTGTTTTTTTTAGTAATAAGAGAATAATTGCAAAACATGGCTTGTTTTTAATCCTTTTTACCAGTATAGCATTGATGTTTTTATGACTGAAGTTATATGTCAAGTTGCAATCTACAATATTCGAGCAGAGGATACAATTTAACTCCAGAGGAAAAAGTATGCTCTAAATTTGAGGATAAAACTAAACTCAAGGGAGGAAAAAATTTGGCTCAAAAGAAGATAACTTTAACTCCATTAATTTGCTATAACAGACCCGAAAAAAAATATTTATTCTGTTCACCTGAGGGTTCTGAGATGAGTCCACTGCTCGAAAAAGATCCTGCAATGAAGAGGCTCTGAAAAAAAAATAAAAAAGAAAAGAAATGCACGAAGTTAAATAAAAGAACAAATTCATAAAAATAAATTTTCATCAACACTCATCTAAATAATTTTTCTTGAATTTGTAATTTAAACCTCGTATTGAAGGCAGCAATTTATTAGTTTTTGAAGTGGCTTGAGAAAGAAATGAAAGTAAACCTAGCAATCAAAAGCAGTAGATCCCGTGAAAATGTAAGTATTGTTATAAATATTCAAATCAAAGAAACAAAAATTATTACTTTCTGACGATTGAAGCCTCCTTCTAAAATACAAAAAAAATTATTCGTTATATGAGGAAATATTGTCTAGATCGGTTTATTTCTATTGAAATTTTATTATAAACTTCTTAACTATTTTGTACCAACATACATTAGTGAGTATACAAAACAAAAAAATTGGCATCAAGGGCAAGCGAAGTGTAGTTTTGCAATATTTGCAATCGAGAACGACAAATAATCAAGGGAAATATCTCAGAGCGGAAAAACATTTAATTTTTGGCTGCTTAATCGAGAAATCGACATTGCCGCTCAATTTTCCAAACAACAATAAAAAAGAGTGAGATTCACCTGTTTATGTGCAAACAGCACAGAAGGCGCTGATGAAGTTATTTTTTTTAAATAGAAAAATTCGCCAGCTTCTGTCGTTTTTTGGTACGTGATGAGGTGAGAAGGACTAAGGATTTCTTAGAAAAACATTGAAGAAGTGTGGAAATTCGGATAATTAGTGTTTTTGTATATCAAACTGAATTAGATAAGGACTAAGAGAAATTTTTTCATCAATAATTTTTCCACAATGTCAAGAAAAACTAGTCTGAGTTTTTCGTTGATCAGACTGAATTAGATAAAAACTGAAAAAAAATTAATCAAATGTAATCGCCCTTTCAAAAAAATTAACAGCGAAATTTTACAAAATAAACAAAATGAAGAGAAGAAAATCTTTTTCTTCAATTTTTTACATATTTTTTTAAAAGGAAAAAATTCATCGCCTTATGTGGTCAAAACAATCTGAGCTACTTGCATGTAGAGCAACTTTCCTTGTTTGGACGAAAGTTTCTTTCTAAAATAGAGAACAAACAAAAACACCAAAAAAAAAACATTTTTTTTCAAAATTTTCTTTCAAAATTTTTCTTAGATTCATTAATCAAAACTGTCAAATTTTATAACAAAATCACTTTGAAAAATCACAGCTGATTTGGCTCTACCTCTCTGTACTCGCTATTATTTTCATCAAATAAAGAAAACCAGTTTTTCTCAGCGCTGGAAAACTTTTTGGAATTTTTTAGATATTTATCGAGTCCAAATTGAGAGCAATTGATGCAAAACTTCTTGAAATTACAAGGCGGGCATCAATGACAGTATAGAAACAATTAATGAATAATGATTCTCAGCTCTCAAAATAGCTTAGACATCGAAGAAGCAAAACCTACTATTGCATTGATAAACTACTTAGGTATTATGGCGGTTAGACGTGCCAATTAGAACCAAAACTCTTGAAGTCAAAAAATCTATAACCCTCCTGCAACAAAATACTGAACTTTTTGAAGCATAGAGTATTTACTTAAAGCATTTTCAGGCAAAAACGCCGCTTTTAAAATGGGTAATAACTAAATAGTACAGTAACACCGCGCGAGATAAGAAAAAAGTTACGCTGTAAATTTATTGAGAACGTAGTTGTTTTGGTTTTTTTGCCTCATCTATAGTCCCGGTTTAAAAACACCTGTGTGGTGGTAGTGAGTAGACCACCTAAGATAGAGGACGTTATAACTTATTATTATTAATGTTACAGATCATTTGAATAACAATAATTAAAGACCTGTCAATCACGTTGATTGTTCTAACAACTTGATGGTGCTAAAGACTGAAACTCACTCTGTGTTAACTATTGAGAGATTATAGTTATCTTCTATTCTTTGATCCATACTTACTTATTAAACTTTACTATTAATTCAACTGTATTATTAGTCTAGTTTTCAGATAAGGTTTAGGGAATATCACATGGCGCAGCCAGCAGTTTGTTCTTCTGAAGACAGGACGGAACTCCTAGGTGTCCCTTCGTTCTGGGGTAAACCGTCAGCCGAACCTCCTTATCCTTGGGAGGTGTGGATAGGCCAATTTTTCCTCGCCGTATCACTCAAAGAAAATTGTGACCCGAATATCCTACTTACAGATCCGGCAGAAGTACACGACGACCCCCCACCAAGACCTGAACAGATTCCAAATTCAGAAAAGGCAGAAGAAGCGGACAGTAGAACCGCAAGAAATGAAGCGGCAATCAGGAGAACAAACGAAGCGAACGAAGAACGAAGAAAGAAGGGACCCAAAATAAATCCAAATGTGTATTTTCACGAAGCAGATGCAAGGATTAAGTTAAAGTTATTCTTCGCCTTGGGAAACGAAGGGAAGAAAAGATTCCTTCAACAACATGTACATACCAACCTAAACACAGTAAAATTCAAATTTTTCCATGATGCTTGCGAACAACTATTCAAACGGGAAAAGAACTATGTCATAGAAAGAATGCAAATCTACAACGCATCGCACGGGGACAGGGAAAGACTCGAATCATTTTACCTCCGCCTAGCAGGACAAGCTTCAAAATGTGGATGGACAGAGGAGATAGAGAAAGAAGTCATTCGCGACATCTTTATTGCAAAATTGAGATTCTCTGACATACAACGAGAACTTTGCATTAGACCAGGAGCCACAGTAGATGATACCCTCAAATCGGCATTACTTCAGGAGAAGGGATACGTGACAGCGAGCACTCTCCAAAAGCAGAATCCATCTACAACGAGCAATTCAGCGAACTTCACAAACTCATCTAACCAGTTTCGGGTCAAACAAGAACCACTGATGTCCATCCAGTCGAAAAACAATGTCCAAAACAGAATGAATAGAGCGCTAGGGAAAAGAAATTTCAAACCCAAAAACCAGCAAGACCAGTCGAACACTCAATCTAAAACATGCTATTTCTGTGGAAGAAGATTCACACCCGAACACAAATGTAAATGCCAAGCCAGAGGACCAACATGTAGAAATTGTGGGAAAAAGGGACATTTTGCGAAATGCTGCAACAGTAATCAAGTGGCCAATGTCGAACAACCAGATCCGGACGAAGAAGAGGAATGTAACTTCATAGAATCAGACAGCGAAGAGAACTACTCAGTCCTAAAAATCTCGGAAGCATCACTACAAACGGAAACAGTCAAGAATCTAGAAGTAATCAACTCCGCAACGGAGAAAACTAGGTGTCTAAGAACAACGCTAAAAACAAGAGGCTCTTTATTTAGCGCCACCGTCGACACTGGAAGCCCAGCATCATTCATAAACAAACGTACAGCTGAAACTCTATTACAGAAAGACCCCAACGCAAAGATCATATCACTAGATAAGAATCCGTTATCCACAACATAAGTAGAAAACAAACACAAACCGATAAAACTCTTCGGAATACTAGAAATTGACTTTTACTCAAATGGATGGAGACTACCAGGAGCAAAATTCTTAATTTCCGAGAATAGAACCAGATGTTTATTGGGCTTAGACATCCAACTAGACCTGGGAATAGTAACAACTCAACTAAAACCACCCAAAAATTCAATAAACGCAATTTCAGAAGAGCAAGAAAATGAATCAGTCGAATCGACCTTTTGGAGGAACAAATTCACTAAGAAATAAAATGACGTATTCCATAGATTGGGACGCTCAAAGAACCACAAGGTATTCACGTCATTTAAATCACCATTGATCCCAATTCAGGAAAAGGGCAGAAGAGTGCCAATCCATATTCAAACCAAAGTGGGAGCGGAAATTAAAAAACTCATAAAAGAAGGCCACAAAGTAAAACTTGATAAATGCACAAGTGATCACTTCGTAGCTCCAGTAGTCATAACAGCAAAAAAGGACGTCACGGTGAAACTAGCAATGGACGCAAAACCAATGAACTCACAGATCTTCAAAAATAAATTTCAGATGCCAAATTTATTAGAACTACTCGACTCAGCAGCCCAAATAATTACAACCAAGACAGAGGGCACAGTCTGGTTTACGTCATTAGACCTAAAGTACGCATTCAGTCAACTCCCATTAGACGAATCTGTGAGCAAACACTGTAACTTCAGCATCGTATGCGGGGAATTTATTGGAACGTACAGATTCAAAACCGGTTTTTATGGACTAACAGACATGCCAAAGGAATTCCGGAAGGCAATGGAAAACACAATCCAAGGAATTCAAGGAATCTTCTGTTTCTTAGATGACATACTAATAGTATCAAAAGGTTCAGTCACAGAACACAATGAAATAGTTGACAAAGTCCTGTCAAGGTTAGACAAAGAAGGATTTGCGCTAAAACTCAGCAAATGCAAATTTTCAAAAACAAAATTAATCTGGCTGGGATTCCAGATAGATGAGACAGGAGTGAGACCAAAACACTCGAAGATAGAAGCAGTAATGGCCTTACAACCGCCAAAATCTTTGAAACAACTGAGATCATTCATGGGTAGTTTAAATCACATGTCCAGATTCATACCCAATCTCCAAAAACACACCGAACCATTACGCCTATCATTGAAGGCGGATAACAAAGAAATTCATTTGGAGTGAAGAAGCAAACAACGCATTTAAGAAAACACTGGAACTAATCGCCAACATAACAAAACTGCACCATTACGATGCCACCAAACAATGTAGGATCAAATATGACGCCAGTCACAAAGGATTGGGGGCTGCATTGGAGCAAGAACTGGAACCGGGCAAATGGGTACCAATCGCATTCACATCAAGATTTTTGAATGCAGCTGAACAAAAGTACAGCACTAATGAGCTCGAACTACTAGCGGTGGTATGGTCATGTGAATTCTTCAAAAACTAGTTATTGGGAAACTAATTCCAAATATTATCCGACCACAAGGCCATAGTCACAGCATTAACAGAAAACCGGGGCAACAAAACATATCAATCCAGACTGACAAGATGGGCAGACAGAATGCTACCATTCGAATATACAATTTCTCACATCACAGGAGCTAAAATAGGAATGGCAGATTACTTATCAAGAAGCCCTAAATTTGAGGCACCACCTTCATCAAAATACGACGAACAGTTTGTAGTCAAAGCCATCGAAAACTTTGATGAGGCATGTAGGGTGATTAACAATCCAGCGCCGACCAAAAAAATTGAAAAAATCCAATTAGTCAAGGCCCACCTAGAGGAAAACAGGATAATTCCGAAGAGATTTACACTAATTGGGAGGGAGAACGGAGGAGAACACCCAATTTCCGAAGCACCGCAAGGGGGCGTCGATATCTCGTACGAAGAATTTATCCAATCAGATCCTCGATACAGAACCGCAAAAAGTAACAAAACATCCGATACGGAAGGAACAAGTATCAACCAATCAGGATCAGATATGCAAATGTTCACACATCTGCAAGAGGGCGCATCGTCATGCGGAACTGACACTATCCAATCAGATCAATGTATGAAAATTCACATCCCTCAAATACAGATCGGAATTTATGCGGCAAAAACAACAACCAATCAAAACAAGATATGCAAATGCACAACTCACCACGAGAGGGCGGAAAGCCATGCGGTGAAAATTGTAACGAATCAGATTCGTCAAATTTTAATTTATTCACAACTACGCCATATCTAACCAGTTCACCACGAGAGGGCGTCGTAACAAAATCCAACCAATCAGGAGTTATATTCAGCCAAAAATATACAAATTTCATTGTTCCCGACCTTAAACTTAAACATCAACAGCTCAAATAAATTCATAATCAACTCAACAAAACAAAATTTTCAGAGGAAAAAGAGTAAATTCATCCTGCCATCCATAAAACAGACGATAAACCCGATTGAGGAAAGAAATAGAGCAGAAACAAGACAGACAGTGGAGATGATAACCGAGAGCAGGAAAAGGAAAAGGATCAATATCGTAAACAAGAACAAGATGCACTACGCTCGAATGCTGGCAAACTTCAGAACGAACAGAATGAAAAAGACAATGAGGGTCAACATGATAGCAGATAAAGTTGGAAAGAAGAAAGAACAAGAAGCTCCAGTGAACACAAACAAGAAATCATTCACCACAGGCCTCCATAACATACTCGATGCGGATCTACTGGGGGAACTCACGACGGAAGACAGCCAGTTAGGCCAACTAAGGAAACACATCCTAGCGAAGGATAGAGAAGGATTCTTGAGATTGGGCAGCTACATGGCAAACTTTTAGGACGACGCCTCAGTAATCAACGACTGCATCATTATTGACAATAGAGTGGCAATACCAACTTGTCTGGGGAAAACAGTAATGGCCCGATTGCACAGAACACACCCAGGACAAGAGGCAATGGTGGACGCGGCACAAAATCTGTGGTGGCCGAAAATGCATAGGGAGATCATTGATTTATGCCAAACCTGCAGATCATGTTCAGCGTATGGTAAGAACCTTAAAACGTCTAAAACATTCAATTCGGCAGAACCCTTACCAGAATTATCAGAGGTGAACCAGGAATTACAAATAGACCTTGCTGGCCCAATGTTCGATTCTAAGGGAAAGAAACTATTCATAATAGTCGCTATTGATCGATTTTCGAAATACCTTTCTGCCATGATCACCAGGAATTCGGGCAGCGAAAAAATACTCAAACTCTTAAAAAACTACATACACCAACATACCATACCAAAGAATTTAAGGACAGATCAAAATTCGGGATTAAAAAATGCGAAATTAGCAGAATTTTGTAAATCGAAGGGAATAAATCAAATCTTTTGCCCAGTAGGAGACCACCGGGGGTGTGGATTAGTAGAAAGATGTATTCAAACCATAAAAAGAAAACTAGGCACAAGGCAATTGGACCCAAATTTTGAGGATATACAAACAGCAGTCAAGTCAATTTTAGAAGATATTCGAATATCACGTCACAGCATCCTTAACAAGTCACCTTTTGAACTTCATTTCGGACGGAAACCGAATCTGGAATGGTCTAGTTTCAGGGATAAACTAAAATGTTCATTAAATCTAGATCAACAGAGACTGGAGAGATTACTATTGAAGCCGGAGGAGATGCGAGAATCGGCGGACTCAAGGACTAGATTAAAGGTGGTGAAGAAAGGGATGGCAAGCAGAGACGTGTCACCAAAAATGAAGAGGACTGGAGAAGAGCCAGAGAGTTTCAGGGCATTAGAAAATCTGGCAAAGGCAGCATCGGACTGGAAGTTGCACAGGAGACATCTTTCACACAAAGAGGGATCTGAGGCATTGAGAAAGCTGACTGAAAGAAACCCATTATTAGCAGCAAGCCTCAGAAGCGACTTGAATCAAGGAACTCTAAGATTTAGAGTAGAACCGGAGGTGCCAGAGCACAGGACGAAAACAAGTAATCTAGAATTCGATCTTATTCACTATCCGGAGAAAGTAGTGGTATACCGGAAAATTTCAGGCAGGAAATCGGGACGTCCTTTATTCAAGCGGTTTAATGGGAAAATTGTTAAAGTCACTAAGAATACTTACATTACCAATAATGGGAAAGTAATTAGAAAAAACCACATATCACTTAAACCGAAATTCAAGTCAGCATATTGTTCAGGTTTAGGAAAGAAGACACCAGCCGCAAGCACGCCGAGGAAACCATTACATCAGTGCAGCTCAAGTGGACCAAACAGACCGGTTCATATCCTGCCGAGACCAGACGTCTCACCGGTTTCAACGTCAACAGAAAATTCAGACACAGAAAATATGACATTTGACAGGCCATTCGAGAAACTGGATAGACTACATGCGAAGACAATGAAACTATATTCCACGCTGACGAAAGCAGCGAGAAAGAATCCGCCAACGTTAGCTTCCAGATATGTAGCATCGCCAAATGTACTTAAAGAAGTACCGAGTGGAGGAGTAGTAGACCTAACCATGTCATCAAGGAGCTCCCCAGAACACGAGGTGCAAGCAGTACCACCAGCAGAAAATAGATTAGAGGCACAGTCGACAGAAGAATGTCCAATCTCTATAATACCAGCCGGAACAAAAGAAATGCAAATTGAGAATCAATCGAAAGAAAGCATAAACTGTCCAATTCCCTCAGTACCGACAACAGAGAAGGAGAAGACGCAAGACAACATGGAGGGGACTCAGAGTAAGACGGCAACAGAGAAGTCAAATACTTCACAGAACGAGTAAGAAAAATTAGACGGGAAGATGGGAATAACATCAGAAACGACGGAAAAGGAATCGGAGGAAGACAAATCAGCAGATAGAAGGAAACCAGAGAAGAAAAAGGAGAAAAGAAACGGAGAAGGCAATAACGATTCACAGGTGTCGAACAACTCAAGGTCGTCGGGCAGAAGCAAGCGGCAGACACAATTCTTTGGAAGCCCACTAAAACATTCGGTCAAAAACGTAGAAGAGAAACAAGGGTCACAAACTATTCCAATTTCGCCAGGGGAAATTCCGTAATCATCGGAAGATACAACGTCACCATCACCGAGAAGGAAACTTAGGAGACCAACATTCTTGACTAGTAAAATGGAACTACAAGAAAAGAAAATTTAATCCCAAAAACTTTTAAGCTCATTGACTGAATTTTGTTTATTGTGATCTTATAAGAGAATTTCAAACGTTGTTGAAATTTTCTAGAGGGGGAAATGTGGTGGTAGTGAGTAGACCACCTAAGATAGAGGACGTTATAACTTATTATTATTAATGTTACAGATCATTTGAATAACACTAATTAAAGAGCTGTCAATCACGTTGATTGTTCTAACAACTTGATGGTGCTAAAGACTGAAACTCACTCTGTGTTAACTATTGAGAGATTATAGTTATCTTCTATTCTTTGATCCATACTGACTTATTAAACTTTACTATTAATTCAACTGTATTATTAGTCTAGTTTTCAGATAAGATTTAGGGATTATCACAACCTGCTAATTGCAAGTGTAGAAATTAAGCTAAAAATGATCGGCTAAATTAAATCACCGGAGGCTTGATTTGTTCGAGAGGTGCCAGGACAGCCTCGTGCACCAAGCTTTTCTCATACAGAGTCAGGTTGGCTCCTCGGGGAAAAGTTCCAGTCCTCTGGAAGTCCAGTTTTCGATTTGAGTAGCCCGAGATTATGCCCGAATTAGCATTCTGAAAAAAAACATCCTTCCTACCGTTTCAAACTTTAAACATACTTTTACCTATGAAACTATATTTTATAGTCACTTATTTTTGATGTAGCAAAAAAAGGTTTCAAAGGTTATAATACTTAATTTGCAGCGCTGTAATAGCTTATAAGTTATAATAACAAGTTCTCAACCTAAAAATACTGAGACTCAAAATTAAATCTTTTCTTGTAAAACCTTAAGTGGAGCTTCGTCTTCTTCGAAATAGAGAGAGATAGATTGTGACATGGTATCAATCTCATCGCCATCGTCCTTATTGAAGCCACTCTCGGTCAGTGGACCATTATGAGAACTTGTTTCGGTCACAGGCATGAATTTGAACTCAGTGGGTACATACAAATCCCTATGAACAATATAGTAAAATCACTGAATTGATGATCGACTATAAAAACTGAGCAGAAAAGGTCCTCAAATTAAATACAATCCCTTTATATGGTGGCTTCTGCACAGATTAGGTGTCATTTAGTAACATAAGTATCAAGTTTTTGAAAATGAAAAGCTACCAAGTTTGCGGGTATAATTTTGAGTCGTTGTAGATGAAATGTGTTTAATCTGCAACGGTTATAAATCATATCAAAATGGTCAAAAGTGGCACTTTTAGGTGTTTTAAATCTATTTTACAAATATGAAGAACTCACTGGCTGTTTACGAGTGGCCTGCGAGATACTGAGGACATGAGGGAGTCGTGGCCTCCAGTGATCACACTATGGTCGTCATGGTTCTGTCTGTGTCTCACTCGACCAGTTTCCAGATCCACCATCAGGGCCGAGTTATCGAAAGTCGAGGCAGGCTAAAGAAGAACAAAACAAACAAAAACGTATCGTACAGTCACTATAGCTTTAATCTATTTTTTGAAAAAATTTAAAAAATGGTTTATGTACTTTTAGTAACATTGGTTTTGCATGCATTCGTGCAATAATCCAAAGTTTTTGTTGCCTTATTGAAAACATAAGTCAGCAACCTCCACCGCATCATACCAGAACAGCAAAAAATTTCAAAAAATTATTGTTCTGAATGGAAAACTTAGCATATTTTTGCATATTGATGCAAATTTTGCAAAGATTTTGCAAACTGAATGCATATTTTGCAAGGATCTGGCCAGACAAAAACAGGAATCATGAAATTTCTTCCAACAAGATTTGTTGCCAGATTTGCATTCCGAGAACACTGGCTTAAATCCAAGGGGACCGGAAAATTTCTATAAGCATGCTCAGTACACGCAGCAAGCGTCTGGGACTATGTTCAGACTTTGTGCAAGGCTTAGATCGTTTTTGAAATTTGGGTCGACGACTGGCAATTCTTACGTCTTTGAAAGTCTCAAAAAAACCGCGATCTCTGGTGTATCATAAAAATAGTGATTTGAAGTTTTAAATACAATTTTTAGTTCTCTCACCGTAACTTTTGGTTTCTTATCATGGCAGCACATCAAACAGCATAACACGATGCCGAGCAGAATGGAAAGAGCGCAAACAGCCGTCGTTATAACAGTGGCCCATCGCCAAAACTGCACTTCGTCCGATCTGTCGTCGAAGCTGAAGTCAGCCAATGAGACATCCTGGATCTGCAGATAATTATAGTTATTATATTTTTTACCAGTGCTCATTTTTCTCATCAGACTTTAAAACTTATGCACTATCTATGAGCCGCATTTTCAATGACTTTCAACTAGAAAATTGAATAACTAAAAACAAAGAAAGAAAGAAATAATTTCTCCAAAATAGTAATAAGGTATTTTAACTAGCATTTATGGTCTATATGAACCAAACAAAAATCTGGGTTGCTCTCCGAATCTAGAATTTTCTGAAAACTTTGACAATGTTTCTTTCTTCTTCGTCGGCCAAATTGATTTCCGAGCTTTCACAAATCACAAAAAAGCCTCTTTTTGTCTAAGTTTTGGGCCCCGCAAACAATTTTTTGAAAAAACAGATCTATTTTTGGGCACGTTTGAAGGTTTTTGGCTGAAAATTGCGTTTTTTTTTGGCGGGCGATTCCCATCAAAATTAGGTTGTATTGGCGTCAAAAGCGCCTTTAGAACAATTTTAGGGTCGGTCGGCCGGAAATGGATGTCTTAAATCCGCGTCAGAAAGGAGGTGAGCCTTTGGATAGTCAGGGGTCAAAATTACCCCTAAATCCGCTACTGACATGAACCATGGAGGTCACCTTGGTTTGCCAATTTGAATGACGAACTGTTTGGCATTTTTCCAATGCAAAAGTTTAAAAAAAAGTAGATCAAAAAAATAGAATCAACCTGGTTGCCCGTGATTTGTGATAAGTTTTTTTCATGTCCTTGGAATAGCTTGAGCACTACTTGTCCATCTAAGCGACTCCCCAGAGAATCCTCAAAGAGAGCCATGACATCGAATGATTCGTGACTTCTGTATGTTGCCCTTTGCATTTTCACAACCTATTAATGACACAACGTTTCTTGAACTAAAGTCATGCAATTTGAAGCTTGTGTTGGATTTTTTAGTTTTTGAAAATTACTGAATATGCAAATTTACGTACAAATTTGGTATAACTTTTATAGGGTATTCTTAAATGTGTCAATGATTGTTTATTTTGGATGCTTTTGGTCATTCAATTTTAAAACCAGCATCGAGATCTAAGACAAGGCGACGAACAATTATCGACTTCAACTTACTGTACAACTGGAAGCAGATGTCTGCTGCGAAGCATCGGTTCCAACGTCGACTTGCTGCTTGTGATTCAACTCGGAAACCAGCGCCTCTTGGAAGTCATTTAGGTTCGGTTCCAGAGTAAAATCGGTCAGGTTCGCAATCACGATAAGAAAATGAACAGCGTATGGTTCCAACGAGTTAATTAAAAGCGGAACCATTTTGACACAACGGCGCCACAAAATAATAGAAAATAAACTATGTCAAAACATGGTCACCTAAAAAGTATTGTTGTTTTGTTTTGTTTTTAACAATAAAATTATTAATGTGTTTATATAAGTGATACGACAGGGTGTAACAGATGTTGGCGTTATCAAAGTATTGGACTCATAAAAACGTATTGTTGGAATGTTTGTACAATAAACAGTTTTGAAATAAACCATATCGTTTTTGGTGGACTTCAAAGAAAGCTAAATAAAGAACAAAAAAATAATTTTGAAGGCCGGCCCAGCCTTCAAAAAATGTCAGCGGAAAATTGCAAAATTAAGGAATGGACTTCAGATTTAGAAAAACTTCTGCGCTCTGACAAAACTGAAGAAGCTGATAAAGAACTATAGTTATAAAGAACTACACAAGAAGCTGTACAGAACTATTGCTGTTTCATAGCAACCTTTGAAACACAGAGGCGAAAATGAATACGACTCCTAGATAAAAAATTCTGATATGCTTACTTGTTGATATTTTTCTCTACAGAGAGGATATTCGTCAATAGGTGCCCGAGAGGGGATACAGTTAAAGAGATCCCAAAAATCATTAGCAATGGTTCATGAAAGGAGGCTGTCAATTTTTTAAGAAAATCAAATGCAGTAAAAAGTAGAAATTTGTCAAAATTATTACATATTCAAACAAAGTGTAAAGTATTGAAGTGCGTATTTATTGGCCATAGACCGTAACCGTAAATCTGTAACAAATCTAGTTCTGATGGCACATTCAAAAGGAACGTTTTAAAACAAGCCGAAAAACACTGAAGCACATTCTTCAAAGCAAAAATGTTTTATAGAATTTTTTTCTAAAAAAAAACCTTTTTTAAGCTAAAAATTTACAAAGAAAAAAATCTATGCGCTAATAGAAAACTTCTATCAAATATCTGACGACAGTACTGCATCATTGAGTTATCAAAATTTTAACATTCATTTCTCGACAACAATAAATCGAAAAGACTGGAAGCAAAGTGGTAAAAAAGGGGAAAAGTCAGAAGATGAACTTACTAGGAATGGTAAGAATGGAGTGCTATGAGGTATAATACAACAGATGGACCTGTATTTGCAATACTTTAAAAAAATATATTTCGAATTAAAATTCAAGTTAAAATAGTATAAAAAATGATATTTTGAAAAACAATCAATCTGGCAGAAGAGTGTACTAAAAACAATTATCTTAGTACAATTTATTAGAAATAAGATGAATATATTATCCTGTATCGAACAAATACTTTGTTTCTGGCAAAAATTACTTACCTTTTAATCTAAATTTTTGACCGCAAGTTCTTAAATAAATTTTTGACCATAAGTTCGGAATAGAGACGGATTTTTTAAAATATTCGTCACTATTCTTATTTAGTTTATGATTAGACTATTGCTAGCGAGAAAACAGTCTCCTGGTAAAATTTGAGGCCCCGATGTCACATATCTTAGACAAGAGCGTCAAGCACAACGTTTATTTCGTTTCTTAGAAGTGAATTTATTTAGGTTTTTGTCCCGACCATTTAAAATTGGTAGAAACATTGTATTTGGATGTGTTTTCTTTTTTTTTGTTTTCGACGCAAAATCGGTTACCACAAATAACTACCAGCATACAATATGGGTTGAATGATATATCATAATAAAGCTCTTTCAATCGTGACTCCAGCGAAATTTAAAAAGTTTCCCAAGGTCGAGAAAAACAGTGGCTTGAAAAATTTGAATTTTAGTCCAATTTCAAGCGAGTAACGCACATTATAAAGAAATTTTACTTTCTTTAGACTAAAAAATTGAAAACACTTGCCTTTGTTATACAGAAAACTCATTAAGCGCTTAATTGTCAAAAAAAATGTTTTAAATAAATTTCATTTTTTTTATTTTTGTTTTTTGAATACAAATAATTAAACTGACGCCTATTTTACTAATTTTCTACGTCATCGCAACTTTTTCACACCCCACGACGCACTAAAAACGTTACTCATTTAATGAAGCGTATAAAAACATTGTTTTTTTATTTTCTTATGAATATGGTCGGAACATTTATTGCTACCCCCACAGCAACCGTATGTTTTTTTTAATTCATAATGTTAGATGAGAAACAATTCGTTTTGTACAGAAAACACAAAAAGTTAGATAAGATTAAAGTATAAAACTTGTACCCTGTTTACATGCTTTTGTTGGTTATGGGGAAGCATATTTCTCAAATTGGGTACATGCATCTGGATCACATTCCAGGAAATCTGGGATTATCTGACTTTGGCATTCATGAAAAAAAACATCACATTTTATCGACATTAATTCTTGAAGAGAAGAAACGCGTTGAAAAATGTTTAGAACACGTTTGGGAAGAAAAATCTGAGATGGCAAAAATTGCGATGTCTCCAGCAGGGAAGATGAAAGGATTCGAGACATTTTTGTGAACAACATCAGAAACTACAAAAAATTTTTTTGTAAAACTAAGCTTTCGCCCCTCTAGATTCACCCAATGAAATTTCAATTGAACGGAAAAAATTTGTGAACCATTTGAAGATGACTCATAGTGCCAAACATCAAAACCGCTCATCTAACGTCCATCGGAACTTTAATGTCAAATGGAAACCTACCCTAAACGTCGAAAAAAAAATCGTGTTCAAAGTGTGGAGGCAGTTGTCCATGTTCTAAAGGCAACTTGGCTGTTTGTATCGCAGACGATCTGCATTGTAGCTCTTAAATTTAAAGAACCAAGCTACAAAAAACTGTAATTCGAAACATAAAATTGAAAGTTTGTTTCGATCCTGTAAATAGTTCTGTGCAATCTTCTAATCTGCATTCTTTGTATAACCTTCTGGATAACCGAAAAAATTTTGTGGCGTTATGAACATTGCGATAACGATTACTACTCGGTTCTGAAGGTGAATAAAATTTTCGACTCCAAAGAAAAAGAACTGAAGAAACTGTTGAAAGTCGGATTAGGAAAACAAAATCTTAACATATGAAAAAAGGTCCATTTTGCAAGCCCAGCTTTTTTACAGAAAAATGTAATACACTCGTTGAAAATAAAATATACTCCAAAAAATAACAGTATACCAGGCAACCAAAAATTCAGATTGTGCTTCACTGAAGATGTAATAAAGGTTACTCAAAAAGGTGAAATTCCAATCCGATCAAACGGTTGGTTCTGTTCCAGTAAATCACTGCAAATGTCTTAATGGCAAAACTCTCATGGGACTTAGAACCTGCCAAAAATGTAATTAATATCGAGCAAAACGACCACGAGATAACTAACCTTAACGAGATAAATAAGGTTGCAAACTTTAAAAACATATTCTAAAAAATGCTGAAGAATTAGAATTGAAAATATTTCGAATCAGTTAACACAAAATCTGGGGTTACCTGATCCTGGCTTTCATGGGAAAACCCAACATCACAATTGATCAAAATTAACACTTAAAGAGAAGAAAAGGCGTAACGAAAATTCAAAACAAATTTCGGGCGCACTAGCTCAGATGGCAACGAATGTCATATCTCAAATGGAGAAAACGAATAGATTTGAGAACTTTTTGTAAATCAAAATGAGAAACTACGACATTTAAAGAACGTTTTTAAACAAAACTCTTGCCTCTTTAGCTGCACTCAAGGTAAGCATAATGGACGCAAAAGGAGTTCTGAATCACTTGAAGATGGCCTATACTTCCTAACTCCAAATCACACAGCTAAACGTCATCGGAAGATTAACCTCAAAGGGGCTCCTAGCCTAAACTTCGAAAAAAAAGTTAGTGTACAAAATGTGGACGCAGAACTTTGAAAAACTACTTGGCTGTTTGTCTAAATATTTATCTCATCTTTAGCTAGCATACTCGTTGGCGATATCACCGGAACCTATAAAATTTTTAACGGATTTTTTGAATTAGGTGATATGCCTTATGGACGCGAGCATTGTATCGTTTTCTACAACAAGTTACTTAGATGTCATTTTAGTTGGATCCAAAGGAGCTCTCGAAAATTTTTTCAAAAAAGAGATCTACTGGCTAGGTGTTATAATTACAAACTCAAAAATTTCTCTTTCGGACGATAAAACCCCTGCCAATAAAACTTCTGCTTTTTACAAATTTCGATAGATGCTTCTTTTAAAATCATTCGAACATTTTCTGTTCACTATAAAAAATCTTACTTCAACATGCTTACTCTGTTTCTTAGATTTTGAAAAATGCTTATTTTTAAAAAATCCCGCAAGTATGGCTATCACGCTCTTGCAGGAGCGGATAAGTACTTTTGCTATGAAAGGAAGGGAATTATAACTTGCCTTTCCGCTTGAAGTTGAAATCTCAGATTTGAGAGGGCAGTTTTTGAGAAAAGTCAAAAAGTTTCAAGATAATGGTCAGAAATCGAAAGTTTGACTTTTCCGAGTGCCATAAATTTTTTGGTACAAAAATTTTAACCGCTAACGCAGGATAGTTTCGCTCAACTCGTTTTCTCTATTAAATTGTAAATCTAAGATGGTCAAAAATGGTCAAAAAACCGGGAGTAAGACTTCTCAGAGAGCCAAAATTTTTTGTACGAAATTGTGCGAAGCCGCTAAACCCACTAAAGCGTCCCGCAAGCAGCCGTTTTGGTTGAAATTAAAGTATCAGTTTTGAGAAGATACTTTTGAGAAAGAGATAAAAACTCAAACATGTGATTCAAATATTCCCTCCCCCTCAAAAATAAAGTTTTCGAAGATTGCAGATAGTGAGTTATGGTAAGGAGATACTAGAAAAATTTCATTTCCATGTACAGCTTTTTATATATAAAAATTTACACTACTTTTTTAAAACTTTTTATTTTGCTTTTTCCAAGAAAAATTAAAAGTTTTGGAAAAAATGAAAAAAAATTCCAGTAACTCGCAAAATTTTTTTTAAAAAACCCGATCCCATGCCTTTTCAACATATCAGTTTTTATCAAACAGTAATTTTTTTTAATTCCTCCCAAAATTTTGAAACTAAAACACGTGTTGAGAACCTAATGTACATTTCACTTAGCAAATAAATTTGTTAAAACTGAACGTATTACAAAATAAAAGGTGAAAATGCGAAAAACTAATTTAAAGTTTTTATTTTATCTACGCTGACCTATAAGCTTGTTTTATTTTAACTTCTGCGCAAAGCAATCTGATGCTAGGCATACACGTTGTTCATTCTCGAACATTTCCTTTGCAAGGTGTTTTCTGTCTAAAATAAATGATTAGCTGTGGGCCAAGTTTAGATCTTTGAGGAAAACAAAAACCAACTGCCCTAAGCTTTAAAAATTCATTTGTTGATGCCATGTACTACTTACCATAATTAAAAATTTTAATTGACTAATTGGACCTGATAGCCCATAAGTTGCATGCTCTTAGGAGTAGTTGATCTACGGTATTGAACGCTTTTTAAGATCAATGACTATGCCTTGTAAAAAATTGTTTCTTTGTAAAAATTGTCCAATATCCTCAGTAAGTGAAATGATTGCGTCGAATATTCCTCGGCATTGCCTAAAACAAACCTGATTTAGGTCAGGTAAGTCAAATTTATTGAAATTTGATACCAAGCGGTTGCATTTAAGTTTTTCCGGGGGCTTACCTATCTTTGACAGTAAAACTATTGGTGCTATTACGCCATTGGTCGTGATTTTAGCTAAAGGTTTTAGTTTAAGGATTTAAGTTTTAAATTTCGTGTACCTTAGGTTTTAAGTAAGGTCGATTTAAGTTTCAGATTTTCTAGCGGAAAAAAATACCTATTGACCCAGTGTCCTCTATTTGTCAATTTTATGGAAAACTGTCTATCATAAAATTTTCCTGAAACTCAAAAAGCTTGTAAGATTCATGGCTAACTAAGTGTAACGAGCCTTCTGTGCGTCAAATTTTTGGTAACTAAAAACAGCCTAAGCTGGAAACAAGATCTGCAACCTCTTGAGTGTACTCTGAGAGTATCCAATTACAGGGCTGGTAATTTGATTTCAAACGTCTTTTTCAAACGTCCATAGAAAGGTTATATCTCGGAAACTTAAGGGACTATGGAGGATTTTAGAGGCAAAATTTGCAACTACTGAGACTTACATGGGGGCACAAACTTTTCTGGGACCTCCAAAGTTTACTTTTTTTCTTTTCCAGTTTTTCGGAAAACAATGAAAAACTGTTGTATCTTGGAAATGAAAAGGATTGTAGCAGTCATATTGGGGAAAAAAATTGCAACACCTGAGCTTACACTAAACGCATCCAACAACAGGGTTGGAAATTTCAAGTTTTGTAAACCTAACTTTCGTGAAAAACTTCTGAAAAATCATAAAAAAGGTCACACCTCGGAATGTAAATGCATCTGAGCAGTCGCATTTGGACGTAAATTTTGACACCCCTAAGATGGGAATTCCAATTTTTTAAAGTCGTCAAATCTAGTTTTCTGTACATTTTTGATAAAATTACAAAAATGTCTTCTCGTTGACTAAAAAAATATGAGAATCAGCACTGAATTTAAACTGCAAAACCGATAAAAAAAGCAGACGATTGCAATATACAATAAAGCTTAAAAGTGAAAAAATTTTTTTTATTGAACTAGCAAAAAAAAACGTTGAAAAGCTAAACAATAGCGAGATAGCAAAGCCCGCTTTTTATTATATGAGGAATTTTGAAGAGAAAACAATTCGAAAAACGTTCAAGAAGACAGTTTTATTGAGTTTTTTCACTTTTCCGAAAACAGATCAAAATATTCGTTTTTTTTTTGGTACGCGCTTCCCCTTTTAATTAGCATATAATGACGCTGATAGCAACTTTCGAAAGATATAAGGGTTGGTCGTCGGCCAAAAATGGATTACATGAAACAAAACCAAAAGGGTGACCCTTTGGGTGGTGCGGCGTGCAAATTACTCAGAGGCGGCGTGCAAATTACTCAGAGGAAAGCGTCATCCCCCCGCCCTAAATCTGCACTGGACCTGTTTATGTTAAAATAAAAATCTCAATCAGCAAGCATCGAAATATAACCATCATACAGTTGGAAAAGAGTCAGGAACTCAAGGAAACAGTAGAAAAAGCCAACTGTTTGGAAAAAAAATCAGCTTTCTAATTTCTAAGGAAAAAACATTCGGCCTTAAGAATCTTTGAATTTCACGAAAAATTTATACGTGACTTTTTTTGAGAAAATTAAGCCCATTTGAAAAAACTGGATCAATAGGTAAATCTTTTGTTCTGCTGAGAAATCTTGAAATACAACCTCGAAACTACACTAGTGGACAAAACTAAGCCCAAATTCAGTTTACTACTTTCTGAAATACTTGGTTTCAAGTCGAGTTTGGACAGCATTCATTTCGATTTTCCTTAAATTATTTACATGGACGAAGCATAAATAGTCAAAGCTACCATCCATTAAACCATCAATGTTTGGTTTCGAATAAATACCAATGTAATTTGGGTCTTGAAATGCCAGATTTTCTCATCTGCACTAAAATTTGATGTGGCATGAACAACTTTTTTTACTCTGCTTATTCAGAAAGAAATCATTACGATGTAGAACTTAGTGTAGATGAGGAAACTTGATAATATCAGACTCGAATTACATTGGTAAGTCTTTGAAACTAAGTGGATATAGTTTCATAGAGGGTAGCTATGATCATTTGCTCTTGGCCTATGTAGAAAAAATTTGTTGAAAAACGAAAAAGTTGTGCAAAATGCATATTAAAAAGAGAAATACGTGAGAAGAGTAAAAACGTGAAATTGCGCTGAACTTTGTAGACGCCAATCACTAGTGTAGAAGCCATCACGTTCGATAGAAGAATCTTAACGCGTTGGTTGACTCTTCAAAATGCTATTATTTGACTTGACTTGTAACAATTCTGAATGCAGACGCACAGGACGTCGACTTTCAAAGCAATTAATTGCGTTCAAAAGGAATTGCAGCAAGAATGAATTGAAGAATGGAAGGCAAGTTAACCGTGTTTATTGCTATACATTGTTTACATTACGACAATTAGAGACTAGAAGACACGAACGAAGACGAAGTCTATGTGCAGACTCAAAGGTCACATTAAGTGACGCTTCAGTTGAAAGCGCATTGCGATATCAATAATAATGAAATAAAGATGACGTGTGGCATCTAAGTACGCGAAGCTACAGGATGCAGCCCAGCCAATGCAATGTATCAGAAGCTTTAATACTTCATTCCAAAACATGACAATTTCGATTATTTTCTATTTGTTCCTTCAAACTTAAGAGCATTGACTGATTAGCATTTAGGCCTATTTACAGTGCATGGCCAAAGGATCTCAACTATTGATTTCCAAACTCCGCAAGATTGTACTAATAACTTACTGCAAAGCTAGAGATATCGCTGGGTTTAAAATGAGGCAGGGCGTTATTAGTAGGTCGTATGTCTGCACATAAATTTGAGTGTGGTACTGGCAAAAATTTAAACAAGGCTCGGTTAAAATAAAGAATTAAAACATTAATCAATACCACTAACGAAAGGCAAGTAATCGCAGACAACTATTTCAATGATCGACTATCACAACTCTCCCTGCTTTCTCAACAACTTAGCTTAAAAAGTTTCTCGCGTATCAAGACACTGGAACAATTTTTGTTTCCGCTGGTTTGGTACAGTCCAATTAGATTAAGAGTCAATGTGATTAGGTTGCTTGGTCCCATTTTCTCATTTTAGTTTCGTTTGACTTGGAATTTTTTTGTTCGCTTTTGGTGTAGATGCTTCTATTTCTCTTCTATATCCTCCAATCAACTGGCCGCATATGCCTCCGGGTTGTCTCCGACGGCACCATCTTTCGTCGGAGAGTTTTCATCGTCCTCTTCCTCGTCGGCTGGAGAAAAGAAAGGATCAGTATGTTCCTCATTTGAAATCAAAAATACGACCGAATTGTCTAACTGCAAAGTTAAACTCTAGCTAAAACTAAAAAGCACGAAATACATTATTGTTTCGACCATTGGTAAGGAATTTTTATTAGAATGTTTTTTATTAGCCCCCGGCCCAGCTCCCACAATTCAGCCTTGGCACTTTTGTCCTTCACGAGAGAGATGCCACCTATTTTACCGCAACTAGTGCCACTTTGAGGAGGTGGATGACACTGGACCCCTCCGACCGAGACCGAAGCGGGATTCGGCCCCACGATCTTTGTGTTAAAAGCCACGCGTCTAACCCACTCGGCCACCGCTGCTGGTGTGTTGAAGTTACGTTTTTCTTTTTGCTTCCACAGAAAACCAGGTAACAAGCATAACCAGGAAAAATAGAAATTGAGAAAACTGAAGCTTTTAAAATTGAAAAATGCAGCGTACATTTAATTAAAATTTTTCCATCAAAGGCTAAAATTTATTATGAAAACAAACTAATTAATTTAAGTTCAACAATTTCGAATCACTTGAATTGCGTTAGCTGGTGTTTGCAGCATGATATTTGCTAGACCTGACTTGTTTTTTAAATAAACAGAGCCAATATAGTTGGAAAAGTGTAGGCAAAGACTACATTTCAAACGAAAGATTTTACCTATGAGAAATTTTAGCAAAAATATTTTAATTTGAAAAATGCCAAAATGGCGCATTTTGGCCATTAAACGCTGAAAAAACTAGTTGGCTTCAATTTTAAAAATTTTATTCTCCTTTAACTTTGTTTGACTAAACAAAAGGATTAGTTTTGATACAATTGGTTCAAAATTGGCCAGATAGCTTCTGTTTAAAACGAAATTATGTGTCCGAACTTCGCAGACAAATAACACCAAAGTAAATCTGGCGATGATGTCGACATTTTTTTCTAAACTGAAACCAATTTTTGAAAACCACCATTGTTGCGTCATATAAGTGCAATATAATTAAAACAATCGTTAACTTTATTAAAATAAGCGACATGCAATGGGCCATGAAATCTACTTACGTTTGACGTCGTTAGACCATAGGGATAGGTTGTCTCGGATGAGCTGCATGATAAGGGTGGAGTCCTTGTAGCTCTCCTCGTTCAACTGGTCCAGTTCACTGATCGCATCGTCGAACGCACTCCTGGCCAGTGCGATGGCATGTTTGGGTGAGTTCAAGATCTCGTAGTGGAACACCGAGAAGTTCAGAGCCAGACCTATATCAACAGAACAAACTTGAAATCATAATCTGAATTATTATCATATTCAAGAGGTGGGCAGCATAACCGAGTAAAGCTCTAGTAGTTTAATTGAACAAGGACAGCCGGTTACTGTGCAAGTAGCACAATATGTTCCGACCATAGTCTATAAAGTTACAAAAAAAGTTTTTGTTTTCAAATTAGTGTCTTTTTTTTTCTGCGTGGTGTGATAAAAGGATCTGAACAAGAAAAAATGAAACTTAGGAATATTCGACAGTCATAGTAAAATAGGCAAAATTGTAGAAAAATGACCAAGATAACAAATTTCCAAATGTCGCTTAAAAAACTCCAAAAAACAACAATACTTGAGTAAAATTAAGCACAAAAAAGCAAGTGTAAGCCTGCTCACTCGCTCGCACTCGAATTTAGACTATAAATCAAAAATTTTAAACCTGTGTTAAGCTGGGACAATTTTTCGGAAAATTTTGAAACGTCGCTCGAATCACGACCGAAAGGGCTTTAATATAATATGTCATTCAACCCATTCCTATAATTTATTTGTAATTCCTGATTTTGCGAGGAAAAAAGCAAAAAAAATCTAAAAATCACCCGAGTACAAAGTTCCTCCCTATTTTTCAAACGGTCTGAACAAAAACAACATTAACGAATAAACTGCAATTTCCACGGTTGCAGAGTTAGAACTTTTCAAACGCATTCATCTAACGTCTAGTAGGGTAATATCAGATTGCAAAGTAAAATGATTCTTTGACAAAATTAAGTACTTAAATATGGTAAATTCTGGAGTTGAAAAAAATCGATTCTGGCATAAAGGCAAACTGCTTCAACAATTTATTTTTTCAAATTTCTTTACCCCATTCTTGAGTATATTTTTCAAATCAACAATTCTTTTTCGGACAAAACAGTCGTCCAGAATGCCTTAACCACTATAAGTATAAAATATTCCTTTGTTCTAGGATTTCGTTCAGATCCTCTCATCACACCGTGAACAAAAACGAAATTTAAAAAAAAAACAATTATTTTTTCCCGTTTTTTAATATAGTGGTCGGAAGCTTCTGTGCTACTTGCCCTACAACCGGCTATCCTTGTTTTGAATAGTAATTAGAATAATAATTTGATATCCAAGTCAGCGATGAGGTGGAAAATCTACTTCGCTTCATAGGAAAAAGCGCCTAAAGGGCAACAGACGTTATAAATATCTCGATTTCAATGATATGTGGTTGGATTGGTCTGGTAATATGGACGCCGTGTGGTATTTTGACCTAGTCTGATGGGGTGTGTCTTGACTAGAGATGTGGCTGCACTCTCGCTTGCCTTCTGGTAGGCCTTCAGTGCCAACTCAGCCGTCTTCTTCCTCTCCTCTGTCTCCTGCACTTCTGCAATGTACCTGCACAACAAATACACTGAACGTATAATGGCTCTTAACACGCTTTCAATTCTATATTTGTTTTTATTTTCTGACTCAATGCGTTATGAGACAAACAGGATGTCAACTTAGACGTGAAGCTGCATCTCGCACTGCCGAAACCTCTGACCTGGAGATTAGAAGTCTCACGTCCTCGCATCGGCGCCACTTGACAACCGATGCGAGGACGTTGACAACACACTAACACTAGCCACCAACAAAGCAGCTATAGGTGCTATTAAACTGCGAATGCTTGGAAATATGCCAAAATTGCCACCAAATGAGCTTCATTTCCGACTTGGGTTGGGAAAAAAATTGCTTCGTAGTATTACACTACGCTCCCTGGAGTGTAATTTTGAAGAAAAAATATGTTCAGAGCTACTAATTTTATAGCCATGCTTAGTTTCATAACAACAACGTTGCAATAATTTTAGAATGAAGATGAGTGTGGCAATGAGCCCGTACTACTCATACAAAACATTTAGACAGATTGAATTGAAATTTTGTCGGTGATATGTTACAACAGGTGGTAATTTTGAGTATAGCGCATGTATTAAATTTCAGAACTATTATGCATAATATAGTCATTTCATTTTCAATTAATTGTTCTCTTACTAAGATAGTTTTTGTAAATACATTACTCTGCCAAACGAAATGCTTTTCTAAGACTCAATTTTTACACTTCTTTTGCCGAAAAATGTGGCTTTTGAATTAAATTAAAAATAATGTGCGATGTATAACAAAAAGCGATCCAGCTAATGATATTGAACCTACCACCTATTGTAAGATATCACCATTTTGTCTAATGGAGTCGCCAACTAACGAAATCTGATTCTAATTGACTGGTTTAAAACACAGCCAAAAGACCGTTGGAAAAGCGCAAATGAACGCAAGGAAACTGAAAGATAATAACAGACTAGTTTTTTAAAACATACCGAATGAAAGCAAGGAAACAAAAAAAAATTTTTGAAAAAAAAATTGAACTTCCAACATCAAAATAAAAAATTTATTTCAAGAACAATACGCATTTCAGGAACAAATTACGTTTGACACTTTTTTGCTAACCTTCACTCAACTCGAAAAAAAACAGAATCAATATAGTTTTTATTCCACTGAGAACTTTTTACAATAAAAATGCTCTTTCGAAATTAGAAGTTGATCACGTATTTCGTGCCCTTTGCACTATGCAGTTCAAAAGTGGAACTTGACTTCCTTTTAAAAAAAAAATATGAAGAACTGAATTTAACACAGAGGCGAAGCTTCACTTCGCAAACACTAGCGAGAACGCCACAAAAAAATCATAAAGTTCATTGAGAAAAATTGTACGATTCGGCTACGTCTGAAATTCGGACCTGAGATCTAGAGATTAAGAGTCTCACACACTAACCACTCAGCCAAGGACGCTTAATAGGAACTAAATACTAGCCGCAATTAAAGCAGAGGACAGATACTTTGCAATTTACAATGCTGCAGTGAAATTTCTAAATAAGTTGACACTTAACACAGAGGCGAAGCGGAGCTTCACATCACTTGCAATACAACGCAATCATAGAAAAAACATAAGTTGAAAAAATTGGGTGAAAAAAAACTGGAGGTACGTGCTTGATATGTTTAGAATTTGTTATGCTGATGCGGGATCAAATGCGTAATTTCAAAAATTGGACTTTGCCGAAAACTTTGAAAAATTTTTGAGATTTTGGAATTTTCCCAGAGAATTTTACAGAAAAAAAACAGGAGTAGTCGCTTTTGCATGAAAAATAACCGCTTCTTTTTAAGAAAGTACTTTTTAAGAAAATTCAAAAAGTTTTTAGAAAATGGTCAAAATTCAAAATGATCAAAGTTCGCTTAACCTGAGAATTGGCATGGTAATTTTTGAGTATAAACAAAATGGATCCAAAAAACTGTCCGGAATTCAAAACCTTCACTTGTTTGAAGGTCATAACTTTTTTCTAAAAGAAACTGGACGTAGAAAACTATAAAGGTAAGCTTTCAGCAACCTGTTGTGTCGATTAAAGCTATATTATCAGATTTGGCAGGATAGTTATCGAGAGAAGTCCAAAAACCAGTCAACAAATCAGAAAGAGGATTATAGCTTTTTAATTTAAAAAAACTTAGGGCGTAGCCCTTTACGCAGAAGCGTTCCCCCCCCCCAACCTGTTGTTTCGATTGAACCCAAAAACCAAGATTTGACAGAGTAGTTTTCGAGAAAACTTCCAGAAAACGTTAAAAAAAAATCAAATTTTTCTTTTTTTCCGAGAGCCATAAATTGGCGTAATCGCGAATGCGGAGCTTCCCATAAACCGTTTTTTCCATTGAACCCAAAAAATCGGATATGGGAGGGTCTTTTAGTAAGATTTGTGTACGAAAAAACTTGAGTGGCCGTTAATCCAGGGGAGCTTCTTACTACCCGTTATCTCCATTGAACCCACAACCTCAGGTTTCGGGGGTTAGTTTTCAAGAAAAGTCGAAATGATTCAAAAAACGGTCACGTAAATCTAAAATTTCACCATTCCGAGAGCCATAATTTTATGTGTATAAAAATCTTGGGCTTACTTGCTCATAGGGGGGGGGGGCTTTTCAAGTCCGTTTATTCAGTGAACCCAAAATCTGTAGGTTAGATGCTGAGAAAACGAAAGAAAAATCAAAATTATCGGTCGGTCAAATATTTCCCCACAGACTTTTTCGAAGGCTGTCGACAAAAGGTTAAAACAAAAAGAGAGCAGGGGGAACATACAGGGACATAAGGGTATAGAAAATCTTGCTCTGGATACCTCTTTTTTTGAAAATAGCTAGAAGGTTTTTAAAAAAAAAACGATTTTTTTTCAAACAATTTTTTCCAAAGTGTCTCAAAATGATTAAAAACCCAATCACATACAATTTTATCAAACAGGATTAATAGGCGAACATGCCAAGCAAGACATTTGAAATTCAAATTAGCAACTGAACAAAATTTACGACGCGGAAACTTGGCCGGCAATCTTTGACCACGCACCATTGAGCCGCTGACACCAGAAAAAAAAACCTATTCTGTAAAAACTTTTGATAATTTCAAGGCCCCTTGATAATTTCAAGGCTCTATCAAGTGAAATAAAAAGTAGAAGTAAGCCTCAAATTAGCAAAACTCGGCTACGTGTAGGATTCGAATCTGCGGCCTACTGCAATCAAGAGATTTTGAGTCTCACGCACTATGTACTCAGCCACGCAAGCTTAACAACCGACAAACACTAGTCACGAATAAACAGCTAGATGAGCTAACAAATTGCCAATGCATTCAGCAAAAGTGGCACCAAAAACAAATGGACTCAATTTTTCGAGTAAAAAATTGGAATATAACAAACTGAAGGCATCCACACTAACTTTGCATGTAACAAATCGCAAAGCATGAAGCCTCACTATGTATAATTATCCATTTCAAAAAATTGTGAGATATATTGAGTTGAAAAATTTCTGAAATCGAGTTTTCATTATTGCTATGTTGTTTGAAACAAATTACTTTTTTTCGGTTCATTAGATGAATTAAAAATGCATCAACGTTGTTACTTATTACGATTCGAATGTCAAAGCACATGCTATGAAAAAGCTGTAAATGGGCCCTAAAAGTGGCACCAATATTTGCGACTGTAATGAATATTTGCTTCGCAAGTGTAACGAACACTTTTATTTGCGAATTAGTTTAGAAAAAAAAGAACAAGAGATGTAAAAATGAAGCAAAGCCGACGGACAGTTGGAAGAGTTAATGAACGCCAGGAAACGAAAAATTTTCAACTTCGAATTTCACAGAAAAAAAATATATGTGGCCTTACGGCTCTTTGAATTTCATGAAAAAAAAATCAAAATCCAAGCCGCAAAAGATCCGATTGAACACAAGCAAAATACCAACTAAATAGAAAACAGTTTAACCAAACAAGAAAAAAAGTATACCTATAGTAATCACCCTTCATCTTCTCGTAGAATATCTGGGAGTCGGCGTCATTCTCACTGGACTCCAGCAGGTAATTGTCTATCAGACGCAGAAGGTCGTGGCAAACGTCAAAGAGATCTGCCTCGATCTAAACATACATAATTGGAATATCATAATACAATCAGCTTCAGTTTACTAAAGAGTGAAAACAGATTTCAATTTCACAATTGTTTGAAATAGGTTTCAGATTTAGTCTGTTTAAGTCTAAGCAAAATGGATTTCATTATTAATATGGCAAATTTAAGGGTTGCACCCCAGTTCAGTGGAAAACTCATGCAAGGGGTTGCAGAATCTCCAGTTGTTGAGAGTGCAATCGTAACAATCTTCAACGTGCACTAGATAAGAGTAGAATAGCAGTATGTAAAATAATCAGATGATATTGGTCAACGTTGCGCAAATGAACAGCGAAGTCCTCTCTGCGAGCTCTCTCTAAGGAACTCATGAAAGGAAACGCGATCCCCCTTTTAAACATAGCAACTTAGTGTCACATTTTCCAACTGAAGCGGATTGGCGATAGCTGTGACCTATACTTATAGAGACTTGCTTTCACGCGTTTCGTCAGATGTGAAAATAATCGAACAAATCGTGCTGTTTTCATTTAAACGTTTGTTTATTATAGAAAAAAATTTAACTGCAATATCCTGTTTTGACTCACACTCTTGCGATAATCCTCGCACACTTTAGCCACACTGGAAGTCTCCTTTTCTTTCTCCTTCAGCTCCAGATTAGACAGCACTCTCCACGCAGTGCGCCTAGTGCCCTACACAACAGTTATACAGACAACAGATTACAGCGAATAATTTGATATGCTTCCAAATCAGGCCATGTCAAAGAAAAGAGGAACCGGCCGGGTTTCTACTCTAGCAAAAGCACCGTTTGGATCTTTTTAACTACCCACCCCGTACCCCCTATGGTACCTTGTAATGAATCTCTCTCCCCCCTCCCCTCCCCCCCTCTAAAAAGAAAGAATTAAACAGTTAAGCATATACGAATTTGGTACTTTGTAATGAATCCCCCCACCCTATTGCAATAGGGGGGAAAATTGTTAACAAGATCCCACCGTTTCAACCAGTCCCATCTTCAAATCAACATTATAACCACACTCATTTAGCATACGCTTTACACACAAACATCATTTAAATTATTCGAGCAAATGAACATTATTTCAAACTTCAAGAGCGTTTTTCTCAAATTGGGTTCAGATTGGACAAAAAAGAAGAGAAGAAAAGTTACTTAGAATTTCCCCAGAATTGACGCAATTTGTTTTGCGAAACATCTAGCCAAAATTTTAACCAAAAAAATTCACTTTGACCTTTTTAGTTAATCAAGAATTACGCTGAAACTACTCAGTTGATTGGTGAAAAAAATTTATACATAAAAAAAGCCTCTTAACCAGACGAACAAAACTAAAAGTAAAAAATCTCCAAAATATTGAGCTTTTACCATCTTGAATTGAGATTTTACCATCTTGAATTTTGTTAGACTGTGTAAGAAGCTCCATTTACTGTTACTTTTTTTTTTATCAATTAACATAATACTTTTTTTAATCAATTAACATAATACTTTAGACTAACTCTTGATTAACTAAAAAAAAGGCAAAATGTGTACTATAGCGGGCTCCAACTTTGCTTCCATAAGCAATTGCAACCAGTACTTTTTGCGCCCATTTAGTTCATTCACACATCCTAAATTATTGCTCAAAAAAATGGGATATGATAAAATTTTCAGTCATCTTCGTCATTCCTTTCCTTTACAATTTGTGGCAAAAATTAAAAATAGAAGAAAGACTGTAAAAAAAATCGGGGAGGTAAAAAAACAGGCTTACTTATGAGAATTTTTGATTTATAGATATGGAAGTTATATTAGTTCCATCAATGGTTTATTAAACACAATATATGTATACACTGAGCTCCATAGGATGTTTAAGCCATTGTAGTTTACCATTAAACGAATTCTAGTTTAGATTATCATCGTTTACTGTGAATTAGTTTCTTCAACCCAAAGACAGACTAAATTGTTTAGAAAATTAGCTTCAAACTATTTGAGTGTGATTACTTCATATTTTAAACATTAAAGAATGATGTTATGTGCTTACTACAATGTTCTTGTAGGCTACTGAAAGGAGGTTCCGCTCGTCCACTGTCAGAGCCACCTTCATCTCAACTATCTTCTTGATCTGGTCCCGCATGTCTGGAAGAAAAACACAGCAGATTTACACCATGACATAATTCAACAAAACACTCGGTAAGAAACATGGTACTTTTATCCACATGGGTTCGTCAACAGGCAACGCAAAAGAAAAATGATTTTTTTTCACTCGTTCGAAGAAAGTGAATTTTTTTCACTCGTTCGAAGAAAGTGAAGACTATTAATAAAAAGTTAGTTTCCATTTGTGAGGCGATGATTGGGCTTAAACGACTATTGGTCACTGACGTCATTTCGTAGATTTCAAAAGCGACAATTCGTTGTAAAGCTTTTTTCCGTACTAGTTGAAAGGTTTATTCCTGTAAAATTTTATCTAACAGTAGAGAATAAGTCGAACAGCGCCGTCTTAGCTGGCGAGAAGCTTTCTATGGGATCTTTTCACGAACCGTTAAGCTATTACACTTTGATAAATTGTTTCGTGATGCGTTGTCGCTTTTTCTAAATGCTGCGAATTGTCACTTTTGACGAATTGTTCAAAAGCTCCGGTGCTTTTAAGCTCAGACACTAGACGTTGAAAGTGCTAGATCTTAAGGGTTTATGTATTCATGCCAGTGAAGCTTACAACTGACATAGAATGTTGAAAATATTTTTCGATCAATTTTTTTTCTTAATTTTTCAAATTCAAAATGGCAGGCAGCAGAGTATTGTTTGATTCCATTTGAATTGGAGGACCTTTTATTACACTGACCGGGGACAATTTGTAAAATATGGGAAGATTCGAAAAAAAATCTGTTAGAATAAACAAAATTTCGCTGAGAAACCAGACTAAACGGCGTCATCAAATCTTTCAATCAATTTTGTTTATCGACTCTGGTAAAAAGTCCATGTCATAAATTTTCTGGAAGAGGTCGGTCCCCACCATATCAATACTCAGGCAATTCTAAACAACGCCAACTCGAATATCAACTGAAAATTTGTTTTGATAGCAAAATTATTTTTAACCAGTTTTGAATAATTGTTTTTTTTAGCCAATCAGATTTCAGTATAGTCATATTTGTCTCCTTACTGTTTTAACCACTATATTTTCCAAAGCCGTTTCAAATTAGCGTTTCACTAGACTGACCTTTCTTGAGAAACACTACAATAAGAGTTGTAAACAGTTGGTCAGGTAGAAAAGTGCGTAATCAGAAATCCCGAAATGAAAAATTAAAAAAAAACAAGCAGTCTCATAAGTCCCAAATCTTTTGACCACTTTAGACGAATCTCAGTTTAAGGTCACCAGTGGGCGCGTAGTGGCGTTAACCGGATCTAATCATTCAATAGAGTCTTAACATCTGTTGGCAAGCTGCCAACACGTTGGCGCGATTGTGGCAGTTTCTCTTCTGTCCTTTAATTTTTATCAGTGCAGATTTACATTATCCGGAAAAAATGAGTTCAACTTGAAAACTAAAACGCGTTTTTCTCAAATTGGGTTGATTTAGAACAAAATGAGGAAGACCAATCTTGCTTAAAACTTTTACAGAATTATAATATAGTGCAATATTTTTTGCTAAATTCGGGCCCAAAAAATTGACCCAAAAACTATCATTTTTGGTTTTGTTCACTCAATCAAAACTTGCTCCAAACCTAATTGTTCATTTACTGACAAAATTATATCAATGTAAGAATCTTATGGAGCCCAACAAAATTTAAGAAGGCTGTAACATTGGTGTTTAATAAAGTAAAAATGACATTTTTTTGCCATCAAACTAAAATAAATGTTTATAAAAAGCTGAGAAAATTACACCCTCCTTAAACTATGTTGTGCCACATAAGAGGCTTACAGTGATATATTTGTCAATAAATGAACAATTAGGTTTGGAGTAATTTTCGATTGACAAAACAGAGCCAGAAATGATAGTTTTTGGGGTAAAATTTTGGGACCGAATTTTGCAAAAACAAACATTGTACAAATTCTGTAAAAATTTTAAGTAAGATATGTCTTCATCACTTTTTGTCTAGTCTCAACCCAATTTGAGAAAAAATCCTAAATGTTTTCAAGTTTTGTGAATTTTGTTTAATTTAAATCAGCACTGCAGTTTGAACGAGCAATTAATCCATCTATGTTTTCGTTGGCTCAAAATTCAACCTATCAGAATTCAAGATGAATTGAATCATTTTGGGCGTATGCGATTGATTTTTTCATTTTGATTCATATGAAAGCTTTGGTTCCTATGAAACAACTCTCCTCATTTCAGATCTTATTTCTTTATATTTGATAAATTAATTTGCGAACTCGAAATGAAAAAACTAATCTTTTTGCTTTCGTTCAATTATCAATAGAGATTTAAAATAGCACACAAATGACAATCAACGGGAGACTCCATCATTCGCTAAGGATCCGATGCGCTAAAGATTTGTCAAGCAATCAGAGCTCTCAGTTTCCAAAATTTGATAGAAAAAACCGGTACATCAGTCAGTTTTGAACAGTTTAAGGGGTGATTGGTTGAAAATTTTCAGGTATTCGGTCCTTCGCGCATGAGAATAGCCCCCAATGGGTACCAGAAATCAATCCGAAAGGATCTAAAGCCAATTCTAAAAAAATAGGGGCTCCAAGCCGAACATTTTCATAGAAAATCACGAAAGTGGAATAAATTGAATAATATTTTCAATAACTTATCATGGAGAATATTCAAATTTAAGGTTTTTTTAATATATATTGGGCATTTCGTTGAATAAGTTTTTCAAATGTAAAAAATAGGCATTTCAGAAAACAAATGAAAGTCAGCTTTAAATTGCATTGTTACAAACAAAGATTAGTTTAAGATTAGTCAACGATTAGTCTAAGAGCAAAAAAAAAACCGAAAAACATTAAATTATTCGGCTATAAAAAACAGAACAAGTGTTAGAATTGTCAATACTACAAATGAATTAAATAAATTAGGCATGAATTGAGAAAATTCATTTTTATTTAATTAAAAACACTGTCAAATTTGCATATTTATTCATTTCTTTAGTAATATTGACAATTCTAATGCTTGTTGTACAGATAAACCTATAAAAGTGAAAAAATTTTATTTTCTGCTCTTGAACCATTCTGCTTTATGCTCCGCCTCCCCTCAGCTGCTAGTTAAGACCGAACTTATTTACGATCATCCAACAAAAAAAAAACAGATTTACTGTCGATAATTCTCCGTCTCCGCTTTTTCAAAGCTCAGAAGACGTAGCCGGCGTCAGAAGCCGTAGCATAAGAATATGTTGTGTTGCTCACACATGTTTTTCAATTGACTGTATATTCCTTTAACGGTTAAAAATTACTTGTTGTGGAAGGAACACAGAACACAACACACATCACGTCTTCAGTCAAGCCACCGATGGTGTTTAGTACATGGGGACTTGAGCAATCTTCAATGGAATAGTTCAGTGACTGAAATATGTGGCCATTATAATATATAGTTCACACTTTTTATCTCCTTTCATGCGATATTAACTCGTTTTATTTTGTTTTTTATCGTTATCGTAAAACGTCTCATTAACTTGTTTGAAGAGAGTTGTTTGAAGAGAGTCAACTCAATCGTTACAGGTAAATTAAATTAATTAGTGACCAAACGAAACAAAACGTTTTTTTTTTTTCATGTGCATATGCCGTTTCCAACTTTCTGCTAATTTCTGGTTGCGCAAACGTCACTTAACGTAAACAAGTTTTGCAAGGATTGTTTGTTTTCCTCATTTGCGATCGGGCGCGGACCTAGGATTTTCAAAAAACGAAAACCTATAATTTTTTAAATAGATAATAGCGCTTTTAGAAAAAAATAGGGTCTGTCAGTCTAAGATAGATAGATGTCAATAACTGTACGAAAGTGTAAGGGGAGCTTCGGGTGATTGGTATGCGCAATATGTTTATAATTTTTAACGGCAAAAAATCAGCAGTCGAATGCCTTTCAAGCACATTTGTCTCTTAAACTACTTTTGTCTCTTATTCCACGAACTAAACATTTCAGGATAAGAAAAATATAGTCGAACCTATGCATTTTAAAACTTAAATATCACACTTGAGAAATCATTTCCTCTCGATAAGTGCAGGTTTTTGATCGCGTCCCAATTAAAAATTGTTGTAAAATGAATGACCTTTCTTGATGAAAAAAAAATAAATTTCGAGTCATTTTGTCAGCTAGTACTAATCAAAAGAGTGCACTCAAATATAAGTCACATTTAATCGTCCAGCTAAACCTGTTCAAGCGTCAACACAAACGTGTACATTCAAATCTCAATTAAAGAGTTACAAACCATGACCAGCGTAAAAAATATTTATACGAATTAGTTTTATTAGCACAGCAATTCACGCAAATTTAATATAACCTATAACGTCTTTTCGTAGATTCAAACAACAGTTGTTTTAAATTTTTAAAAATGTTTCACTTTTCGAATAGCAATCAAGACTTCGATAGAAAAATGAGCAGTTACAAGAAATCGGACAAAGATGCCATCGTTTCAATCGAGACAACCATCTCACTCCAGCAACCTCCAGATCCGCACCTTCGGTTTAAACGATACCTATCACTCGCAATCTTAGCCATCCAAAATGCCGTGCTTGTTCTCATCGCTCGTTACTCCAGAACAATGCCTGGAGAACGATTTTTTTCGACAACGGCGGTTGTCGTTCAGGAATTACTCAAGCTCATAACGAGCGCAGTCATCATTATTTTTTATTCCGGTGGCTTAAGAGGCCTCTTTTCAGAGATAGACAAAAACATCATCAAGGCTCCTTGGGACACCTTGAGAGTATCAGTTCCAGCTATTCTCTATGTCATCCAGAATAACTTATTTTACGTTGCAGTATCCAACCTCCCCGCCGCAACATTTCAAGTTGTATTTCAGTCCAAAATCCTCACAACGGCTCTTTTTGCAGTGCTTATTCTGAATCAGAAACTATCCGCGACCAAGTGGTTATCTTTAGTTGTGTTAACGGTGGGAATCGCGACAGTCCAAGTCGAGACCACGGTATCCAAAGAGACCAAAGAACTGAACACAGAAGCACAGAGTCCAATCCTGGGTTTCATTGCAGTTATCGCAGCTAGCTTGACATCTGGCTTCGCTGGTGTCTACTTCGAAAAGATCCTTAAAGACTCTCAAGTTTCAGTCTGGATGAGAAATATTCAGCTGGCTATCTTCGGATGTACCTTAGGTTTAGTAGCCGTTTGGGTAAACGACGGCCCACAAGTCATGGAATTGGGATTCTTTTATGGTTACAACCGCTACACAGTTGGAGTGATCCTTAACCAGGCCCTTGGTGGGTTGATTGTGGCTTGTGTAGTGAAATATGCCGACAACATCCTCAAAGGCTTTGCCACTTCAATAGCAATAATAGTGTCATGCGTTTGCTCTATATTTATATTCAGTTTTCATATCACGCCTACGTTCATCATTGGTGCCATTATGGTTATCCTATCCGTTTGTATGTACAGTGGAACGAAGTGAGCACAGTGAAGGAGTCGTAATGGAAACACATGGGTATTTCAATTTATCACTTTACACGGCCGCAAGATCACAATAACATTGTTAATTTATATTTGTCAACGTCAATAATATTCTATATTTATGTATTTATGTTTCGTTGTTAAAGCAAAAAAGTTTAAAAGTTAGAACCTAAAGTTTAAAGTTTAGAGTCAAAGAAGATAGTGAAGGAGCCTTATATAGGTAGGGTCTTGATTTTTCTTTTCAGGAAACTTGTTCGCCCTCAAATTTCATTTTACGCGGTTTGATTTGTGAAAATTTTTTAAATCCAGTAAAAATCACGAAAAACGTGATCGATTTTTAGTTTCGAAAGTGAATTTTAATTGTCAAATTTTTCGCCGAACAAAAAATTTACCTATTGACCCAGTTTTTGTTTCAAATAGGGTTATTTCTAACAAAAGAATGCCAATCATAATTGTTCTCGAAATTCAGAGCTTTGAGGGCATGTGTATTTTTTTGAAGTTCGAAAGTTGGCTTTCCAAAAAATAAGCCAGTATTTTTTGTTTCCTTGTTCATTACAATTTTCAAACGGTCAGTTGGTTATGATTGAAGTCTTTCAAGCTTTTTCAGAATCCTTGATTGACCCTATTTGCAACAATATTCTCCGCCGCCAGCACTTTTTGAAAAATCTTGTCTTTTAAGTAGTCTTAGGAGGTATGAAAGTCGCGCGTTTTTGTGTTTTTGTAGTACGGTACCCCTTAGAACAATGGGCTATTGACGTTAAGGATCGATTTAATAAAAACTGAATGGTATCACTTGGAGAATTCTTGTGAAAAAAGTTGGCAAGTAGCATTGAGAGATGAACTTGAAGTGGATTTGTCCCAATTAAAGGAATAATTTGGTTTCCCTTCAAAAAATAAAGATTTTGATCTTAAAAAGTCATTTGATCCTTACAGATTGTGTTTTTCTTGAATAAAGAAAGCTCCAGAAAAATGAGATAACTATAATTAAAAGGTTCTGAGACATTTATAGTTATCTTAACATCGAGAAGTATTCCAAATTCAGTTGTGAACAAAACTGAGAGATACAGCTAAGTTGATCGATCAAAATTGGGAAGAGAAAACGTCGTTTTAAAATTCACATCAATTCTGGTAGTTCTTAAAATGAAATCAACAAAGATTTGCGACAAAAAAATAAAAAACTTCGAAAAACTTTGAACTGAATATTATGAGCATAGCAGAAAAAATTTTCCGAATTAAAATGTTTTTTTTCCGAATTAAAAAGTTCTCCGATATGATTTACTCACTCTTGCTTATCTTATCTTGAAGGAGTCGTAATGGAAACACATGGGTATTTCAATTTATCACTTTACACGGCCGCAAGATCACAATAACATTGTTAATTTATATTTGTCAACGTCAATAATATTCTATATTTATGTATTTATGTTTCGTTGTTAAAGCAAAAAAGTTTAAAAGTTAGAACCTAAAGTTTAAAGTTTAGAGTCAAAGAAGATAGTGAAGGAGCCTTATATAGGTAGGGTCTTGATTTTTCTTTTCAGGAAACTTGTTCGCCCTCAAATTTCATTTTACGCGGTTTGATTTGTGAAAATTTTTTAAATCCAGTAAAAATCACGAAAAACGTGATCGATTTTTAGTTTCGAAAGTGAATTTTAATTGTCAAATTTTTCGCCGAACAAAAAATTTACCTATTGACCCAGTTTTTGTTTCAAATAGGGTTATTTCTAACAAAAGAATGCCAATCATAATTGTTCTCGAAATTCAGAGCTTTGAGGGCATGTGTATTTTTTTGAAGTTCGAAAGTTGGCTTTCCAAAAAATAAGCCAGTATTTTTTGTTTCCTTGTTCATTACAATTTTCAAACGGTCAGTTGGTTATGATTGAAGTCTTTCAAGCTTTTTCAGAATCCTTGATTGACCCTATTTGCAACAATATTCTCCGCCGCCAGCACTTTTTGAAAAATCTTGTCTTTTAAGTAGTCTTAGGAGGTATGAAAGTCGCGCGTTTTTGTGTTTTTGTAGTACGGTACCCCTTAGAACAATGGGCTATTGACGTTAAGGATCGATTTAATAAAAACTGAATGGTATCACTTGGAGAATTCTTGTGAAAAAAGTTGGCAAGTAGCATTGAGAGATGAACTTGAAGTGGATTTGTCCCAATTAAAGGAATAATTTGGTTTCCCTTCAAAAAATAAAGATTTTGATCTTAAAAAGTCATTTGATCCTTACAGATTGTGTTTTTCTTGAATAAAGAAAGCTCCAGAAAAATGAGATAACTATAATTAAAAGGTTCTGAGACATTTATAGTTATCTTAACATCGAGAAGTATTCCAAATTCAGTTGTGAACAAAACTGAGAGATACAGCTAAGTTGATCGATCAAAATTGGGAAGAGAAAACGTCGTTTTAAAATTCACATCAATTCTGGTAGTTCTTAAAATGAAATCAACAAAGATTTGCGACAAAAAAATAAAAAACTTCGAAAAACTTTGAACTGAATATTATGAGCATAGCAGAAAAAATTTTCCGAATTAAAATGTTTTTTTTCCGAATTAAAAAGTTCTCCGATATGATTTACTCACTCTTGCTTATCTTATAAATTTTTTCATTAAATCTTACTTTTTAAAGAATAAATCAATTTTTAGTGGAAACAGTATGAAAATTTTTCCAAATAGCACTCAATATAGCTATTTATCTGCTTCTTAAATTGCTAAACAAGTGCTTTGTAAAAGTACTTTAAATTTCAAAAAAAAAAATAGGGACAATGCTTCCTAAATATCTCAAACCGAAAATCTGAAAGTTTTTCAGCAATAATTGTGATGGAAACAGAACTTTTGATAAGAAATTATTATGAATATCGTTAAAGCTATTTCGTAACTTCAATAATGATCGACCTTTTTTCGTAAGGTTCGCCCAATGTGAGAAAACGGATCAATACGTACATCGTCTATTCCACTGGGATATATAAAAACCAAAACCAATCATAGAACCATGGTCACCAAATGGTCGACAAAAATTAGTGACCTAGTCAAGATCAAGAGCAAATGCCTCAAAAAGGAAAAGAAACAAGAAAAAAACAGGCAAAAAGGCTGTTTTGGAGCATTATGTTGGAAGGTTTTGACCAAAAAAAAATCGCATTTTTCCGGCGCGCGCTCCCCTTAAAATTAGAATTTATTGGCTCCAATGGCGCCTTCGGATAAATTGAAGAATCAATGGGCCGAGAATGGATATTATTCACTAGCAACAATGGGTGTTACCAAAAACAGTGACCAGTAAAAAAAGAGCTTTTAGAGACTAATATTGACCGCCCACAATGAGAGAGACTAGTTGGCAATCCGATAAAGGACCTAATACGCCTTCAAGTTTTTTTGCGTCTTTTGGATTTTTGGTGTCGAAGAGCGCCAGTTTATTTTATCTTCGGGTCACGAATTCGAAATAAGCTTAAGCTAATCGAAAATGAAACCACGGAAAAACAAATTTCGATACTTTTACGATAATAACAAAAATCCACAAGGCTCAAATAAATGTCTTCATTGTTTTAATTGGCACTTAAGCATGTCACCACATGAAACAAAATAGTGGAAAGTAAAAATACGCTGTAGTCAGGTTACTCAATTTTCCCATATTCAACTACTTTATTCAAAAAAATTCAGAAACAGTGGCAACTGTATTCCAAAACAGTTACTTTTTTATGTAGTTGCCCCCGGACTTATTACGTATTTTCAGGGCCTTCTGTGATCCATTCTGCCGCAGCCGCCGTTCCTGCCTTGAGGAGGCGGATAACATAGGGTACCCTACGCCCATGACCAAATTTAGATTCAAACACATTGAAAAACTGTATCAAAATTAACACAATTTTTGCGAAGCAGCAGAAATCGTCACCCAATATCACTGATACACAAAAAACTAGCCATACAAGTTTACACAGTTTCAATTCTGAAATAACCCAGAAACTTTTTTTAATCATCTTCGTTGTTTTTAAAATTGAAATTCACTTAAAATTATAGCCTACCAATTCAATTTCAACCTTAATGGAAAACTGCTTAGGAAACCATTCTGGATCAAATCTAAAACAAAACAAGCACAAAAAAAATATTTAAAAATTAACCAACCTTAAGCTTTCAAAATAGGTAAATTGCTGGCAACACGTCGCCAAAACACATTTAATTTGCTGGTTCATGTTTTTTTCCCATTGCATAAAATCTTCGTTCAGATTTTGACGAGTGAAGCAATCATAAGACCAATGAACTACCCCCTTTAGTATTCAACGAGTGCTCAGCCAAATGAATTTGCTAATGATATGAGTCAAACAAAAACTCTAAAACAGCCCGCATTAATTGACCGTATTTGTCAAATAGACAAATAGTTTGAACTTTCAAATCCCCATAACTTAGCGAAAAAATATCACCAGTAAAACATCTTCTCAACTTCGATCTCAGGAAACCAATATCTTTCAGATGATATGACAGCCTGAACGAAAAGAATCGATTGTAATTTATCGCTGGATTATATCTATACTGCATAAAACTGAACTGAAAACAAAAATTTGTGGCGAAAAATAGTCCGAAAACTCTTGATATAAATGACTTGAACATGGCCAACAGATACTTGCTAAGCTGAAAAAAATCCAATTTCAAAACTAGAACTTAAAAAATTACATTTGAGCCTGAAAAACCATATTTGATTATGAAAAAACAACCTCAAAAAGTAACCCTATCACAATTCGATAACTTACCATTACTGGCAGTAACCCGTTTTAAAATTTTCAGTTAAAGTTTTGTCGAAAAACTCAGGCTACAAAATAATGTCCAAACGTTGTCAAACAAGTCAATGTACCTCAAATCACTCTACGAAAACTCCACTCCGTGCCATGATATCTTTCAGATGGAATAAGAACATTTGGGTAAAAGCGGCATGTTAAAAAGTCAAAAATTGCTTGCAAAAAATCAGACCGAGCTTATAAGCTACTTTTGTCTAGAAAAGCTAACTCAGATTCTAACGCAAGTTTTTGGTTGAATGATAACAGAATTATATAAGCTTATATAACGAAAAAAAACGTCGGTAGTGTCTTTGATTCAGGTGATTGCAATCTATTACAATAAATATTATATATGACCAGATGCTAATTAAAAAACGTAAATTAAATACTGTTTTTTCCGTCCCGCAAACACCCAAGTTTATTTCTGATACCCGATGTAACGAAAAAAAAATATCGCAAGTCACAAAATATCCAAATTTTAACAAGGATGACCGGTTACTGTGCAAGTAGCACAGAATGTTCCGACCAGTCTTATAAAATTACAAAACTATTTTTCCAATTAATGTCGTTTTTTCGGCTTGGTCTGATAAAATAATTTGAGCGAAAAAGTAGAGCTTAGGCATTTTTGTCAGTCATGTAAAATATGCATTTTGGAAAACAATTTCCGAATACAAATAACAAGAAAAACAAAAAAAAAAATTTTCAAAATTTTTGAAGTTTTTCTTAAGATGAAGCAAAAAACTCCAAAAACTAACTTCATTAGAGTAAAACTAAATTTTCAAGGCTTAAATTAAGCATAGATAAGCTGATGTAAGCCTGCTCACTCGCTCAAAATTAGACGAAAAATCAAAAATTTCAAACCGGTTTTTCTCGACACCGGGAAAACTTCTAAAATATTTTTAATGTCGTTCGAATCACGAGTAAAAGGGCTTCAATATGATATATCACTCAAGCCTATTCGATGATTATTTATTCTAGCTGATTTTGCGTGGAAAACAAAAAGAAATAAAACTAAAACACTCGAATACGAAGTTCCTCCCCATTTTGCTAACAAACAGAAAGTTGAAAAAGTGTCGACAAACTCAGGAAAACAAAAAACTGACAATTTTTTTGAAAAGTTGTTTTGGTCGGAATTCGAAGACAAAATGCATCACGTAAAAGCTCTGTGAATTTCAATTACCTTTTCAGGATTGACACTTTTTTTTGCTAAATTTGACAAAACTGGACGAAAGAAAAAAATATATCCCGCTGGGTAAACTTTACATACAGCTCTCCAACAGACAGTTGGAAAAGAGTCTTATGGCGACTTTTTTAAATGAACGCAAAGAAACATAAGAAAATACTGACTTATATATAGCCTTAAATCTCTTCGACTATGAGAAAAATTGATGATTGGCACTCAATTTAAGAAAAGTGGATTAATAAGTAAATTTTTATTCCGCTGGAAACCTGGTAATTTAAACCCACTTTCATAACAGCTTTTTTCTCGCCATTTCCTTTTCTTAATTAGAGAGCGTTATTTGCCGCCTTTTTAGCAAATTGACTTGAACCGAATTTGAAAAGAAAATCCAGTCGAACTTCGAAAGATCAATTTTGAGCGTGAAACTGTTTGTTTTCTTTATTTTGTTTTTTTTTTCTGGAAAAAAGTCTTAGATAACAGCTTCACGCTTCAATTCTTCGTTGTCACTTAATCAGTCGTACATTGGAGCTCACCTTGATCCATTTGTTTAATTTAACATGTTTGACTTTCGTTGTAAATTGCTCAAGAACTTCACACTCCCTGTATGACTCACCTTCGAATCGGTCAGCCTGTTCCGCCAATTTGGCAGAGTACAGCCTGTCTTCTCTGTCGGCCATTTGGGATGAATTTGAAGAAGGACTGGGGATACAAATCAAATCAGACTCTACAACTGAGAACACTTCGCTTTCGTCTCTTCTCTTCTCTTGCTAACTTCAAATTCAGTAAACTTGTTTCAGACAAGCACGCAAACAAAATCTGAAAAGAGATCAACTCAAATCCTGCTAGTTGAAAACCACTTGTTTCATGGTCTACAAAATGTATTTGTCTTTACACATCAGGGTATACAAAATTACAAATATTTAGTTGTAACGCAACGCCATTCAGGATTCTACACATACATTTCTAGAGCATTCATTCAGCTGCCAGTTGCGCGTTGTTTCGACGGGGCTGTCATGGCCATCATATGCCCCCGTTGCCTCATATTATCTTGGTTTCTGTATCGCTTGCAAAAAAGACAGCCTACTTTTCCGAAAATGCGCTCGAATGTCTGCCTGAAATGCGGGTGGCAATAAGGGTACAAAAAGGGATTGACTGTGCTGTTGAGCCAAAGTAGCCAGAAGGTTGCCTCGAACAATGTTTCTGGAATCAATGCAGGCCACAACGTACGAACCAGGTTGCATATGGTGTAGGGCGCCCAGGAAAGCGAAAACGCTCCCACTATAACAGCCAGAGCTCTGGCCGCCTTTTTGTCTCGCTTCAAACTTCGTGCCTCCTTGTCCTTCAAAATTGCAGCGACCGCTCCTTGCAAATCATCACTGCAAATTGACTTCTTTTTCATCTTGTTCGAACGTGACTTTATGTTCAGGTATATCTTCAGATTGATGTAACACACTGTAACGAGTGGAGTGATGAATTCAACGACAGCTATTGAAAACGTGTATGGGAAATTGCGATAGAACTCGGGCAGACATTCGTTCGGACCAACAATTCGCTCCCCCGCCACATACTCCCAAAATAGGGTTGATGGCCCATAAATGGTGAAGGCCACAGTCCATACGGCCACCATTTTCATCACCGCCTTCCTCACTGTTTGATCAACCCTAAAAAAATAAAAACGTCTTATTTAAAAGCAGTTTTCTCCGTCGCATAGAAAGGCCTTATCCTAAAAGAAATTCTCTCAATCGCTGCTCAAAGAGAAACATGTGAGCAGCACAGGCAGAACCAGGCGCACTCAAATTGAAGACATCGCTTTTGAGATACCATTTTCAACTAGAGCTTAAAACCACTTGCAATATATCACAAACATGGTATTGCAAGAAAGCCTAAGACACGGGCGAAGCCCATTGAGTTGAGCGAAAAACATTAGACAAATGTCAAAAATAACATCTAACAAAAATTTGGTACCTTTGATTCGAATTCATGCCATTTTGAGGATAAAATAGGTAAAAAGAATGGTCAGATAAAAACTAATCAACGCTGAACACTATGGGTAGTTAAGATATTCTGGAACAATTCCACTCAAACGAAACTTTCTTCAACATTATGACAAAAAAATACGCTGGGACAGGCAGAATCAAGTAACTTTAAGACTGCATGCAATTTCGTCGGCAACCAAATAAACGAACAATATATCAAATAAAAACCAATTACACAAATAGAAACATCAAAAGGTTATTCAAGAAAAATTATTCAAAATTTGAGGCTAATGTCATATTTTTTCCATTCCAAGGCAAAAAAAAACACTTCAAGAACTAGAAAAAAAATGATAGCCAGGTTTTTTTTAAAAAAATCTTGAAATAAGTTGTGCCCCTTAAGTGAGCTGATATTACTCAACTTCAACGCAAAATATTTCATCACTGTCGTGGTCACTGTGACTCACAAAAAAGCGCTCGAACAATTTCATTCAATAAGTCTTAATACTGAAGGCAACTTTAGCGGTGAACAAAAATTCAGAAACTCATAGCCATAAGTCACATAATTCAACCTAAAAAAAACAAAGGGTTAATCAAGACAGAACATAATTATATTCCTTCAATCCACTCCGAAATGCAAAAATCTTGTCACTCGGAGAACTCAACCAATGGAGATGGAAACGTTCCAGTTGGAAAAAACTTGAAAACAAGATAGTCAGTTGGAGTTAATCAATATGAAATAGTTTACGCAGCTTAGGCTAGCTGCAACTACTCCACTCGAACGCAAATTACCTCATCATTATAACAAATAAGGAATCGAAAGAACAATTTGACTTAAGTAGCCCTACTAGAAGCAGCTTCGGCGAAAAAAAAATCAAAACAAAACAAAGCCATAAATCACACAAAACAACTAAATATAAACCAAAGGGTTGATCAAGATAACACCCTTAACCGATTGCATTCAATCCTGCGCCTACTCCACTCAAACGCAAATTACTTCATTATTCTAACTTAAAAGAAATCGCCTCATTTAAATCAAGTAGCCTTAAGACTGAACAAAAAACTCAAAACTAACACAAATCAAAAAATCACATACATCAAGGAAATAAAAACCAAAGGGTTGGTCAAGACCAAACATTTGTACACCCTTTACCGATAGCATTCAATCCAATCATGATGAAAACCTGCCAAGTGGAAAAAACTTGAAAAAAAAATAGTCAGATAGAAGTTAATCATTATAAAATAGTTTACGCAGCTTAGGCTAATTGCAACTACTCCACTCAAACGCAAATTACTTCATCATTATAACAAATAAGGAACCGCTCGAACTATTTTAAGTAAGTATCCCTACTAGAAGCAGCTTCGGTAAAAAAAAAATCAAAACAAAATCAAAGCGATAAATGACATACATCGACAAAAAAAAGAACGAAGGATTGATCAAGAAAAACATTTGTACACCATTAACCTATTGCATTCAAGTCAATCAAGATGGAAATCTGCCACTTGGAACAAATTTGACAAAAAAAAGATACTCAGATAGAAATTGATCATTATGAAATAGTTTACGCAGCTTAGGCGAACTGCAACTACTCCACTCAAACGCAAATTACTTCATCAATCTAACTTGAAAGAAATCGAATCATTCAAATCAAAACAAAAATGAAAACAAAACAAAGCCATAAATCACATAAAACAACTAAATATAAACCAAAGGATTGATCAAGAGAAAATAATTGAACACCCTTAACCGATTGCATTCAATCCTGCCACTACTCCACAAAAACGCAAATTACTTCATTATTCTAACTTAAAAGAAATCGCATCATTTAAATCAAGTAGCCTAAAGACTAAACAAAAAACTCAAAACAAACGCAAAGCAAAAAATCACATACATCAACGAAATAAAAAAACAGGGTTGATCAAGACAAAACATTCGTACACCCTTTACCGATTGCATTCAATCCAATCAAGATGGAAACCTGCCAGTTGGAACAGACTTGACAAAAAAGATACTCAGATAGAAGTTGATCATTATGAAATAGTTTACGCAGCTTAGGCGAACTGCAACTCCTCCACTCAAACGCAAATTACTTCATCGTTCTAACTTAAAAGATATCGAATCATTTAAATCAAGTAGCCTTAATGCTGAACAAAAACTCAAAACAAACACAAAGCAATAAATCACATACATCAACGAAATAAAAAAACAGGGTTGATCAAGACAAAACATTCGTACACCCTTTACCGATTGCATTCAATCCAATCAAGATGGAAACCTGCCAGTTGGAACAGACTTGACAAAAAAGATACTCAGATAGAAGTTGATCATTATGAAATAGTTTACGCAGCTTAGGCTAGATGCAATTACTCCACCCAAACGCAAATTACTTCATCATTCTATCTTAAAAGAAATCGCATCAATTAAATCAAGTAGCCTTAAGACTGAGCAAAAACTCAAAACAAACATAAAAAAAATAAATCACACACATCAACGAAATAAATAGTCAAAAGGTTGATAAGACAGAACATTTGCACACCCTTTACCGATTGCATTGAACCCAAGGAAGATGGATATCTGACACTTGGGAAAAACTTGAAAAAAATGATAGTCAGATAGAAGTTAATCATTATGAAATAGTTCACGCAGCTTAGGCTAGCTGCAGCTACTCCACTCGAACGCAAATTACCTCATCATTATAACAAATAAAAAATCGCTCGAACAGTTTGACTTAAGTAGCCCTACTAGAAGCAGCTTCGGTAAAAAAATCAAAACAAAATCAAAGCGATAAATGACATACATCGACGAAAAAAGAACGAAGGATTGATCAAGAAAAACATTTGTACACCATTAACCTATTGCATTCAAGGCAATCAAGATGGAAATCTGCCACTTGGAAAAAACTTGACAAAAATGATACTCAGATAAAAGTTTATCATTATGAAATAGTTTACGCAGCTTAGGCTAGCTGCAACTACTCCACTCAAACGCAAATTACTTCATCATTATAACAAATAAGGAACCGCTCGATCATTTTTAATTTAACATCCCTACTAGAAGCAGCTTCGGTAAAAAAATCAAAACAAAATTAAAGCGATAAATGACATACATCGACAAAAAAAGAACGAAGGATTGATCAAGAAAAACATTTGTACACCATTAACCTCTTGCATTCAAGTCAATCAAGATGGAAATCTGCCACTTGGAACAAATTTGACAAAAAAAGATACTCAGATAGAAATTAATCATTATGAAATAGTTTACGCAGCTTAGGCGAACTGCAACTACTCCACTCAAACGCAAATTACTTCATCAATCTAACTTGAAAGAAATCGAATCATTCAAATCAAAACAAAAATGAAAACAAAACAAAGCCATAAATCCCATAAAACAACTAAATATAAACAAAAGGGTTGATCAAGAGAAAATAATTGAACACCCTTAACCGATTGCATTCAATCCTGCGACTACTCCACTAAAACGCAAAATACTTCATTATTCTAACTTAAAAGAAATCGCATAATTTAAATCAAGTAGCCTTAAGACTGAACAAAAAACTCAAAACAAACACAAAGCAATAAATCACATACATCAACGAAAAAAACCAAAGGGTTGATCAAGACAAAACATTCGTACACCCTTTACCGATTGCATTCAATACAATCAAGATGGAAACCTGCCAGTTGCAAAAAACTTGAAAAAAAATGAAAGATGAAAGTCAGAGGAACCGCTCGAACAATCTGACTTAGGTAGCCCTACTAGAAGCAGCTTCGGTAAAAAAAATCAAAACAAAATCAAAGCGATAAATGACATACATCGACGAAAAGAGAACGAAGGATTGATCAAGAAAAACATTTGTACACCATTAACCTATTGCATTCAAGGAAATCAAGATGGAAATCTGCCACTTGGAAAAAACTTGACAAAAATGATACTCAGATAAAAGTTTATCATTATGAAATAGTTTACGCAGCTTAGGCTAGCTGCAACTACTTCACTCAAACGCAAATTACTTCATCATTATAACAAATAAGGAACCGCTCGAACATTTTAAATTAAGTATCCCTACTAGAAGCAGCTTCGGTAAAAAAATCAAAACAAAATTAAAGCGATAAATGACATACATCGACAAAAAAAGAACGAAGGATTGATCAAGAAAAACATTTGTACACCATTAACCTATTGCATTCAAGTCAATCAAGATGGAAATCTGCCACTTGGAAAAAACTTGACAAAAATGATACTCAGATAAAAGTTTATCATTATGAAATAGTTTACGCAGCTTAGGCTAGCTGCAACTACTCCACTCAAACGCAAATTACCTCATCATTATAACAAATAAAAAATCGCTCGAACAGTTTGACTTAAGTAGCCCTACTAGAAGCAGCTTCGGTAAAAAAAATCAAAACAAAATCAAAGCGATAAATGACATACATCGACGAAAAAAGAACGAAGGATTGATCAAGAAAAACATTTGTACACCATTAACCTATTGCATTCAAGGCAATCAAGATGGAAATCTGCCACTTGGAAAAAACTTGACAAAAATGATACTCAGATAAAAGTTTATCATTATGAAATAGTTTACGCAGCTTAGGCTAGCTGCAACTACTCCACTCAAACGCAAATTACTTCATCATTATAACAAATAAGGAACCGCTCGATCATTTTTAATTTAACATCCCTACTA